GGGGGGGGGCAGACTACGACAGTTGTGAATCTTGGTGGAGGCATACGATTATACGAGGGAGAGATACAGCTTTGCGTCTTATTGGCAAGGTTTCAGCAGGATATGAAGTTGGTGGAATATCCCACAGCAGCAATAAGATCAATGAACACACGGATGAGCAAGATTCGGCCAAGTCCCAGTCAATCTCAAGAAATGAACGAAAAGTCAGGTTCCGAATCAGCTGAGACCAAAGCGCTGGAAAGATACTCACATGGAAGCCAGTTCGGGCGGGAGGTGTTCAACTTCGAACGGTTGAGTCTGGTGGAATTTGGTATTGAAGTGTGAACCATGAGGGTCCTAGTAGTTAAATAGTAGACACAGGACGCCCTCCAGTTGGTTACGATGCCAGGGTCCTGATGGGTGGAGCATATCGACGTTGCCGGACTAGACAGTAGCCTTGTGAACTAACTTCGGAGAAATGACTACAACTGACTAGTAACTAGTTGGTAGCTCATCAAGGCTTCAAGCTCCCGGGTTTCCTCTCTTCCATCCCAAAACTCGGTTCAAGCCAACAGCGCCATAAACGACACAATGGATACGCACGTAAAATGGAGAGAGCGCGATAGGTTGTACGTTGATTATCTCAATCGTGAGTGACAAACGATAGCAGAAAGACCGCTAATAAGCGTACGACACAGGTCCAATACCCCACGGTTGGTTATTGAGCTAGATGGCAATTCAACCGTCTGGACGGAGGCACAGAACGAAAACTACTATTTCAAGGTTTCTCTTCGGAAGCTTCCAAGTGGTGAGCCAGCTGATGGAGATGACTTGAAAGACATCAACCAGCCGCGCTGGTCCCCCGAAATCGACCCCGGCCGGGACGATTTCATCCTTTTGCACCATGGTCCAGGGAACAGCCTCCATAGAATTGGCGTTGAGGGACAACCCAGGTATAAGACGGACCCAACAACCATGCAATTTCCGACCGAGCCGCCTTCGTACTACGCGGCAGAGGCCAAGGATAACCATGATCGCTGTAACATCAGTCACAGATTGTCCTTTCCCGATACCTGGAAAAAGCTCTTACAGCCAGGTCATACCTACGACCTTCTCTGGACGGGAGGAGAAGTTTCTCACTGGGATTGGGGCACACACACGGACGTAGGGACCGAGCCCAAGGGGCCACCGGTCATAGTTCCGGGGGGTGCGCATATCACATTTACGATGGAAGAAGGGGAATGGCCTTCCGTTCCACGGCCTGCGACACCACCGCTCATCCAGGCGAGCGAGAGAGTGTGGGTGCTCCAATTGTGATAGTGCGAGATTCCTCTGCTAATAGATGTAACAGCCCAGGGGCACCGGTCCTCAGTCTCGAATTGAGTTGTAGCCCAACAATGACCCTGACGAGGATATTGGAGAGCCGTATCAGAGTCGTCTATCACGGTCTCTCAGACAACGATGATGCAACAACAGGCGACAAAGGATCCCAGCCGATCACCTTCCACACCTATGCATTCGATACGTCAAGAAAATTCCGCGTCTCTCGCCGTCGCTGTGCAGATGAATCTAGCCCGGAGGCGGAGGAGGAATGGGAGACGTTTATTGACGAGGGTTGCTGTCAATTTGGGATCTGGGACAATCCCGACATGTTGATGAATGTCTCTGAGAACCCGGACGGCCGGTTTCCGACCCTCTTCCCCGGCGAATCCTGGTCGGATGTTTGGACCATGACGGCGGATGGGTACTCCCTACCCGATGATTTGAAACCCGGCGAGAAGCTCCGATACCAGTTCGGGGGAAGTACATTGGACTGGTGGGATTGGGGAACGGCCGAGGCTCATGCCCAGACCATCGTCACGCTCCCTGGCTCAGGATTGGAACTAATTACAAACCCCAAGGATAATGGCGGCCGGCCGAAGGGTGGTTGTACCGGCATCGAATGTTGTGGAGTGGACGGTGGTTCGTGAAGGACCGTAGACAAGCTGCAATTGCATCACCGGCTCTTATCGCGGCTGAGTCAGCTGCTATCGGCAGAATGGCGCGATGGAGCCTTGCTTTCTTTCAGCATTAATAATAACCATCCACGCGATGTGCCTCCATCGTGTTATCAATCAATCTCCAGTCATCCTCGCTTCTTCTTATCTCCCCCGCTTCCCTCGCATCCCCTTGCGTGATGGCTTGTTGACCCGCCCGTCCCTTCTTTCTGTGACAGGCGAGCCATCTCTCTTGCGGGCTCGACCAACCCCCGGCGACGGCATCCGATGAACTACCAATCCATCACCATGGCAGGCAATGCCTCCCACAGCGACCGGCAGCAGGATGGGGCCGCCCGAGATGGCTCATCGCCCAGATCCTCGGTCGACCATAGTGGACGGACAGTCTACGCCGATGATCCCCACCCCTCCGTCACCTCCCCCCAGAGCTTCACCTCGCGGTCCTTGCTCGTCGGGTTGCTAATCGGCGCTCTGATCACCTTCTCCAATACATACTTTGGCCTGCAGACAGGATGGATCAGCACCATGGCCATGCCGTCCGCCCTGATCGGGTTCTCCGTCTTCAAGGTCCTATCGAAACATCTGTCCTACCCTTTCACTCCCATCGAGAATGTCCTCATACAAACGGTAGCAGGGGCGGTGGGGACAATGCCCTTGGGTTGTGGGTTTGTCGGGGTCATCCCCGCGTTGGAATTCCTGATCAAAGATGGAGACGATGGCCCCTCGGGAGATGGTGGTACCGGAGAAGGCGGGCCTCTGAAGCTGAACTTCTGGAAGCTCGTGATCTGGAGTCTGGGGGTCTGTCTGTTTGGGGTCGTGTTTGCTGTTCCTCTAAGAAAGGAGGTGATTGTTCGGGAAAAGCTCAAGTTCCCGAGCGGAACAGCCTCGGCGCTGATGCTGAGGGTGCTTCACGGAAGTGGGCAGGGTGATGAGAAGGCCAAGGCGAGGGTGGAGGACGTTGAAGATATTCCACAGCGTGAGGAGGCATATGAAGCGCCTGTTCCGGCGCATGGGCCCGGAGAAAGTGGGCCATTGCTCCGGAAGGCCGGCTCTAGCCAACTGGACAATGACCAAAAGGACTGGAGATCGAAGATGCGCCTCCTGGTAGGCGCCTTTGCAGTATCCGGTGTCTATGTAAGGCTCAATGTCTCGGATCGTTCCCACTTCAACTGACCATCTTCGAACGGCAGACACTCTTCTCGTATTTCGTCCCGCAAGTTCGTGATATCCCTATATTGGGTCTGTACCTGGCCAAAAACTGGCTATGGACCCTCAACCCGTCTCCCGCATACGTCGGCCAAGGAATCATCATGGGTCCCTCGACCTGTATGCATATGCTCTTTGGTGCGGTCTTGGGTTGGGCAATTCTTTCGCCGCTTGCGAAGGCTCGTGGCTGGGCCCCCGGGCCTGTGGACAGCTGGGAAGATGGAAGCAAGGCTTGGATTGTCTGGATTTCGCTGGCCATTATGCTTGCGGACTCTCTTGTCAGCCTCGGTTGGCTGGTGGTGAGGCCATTGGTACCCCGTGCATCAATGTTGAAAGACAAGCTTCTCCCCAGTCGTGCCGGGCGGCGCATTGTCTCCGGGGGCTCGACGTCTTCCAACCTCCATTCGTACATCACTTACTCCGCCCTGAGTCCCATTACCGAAGAATCTTCCATCCCAAGCCATCCCGTTCCTTCCATCGGGAGACGCAGCGCAACTGACGACGACGATGAAGATGCCCCTCCCTCTCAGCTCATCTCCACCCGCACCGTCATCATCCTCCTTCCCCTGACTCTGATCCTGAACGTCGTGTGCATGCACCTCGTCTTCGGCGATATCATGTCTCCACTGCTGTCCAGCCTCGCTACCTTCCTGGCGGTCCTCCTCTCCATCATGGGCGTTCGTGCCCTTGGCGAAACCGACCTGAACCCCGTCTCCGGGATCAGCAAACTAACTCAGCTGCTCTTCTCCCTGGCAACCCCTGCCTCTCACTTCTCCCGCCGCACCGCCCTCGTCACCAACCTCCTCGCGGGCGCCGTATCCGAGTCCGGCGCCCTCCAAGCCGGAGACATGATGCAGGACCTGAAAACCGGGCATCTCCTCGGCGCCAGCCCCAAGGCCCAATTCTACGGTCAAATCATCGGCAGTCTCGTGGGCGCGGTGCTCTCCACCGCCGTCTACAAGATGTATGTGAGCGTCTACGAAGTCCCGGGGCCCATGTTCCAGACCCCCACGGCATATGTGTGGATCTTCACCGCGCGTCTCGTCACCGGCCAAGGCCTTCCCCCAATGGCCTGGCAGGCGTCTCTCATCGCCGGCATCATCTTCGTAGCCGTAACCATCCTCCGTCTTGTCGCCGCATCCCCCATTGCTAACGGCGGCCGCAAAGACGTTTCCGCCCCCTGGCGCGACTGGATCCCCGGTGGCATCGCCGTCGCCGTAGGGATCTTCAACGTCCCCTCTTTCACTCTGGCTCGCGCCATCGGCGGCCTCATCGCCTGGTGGTGGTCCCGACGACACGCCGCAAAATCCATCGCGGCGGCTTCCGGCTCTGCCGCCACCACCACTAGCGACGTCGATAACCAGACGAACTTATCCGAGTCCTGGACGGCCGCTCAAGCCAGAGGAACACCACCCTCAGAACAAGCAGCCAAGGCTGCGAATGCGGATGCCGCATCCTCGACAGTGGTGGTCCTCGCCTCGGGATTGATTCTAGGCGAGGGGATCATCAGCATTGTGAACTTGCTTCTGGCGAGTGGCGGGGTTCCACATCTTTGAAACGATGCAGAAGTGGCATGTAGATTAGATGTTCTGTTTGGTTGGTAGGATGGTGGATTGGTATTGGTAGAGGAGAGCATGTGAATAAAATGTAGAGTTCTGGATATGCGCTTGGCGTGGGTAAGCCTTAGTGTTAATCAGCCTGTAGCGTTGTAGTCATCTAACTGTAGTACTAGGTACCTCTGCCTGGCCTGTATGATTGATAATAATTTCAAGATGTGGTTTCCAATATTCACTTGTAATTAATCATCTAGACATTACTATACAATAATACTCCGTATTACTCTTGAAGTTTCACACAATGAGCATTCAAACAAGAGGTTAGCCCCCTTGTGTCTTATCCCTTTCTTGACCTGTCCTGTGTACCTTATTCTCCTTCAGCTCATGAAGAAAAAAGGCAGGAGGACAGGTCCGGACACAGCTAATGTACATTTGGTTTGTTCCTGCAGGGCGACACAGGGGGGAATTGGGAAGAATGAAAGAGGTTTGATGGCAGGAGACATCAAGGAAAGGAACAATAATGTCAACTGGTATATTAGTCATTCACATGAAGTAAAAGAAACAGGTATCAAGACGTGTGGTGCAGATTTCAAGGGGGATCTTGAAAACAGGAGCATGGGAGATGTTTTCTGGACCGAAGAAAATAGAAGAGAACGCAAGCCAACGTGGCTGGCCCAACGCATAAGGTCATTCAACAAGGGAGCAATTGTCTTGAACGCATCCAGTGTTCATCGTCACAGGTTTGTCCGCCCAGCGGCAAGAAGATGACACTCGTGCCATGTGGTATCTCATGTCATGAAATTTCAGATGGCCCATTACTCGTGGACATTGTCAGAGGGGACTGTCTCAATGGTTGCCGAAACTGGTGCGGGAATAGCTGCGGGATGCATGGCCATTGCTCTCATGGGAGCTCCAAGAGGACTCGGACCGACAGGCCCTGCCATGCGAGCGTTAACAGCCCCCGTACTATTGCTACGCATGCGTTGACTGGCTGGCATATGGGGACCTTGAAGTCCCGGGTGTCCATAAGGTCCAGGACTCAAGGACCTAGGAATCATGGGACCTGGACCCGGCGAGAAGGATCTCGATGCTTGTGAAAGCTGTGCCGGGGACATCGGACGCTGATAGGGTTGCGCTTGCGGGGGGGCAGGGTAACCAGAGTTGGCGGGAGACATGGGGCGTGCCGGGGACATTGGACATGCAGGGGATTGCGGCCGCGCGTCCTGAGGATAGAAGCGCGGAGTCTGTGTCATGGGCCCAGCCGGCATAGGGCCATTGGGTCCCATCCTTGACGGGCCACGTGGTCCAGGAGCAGCACCTGGAGGCGGACCAGGCCGAAGTTTCAAAGGACGAGACGAAAGACATGAGCGAGGGACAACACCTTGCTGAGAGCGATCCATCCGAATGCAAAGAGCCCATCCGTCGTCATACTCGTGCAGGAGTCTGACCAGATCACCCGCACGCAGTTCCATCTCGTCCGCCATTGAAGGGACGAAATCCATGTGCACGCGATGTACATTGGATGGCGCAGGACCTGGACCCATCGGCGCAGCTAGTGGAGCAGCAGCGACAGTAGGAGCAGTGGGAACTGGCACCGTATTGGCATTAACAGGGCTGACAGGGCTCACCGGACCGTGGCTGAAAGGATCGGATTCGGACGAAGCATGAGACGTGAAGCTTTCAGGACGAGTGGGCAGGCCTTTGTCTGACGCGCTTGAACCTGCAACTGCTGCGGCAGTTGCGCCAGCTACAACCCCAGTTGCCACTATCCCAGTTGCGGTGGTTACTTCAGGAGCGGACCCAGAAACAGTAGACTCTTCTGAAACGGATGAAGACTGAGCAACAGATCTGGAAGGGGAGGGCGCCTCAGACGGACTATTGAATGGATCTACTGGATCGTTGAACGGATTCGAGCTGGCGCTACTTGACTGAGGTGTATGAATTGGCGAAGAATTTCCAGTCAGACTGCGAGTGCCGGTTTCACTGGAAGCTATGGCTGGTTCCTCGCCAACCGTCGACAGGCTAGTAAAACCATCACCGAATTCTGATGCAAATGGCGCAAATTGGGTGACTGGGCGAACGTTCAGTTGAGGAGGATTGGGGGATGTCACTGGCTCGGGTTTTGGAGGCGGCGATGGCGGCGCAAGGACATCTGAGCCCCAGTACTTTTCATCATCGGCTTCATTGTTTGCAAGCTCCTCTCCTTGTTTCTTCTTGCGCATCCAGAAGAAAATCAGCCCTGCAATCAGACCAACACCTAGGAGTACGCCTATTGCAATTCCTGCCTTTGCACCTCCAGAGAGTCCCCCTGATCCAGCAACTGCGGTTGCAGATGCCGACGTCGAAGCTTTGGATGAAGATGGCCCGGTGATGGCGGCGTTTTCCAGTCCGGCATTGCTCTGAGAGGTTGTGGATGACAAGTCAGATGTGGAGGAGAACGTGGAAGATGTGGAAGACGAAGTGCTGGTTTGGAACGTCGTCCTAGTGGACGATGCAATCTCCTCCTCTGTACTCGACACCTGAGTAGCTTTGGTAGCCTCGGTTGTCTGCTCGGTCGTTGTTGGCTGCCGTGTCGTAGTAGGCTCCGTCTCAGTAGACGTAGTGGCCGTAGTATGTGTCTCTGCCTTGGTATGTGTCGTTGACGCCTCAGTTGTCTTTGCCTCCTCTGTCGAAGACGACCGTGTCTGTTTGACAGGAGCGCCAACGCCAACGCCAACCGTGTTCTTGCTGCTGTCCGAAGAGGTCTTGCTGCCTGTCACGTAGCCTCCGATAGGACCATCGAAATCCGGGGCCATAGTCACATAGACCACAGTCACCCCTTGGCTATCATCCGGACTTCGTCCCTTCAGGCGGGCCACCCGGTCACGGTGTGCATGCGCATGCACCATGGTTGTGTTGTTAGGGCACGCGAGACCTATCTTCCACGAATCGTGGGTCTTGCGGGGTCAGTCGGGTAGTGTGAAGTCAATGTTGCCCCGCGTACCTACACAGTTAGGCGCACTGCAAGTACCGAGATAGTGTGGTGTGTATATGTAGGCTCGGTATCAAGAGTATCTGGGGACGTCGCAGGATTAAAAAAGATGGATGCAAGTTGGTTTGATGTGTGTCACAATCGATCATACTAGGTTGCTTTCTTTGTCAATGCGATAAGCTAGTCGCGTAGTGGCGTAAAAGGCGCAAGCGCGTTAAAGAATGTGGGATATAGAAAGAATGGAAATCTGAGAATCCCCAGATATAGTTCGGGATGGCTGGGCCACACCCGATCTAGATTGGTAAACGAAAGACAGCCAGCTTCCCGGGCGCGAAGGTCCTAGGGAAGGAAGAAAAGAAAGGATGGATGAAGAAGAGATGATGAAGGAATAGGAGGAACCGCCGTCCAGCGCGGGCCGTGAAGGAGGTGGTGACCCAAAGGTTGCGAAGGGAACGAACCCAAAGACGAGAAGCCGAACTGGGCCAGAGAGCATCGCTGCCCTTCCGGGTAATTAATTACTGCCCTCCAAACGGAACCGCAGTTAAACGAAATGAGCTCAAAGCCTAAATGAGGGGGCCTCCACCAATCATGCCCCCGTATTGCCCCGTATGGCCTGGTCCGCGCTAGCCTCCTGGGGCGGGGATCACGGGGATTGTCCCGCCCAACTCAGGGACTTGGCCGTCTTGATTGGCGCTGATTGAAAACGGTTCCTGGTTTTATGACGGTCACGGCAAACACGAGGTGCCGGGCCTCGTGCATCAACAATTATCACAGGCATGAATGAGTGAATGGACACAAGAACCCCTCGATCATCCCCCGAGTCCCGGTATGACAATCTACAGGCCTGAGAATCCTTTCACAATTCACCCATCGGGGTGATGCGCGGTCAATGATGATATCATCTCACACAGTTGAACGCTGGACTCGCAATCAATTCCATACCAGTGAATGTCCTTCCAGTTCACCCTGCCTTGTCTATCCTCTCCGGGTCTCTTCCTATGGTAGTCTTGCGCATGGGACCATCAGAGGGATATCGCGGGTCCTTGAGGTGGGAGCCACCCAGTCAGTGCATTGAACAAGATCTTCATTCATTCGTTCATTGGGTGGTCCCTGAGCGACCGCCCATTAATTAGCCAAGCCCCTCTTGAACTCCGGTCCTTCCTAGCGTCACCCACCCACCACGGTTAGATACTGGTCACCGCAATGGTGGTGAGTGGCACATTACTCCGTAGGTGGCACTAAGTTCCTTCCGAGTGTCCGACACTGGCCTGTGAACGAATGGAAATGCCTTCCGCCGTTGAACACCCGCGGACACTGCCAGTGGTGGGCTGCGGTGCAACACCACCCTCGTCCAGCCTCGCGCTCCAAACAAAGCATGCTGCCCTTGCATGCATCACAACTACGATACACTCCTCTCTTACATGATACCTCCTCTGTTTTATCCGTCTTTTTTTTTAGAAAAGGAAAGCAAGTTCATTCTCAGGTGTCAGCAGAATGTGCTCGGGTCGTTCTTCGTTTGAAATCTTCTCAATTATTGAACCGGCGCTCCTCCGTTCGGCTCCGGCCTAAAAATTACGCTAACCTGTTGTCAGGTTATGATTCATGAATATCAGCCCACAATAATAATGCCTCCATCCGGAAATAGCAGAATGTCCGGCTCCTCTAGGATGAAAGTGAAACTGACTGCCGAGCCTAAGCCCCGGTTTCAAACGGCTGTTGGCAGCTCCCAAGCTTTAGCCACAATGGGCTCCAGAACGTCAATCCATCAGGCGGCTGAAACATCCAGCGGGTGTTGGAATGGTCCAAAGGTGCTGGTGAAGCTATGTTGATCGCATTTTTGCTGCGGCGTCATGTGAAAGATCACCGCATTGTCCGTCCCTTTCAAACGCGGAAAGGGGGAAATCAAAAGGTCGCGAGGTAAGAATGTTTCAATGCCTATATTATTGTCAGATATTCGCAAGACATGAACTCTCGCTCTTCTTTTCTTTCAGCCTTCACATACCTCTTCAGCGGACAGGCGTTGACTGCTCTCGTAACGCACCAGTTGGCTTACCAGGTCACGGGCCTTGGTAGAAGCTCCTTTAAGGGTATCATCCCATGCTTTGGCAGGGTATTTGTAGAACTCCACTTTTCCCCAGTCTGGCAGCTGCTGGGTCTCCTGTTTTTCTCTTCATCAGCATTGCGTTCCGATATAACGATGAGGCAACACATACAGGCCAGATGCCTTCATCTGGGGTTCCTAAGGTCTGAAAGATAGACTGAATGAGTGATAAGTCGCTTCCCACAGGACCTGAGTCGAACAACTGCTTGTGTCCAACAGCCACTGCTTCGGCAACGACACAACCGGCCGCCCAAAGATCGAGAGCAGGTCCATATCCCTTGAAACCAAACAGAATCTCAGGTGGACGGTAACACGTGGTTCCAACATCTGTGATCTTTTGATCGGTAGGCTCAGCTCCCTTGCATCCTTCTTTCCATGCGATCCCGAAGTCTGCCAAATAGGCGGGGCCATCAGGGGAATCAAGCAAAATGTTCGATGGCTTGATATCTCGATGTATGATCCCTAGGTCATGGATATAAGCTATTGCACGGAACATGTCCCGCAAATGAGACTTGGTTTGCGCCGCTGTTAATGCGTCTCGCCGAAGCAGTTGCTCAAAGTCATGTTTCATAAAAGGGAAGACGAGAATCAGTCGCCCTTCGTCTAGCCTGAGCGTTTCCAGCAGTTGTATTACGCGAGGACCAGCCGCGTGATGAAGTAGCTGGACCTCACGTTGAGCGTCGTGCGGTGGGACTAATAAGTGAGGGATGGTGACCTTAACGGCCACCAGGGTCCCATCTAAGCGCTTGGACTTATAAATCATGGAGTGTATGCCATCAAAATGAGGGAGGCATGACTGATATGGGCCGATGGTCTCTCCCCCTTCCCACTGGTGGTTGCCGGAGTCGGCGTGGGGCTGATCTGGGCTGCTGATGATGGGAGCCACCGATCCAGTGGCCTCTGCTTGGTCAATAGCCTCCTGACATAGTCTGTCATATTCGGCCTATGTTCTATTAGTTGGGAGGTCGACTTCACGTGGGAGACGACCGACCTTGGATGCCGCTTGATCATAGGCTTCACTTTCGAATCTCTTGGCTTGAGATTGGGCCTCCGCGAACGCCGCCGAGGACGAAGCGCGTTGGTAGGCAGTGGTGCTGAAGGGCATCAGAATGCCTCATCCATGTCGTATGAGAGGAAAATGGGAGGAGAGGTCACCCATGATAGCAGACTTACAGCGATTGAATGGCTGTCAATCGATCTGTGAAGCCAAGGGATTTTTTCCAATCCGGCGTAGACATGGTGTCTGTAGCGGGGGGGGGGCACCAAGTGCACCAATCTGTCAGGATGCGTTTATATATAGATAGTGTAAGATGTATATCGGAGCACTCAAATGGAGAGCAAGCCCGTTGCCATCGCACCGAGGAGATGAAGATAGTCTCCGATGGTGGCAGTAGATCGATAGATACAGAGGCCCGTACCGAGTCGGTACTAGCGCAGGCATGTGACACTCCCGCGACGCCTTACCGAGTCCGGCATGGGCCGACTCGGTTCCTCCGCCCAGTTGTTCCGGTGTTGCAATCCATCATCGTCATCAGCCATCGGCCATCACATCCTCTTCCTCCGCCTCCAGCTGTCCTCCGTCGCTTGTTGAACCGGTCCGGTTCTGCGCTGTCGTTCCGTCCAATCGCCTCCCCATTCGATGCTGACCCCTCCTCAGTGTCATTTTTCCTTATTATGCGCTCCCGACTCTCGTTTTTCTAAGGTTGTGACCTATGAGTAGTGATGGATCTCTCACGGCAGGAGTATCCAGCGTTGCTGGTATGATGGACTCGACCCCAGCCAACCCCACCTTTCCCCCCCCCCCCCCCCCCCCCCCCCCCCACCCCCCCACCACCACCCCCCCCCCCCCCCCCCCCCCCCCCCCCCCCCCCCCCCCCCCCCCCCCAACTTTCGCTTCCACCCATCCTATACCCGTTCTGTGCACGTCTGACCTAGTGTTTACTCGTCATTACCACAGGCCTCTTTGCAGCCCGGCCAAGCCACAAACGTGCTCAATGAGCGCATTCGCATCATAAACAAAGTCAATGCGGACATCGCGGACTGGCTCCAGGTGAGAATGTGTCTTCTCCGCCGGGAACTCTGGAGCACTCTAGCTTATGAGTATCCTCAATGAATAGGAACGTCGTCGCATTGAAGAATTATATGCCCAAGGGCTCCGGAAACTTGCGCATCGGCCGCAGCTGGACAATGGCGCGGCACTCGGGTACGGCCGGCTATTCAAGCCAATCCACAAACCTGCAATTTTCATACTGACAACAGAAACAGCGTCTTTCAGATTCCATGGCAGCGCATAATTAGTGCTACTGAATCGATAGCTCTGTCGCACGAAACCTTCGCACAGAAGATCGATGAGGACGTCGAACGTCCGCTGAGAGAATTCAGCACCAAAAACCGAGAATTATCGTCAATGCCTGGGATCCAGAGTGACCTTGCAGGGCTGGCTAAAAATTACGACGCATGTCACAAGAAGGTAGAAAAGGCCAGGGAGAAGGGCCCGAAAGGTGCAGATAAACTAGCGAGCGCCGTAGCCGCTGCGGAGGAAATCAGCCAGCAGTGGGACTCACGGGCGCCGTTTGTCTTTGAACAGCTTCAGGCAGCAGACGAGAGCCGCCTCAATCACCTTCGGGATGCTCTTACCCAGTTGGAGACCCATGAAACGGATCAGGTGGAACGCTGCCGCCAGGCTGCTGAAAGCTGCTTGAACGTTCTTCTTAACGTGGAGACTGCAGATGAAATAAAGACATTTGCTGCAAAAGTCAACGGAGGGAGACCTGTCGCTCCGAGGAGACAGCAAACTACCTCGCCTTCCCCAGTAGCACCTCTTTCTCCTCCACCACGCCTGCAGGATGACGCTGCTAGCCAGCGATCGGAGCATTCGGGACCTGTCAGGGCGCCTCCTGGTGAGCATCTACTTCCTCATTCTGGGTTATGCCTCGCTTGATGTAGGGTTCTAATGGTCTGTTTACAGTTCCCGAGCCTCGGCATAGCACTCCCCTCGGTGGCCTCAAAAGGCTAGGGACAGTTATGAATCGACGTAGGAGCATTGTTGGGCCTTCTAGTGCCGCCCCCTTCTTCTCGGACAAGAAACATCGCAGTCCATTCGCCTCTTTCAAGAGAGGGGACTCACGCGATCTACAAATTCCCGAGACTCCTCCCGACGGATCAGAGCGTCCCGGAACCGCCATGACGGCTCAGGATAGTTATGCGGAAGCCCCAGGCATTCCGAGCGAAAACCATGAGCATGAGGGCTTTGCGGGCGTGGCATCCAATACGGTGCCCCAGTCAGCACCGGCTACTGCCAACGGCACAACATCTCATGAAGCTCCTGAAACGGTTCCTACGAACACGACCCTGAACGAGGTGAGGAATAACTGGTGTGTGTTTATGGAGCTTTCCAGCTAATCTGCCAACCAGTCACGCGTCGACTCGGAGGGTTTCTCGGAGAGACCCGAGACCATTGACGAGATCACAAGGGCTCAAAGAGAGGCAGCCGGGTAAGCAGACACTGCAGAGTAAGATACTTCGGAAGGCTAACAAGCCCACAGACTGGAAGAGTCGGGAATGAACTTGACGATCAGAGACCAGCCAATCTTCGAGGATGAAGATCAAGCCAAGCAAGCGATGGATGATATGGCTAATCAGCTCCGAATGGTGGGTTTCCCCCGAAGGGTGGCTCCTAATGCACGTCGCTGATGTACCATGCAGCGAGCCCCTCAAAGTGGCCCAAGACGAAACGCCGGAACCTTGCGCGGCCGCCGCGATGTCCGTAACACAGTCTTTATTTCTACCCCAGGAAACGACATTCCTGCCATGCCCTCAGCCTCGGATATGTCGGTCCCAACCTCCCCATCGTTGCAAACCAAGCATGTTGCTTCACCTAGCTCCGCTACGGACGACCACGCCATGTCCGACACGACTTCAATTCGCTCGTCTCATACCCTGCATAGTGCCCCGGGCCCTGTTTTGCACCCCGAACTACACGAGCCGGGTCTGAATGCATCGATAATCGACACGGTCAGTGCGTGGTTCACTGAGGGTGCGGTGACCAAATCATTTGTTCTTGGAGAGCTTGCATTGGCGTACAATGCTACCCCTGATGTGATTCCCGGAAGCACCCGAGTCCGCCTCGACAATTTCCAAATTCTGGAAAAGGTGGCCGCGAACCCACATTTTGTCACCGAGGATAAGGGCAAGGATCAGTCCGATGAGAAAAGGGGTGAATATAGCATCAATCTTTCCAGCATTGCTCGATCCTCGCCGACCGTGGCGTTCAAGTACCAGGTCCACATGGACCCCGCTGTGGCCGCGGCCTATTGTCCGGTTATTTTCAAGCCGGTGTGGAATCTGGAGGAACACCAGGCTAGTGCAATCATCTTCTATTCTATCAACCCGTCGTCCATGCCTGCATTGGGAGGTCCCATCATTCTCAAAAACGTGGTTTTGACTGTGAACCTGGACACGTCTCCTGTGGAAGGGCGCGAAGTGGCCCATGCTACGGCTGCCGTCATGTATCCCAACACCGGAGCAACCTTCCGTCGCAAGCAATCTGCAGTGACCTGGAAGATCCCCGAGCTTGAGGTCAAGGCTGGATCTGATGCCAAATTGCTGGTCCGATTTTCGACAGCCACCAGTTGGCCACGGAAGGGCAAGGTTGATGCCAAGTTCGAGATTCACACTCTTGATGATGGATCTCGCCTGGGAATCAGCGTCGCTACATCAGCGGAGCAGGCCCTACCGAAAGGTTCGGATCCCTTTGCAGACGAAGAATTTGGGGAGACTCCTGAGGCGCAGCCATCCTTGGAATGGAGAAGTGTTCCGACTGCACGAAAGCTGCTCGGTGGAAAATACGTCTCATCCTAAGTCTGAACCATCCGATCCTACCATAGCCGTGAGCTACCTGTACGCGAAGAACGTACTGTTCGAACGCATGGCTCGGCAAGATAGGCTATTCACCAGCATATGAGTCGGGTCCTGCCTCCCATTTAACCCTTATGATGAATCCCAAGAAAAGCTCATCACTGCACACCTTTTCTCTCGGAACCAATTTCTGCTTCGCCCTATGTCCCTACTCTTGACCCTCGTGTGCAATGCATTTGTTTTCGTTTTCTCGCAGCCGTTTCTGCTTCTCTTCCTCACTCCAGTCTCTTTCCTTTGTCCTTCTCGATATCCTTTCCTACCTGGTCGTGTAATTTCGTTCCTTGGCCTCTTCTCCAGCTCATGGTGGGCCTGGTTAATGGTCTGTAAATAAGTTGTTTGTTTATATTATATTATTAGTTCCACTGTAATGGGTAATTGGGACTGTACAACTCCATGCATGGCATCAAGTGGAAGAAGAAACGCATGGCCGAGCCTACTTCGAAACTCGAACCAAGACCATGAAGTCCTACAGAGGCATATTCAGTGCCTTTGCAATTATTACTATACAGGCATAGATGGTGAGGTTCGAACTCGCGTAGTACTTCTGCTATAAAACCAAAACTCGGGAGATAATGACTATATCTGTGATGAAGGCCCTCCGACCGTAATAGAGTATTCAGTATTTTTACTTCATGGTAGCTGCAGACGCAGATCTGGGAGGTAGGATAATTATCATATACTTATATCAGATCCGCTGGCAATCTGCTATAGTATTGCTGGAAATCATGCTGCAGAGGAGCCTGTTAGGCAAGTGATACGGAGTACAGTGTTTTTGAAAATGAGCAGGTTTGCTCAGGTGTTGCAACTAGGCGTATAGTTCCAACCTCCAGCTCACTGGGGAGGATACATTATGACTCTTCATAAACATGGCACCATAATATGTGTGCGCCGGGGAATCACTTGGTATGTGGACAACTAGGACTAGACGCCATGCCCTATAAAAACGAATCGTAGACCTACATGCGTGCAGCCCTCGTAGTCTTGTCATAGAAATCTAGCGTCATTGCGGCAAGGAAACAGGGGATATCCTTCCGTTCTTCGACCCAGAATTTAATCAGGTGCTTGATTTCCATGGCAAAAAGGCTATTGGGACCGCCCGAGATCTTCATCGTGCCGTTTTCTCCATCAAAAATGATTGAATTCTCCTCTCCGTTGCCCATGCTTCCCGGGCCCCTGGAGTCGGAGGGAACATCACGGTCGCCATGTCTGTAAGCGGATGAAAGGTGGAACATCGACGTGACCCGTACACGACCATTTGGAAGGAAATCCAACTTGTATCCCAGCAGGGATGCGACCGCTTCGCGAAATTCGGACGACTTTGCCGTCCAGATCTCTTTCAGTCGCCGCATACGTTTCTCCTTGTCGGCAACCACTCGCTCCATGTCTTGGACTTCCAGCTTCATGCTTTCAAGAGTGCTCACCGGAACCACTTTTACATCCAGGTGGCTGCCACGCAGTTGAGCAAGGAGTTCTTGGTTCTCCGCCTTTAGGGTTCTGATAGTAGAAAGCTTGAGGTTTTCTGCCTCTGCGGTGGGGTTGTCACGCAGTTCGAGAATTCTAGTGCGCGATCTGGCCTTGAGGGACTTGATTTGTGACTTGCTAGCCTCGAGCTCCTTGCGTAACAGAGTCGCTGCTTGTTCGGATTTCGACAAAGACTCCTGCAACGTTCTATTCTTGCGGGTCAGAACGGAAAGCCGCTCGCTTTCCGCATCGCTCTCAGCCGGAGAAAGAGGCCGTTTGACTCCCCGGGGTTGGGACTCATCCTGCGGAGAGGGCTCGCACTTAGTGAGCTCCTCATGGGCCTTTTCCAACTCGGCTCTATACTCATCAACGAGCTTTTCCAGGTTGGTGATTTGCTCCGACTTTTGTTCATCAAAATGGCTTTGTTCTGGATTCATGGTCACCTCCTCCGTGTCAAAAGCCTTAAGCTGAGCACGGAGATAGTCGACTTCTTTAACAGCAAGGGCCCGCTGCCGTTCGAGCCTCGATTTGATACGGCTGTCAGCCATTACCCCTCCAGTAACAGAGCCGGCACTACTGCGAAGCTTCTCAATCTCCTGTCGCAGGGTGGTTCGCTCTGTTTCGAGCCCTCTTATCGCCTCGTCCTTCTCTAAGAACTGTGCCTCAATAGTGCCCAGCTTATCAACAAGAGCGGCCTTTTCTATGCGCTCCTGCAAAAGGGCCTTTACAACCGCTTCCGGGGAGTCGAGCTCTGCCGGCTGATCACTGTCTTGTAAGAGACTGGTCCAAGATCGTCGCTCGTCCTCCAGCATCTGTGCTTGGATTTGAGCAGTGCCCAGTTGCGACTCCACATCCTTCATCAGCTGCAGCTGATTTTCCAGCGATCTCTTCTGTTCCTCCACGACTTCTACATTCTTTTGTATCTTCCGTAGGTGCCGCAGTTCGGTGCTTTGCTCACGATTCGTCGTTTCCAAGTTTCGGATATGGCTGACTTGTTCGGAAAGTTCGCGTTTGAGGACTGACAGTGTCTCAGTATCAGTTCCTTCGGCTTTAAGACGGAGGTTTTCCGTTTCCAGTTCGGCGACTTCTGTTTCCCGCTCGCGTAGCTTTTCTTGTATAGCCTGCATGTCAGCTTGAACGGTTTGAAGGTCGTTCTGCAATTCCTCCACTGTTTTCTGGAGGGACGAGCGGATGGTATCAAGTTCGCTGATCTGATATTTGTACTGTCGCTCCTGATCGAGGAGTTGTGCCTTCGTGTCCTCTACCTCTTCCTGTAACATCTGGTTCTGATCTTGGAGGCTTCGAGCCTTTCGCTCGAGGCCAGCCTTCTCATTGAGCGCATTGTCCTGCGCTTCTTTCAACTCTTTCGCGAGGGTCTCGCTTTTATGAGTGGCCCGATAACTATTGCTTTCTGCAGCCTGGAATATAGCTAGCTGGTTAGGGCAAGAAATCTCATGTTACATGGAGAAATGAGCTAACCTGAGCTTTGCGAAAGTCCGAATCTGCCTTGAGCTGCAAATCTCGTAGCTCCTTCTCATGGTGCAGGGTCATCAGGTCCCTCTCCTGTTTGAAATTCTCCAACTCATATCTAAGAGCGTTCACCTGCACGAGCAGCTCCTCCTTCTCCGTGTCTGAAATGGGGATTTTCAGTCTTAGAATTTGCATTTTCGGACAGACATATGGGCTCACCAGGCTTTGGATAAACTGAGCGGACCGATTGCTTTAAAGCATCCGGTGCCGGTGGCAGTGACAAGGGAGATTCGGCGCGGGGAGTGTCCCGCGAAGGACGCGAATTCACGCTTGGGTTCATCTAGAGCTCATCAATCTCCTTAATCCCAACGGACTGGGGAGCATGCCGCGCGGTACTCCGCGACTTACCTTGGATGGATCAGGCAATGGTCTCCCGCGGACACAGTTGTCCGGATGACCATCCGTGGCAGAAGAATTCCGTAGAGATACCCAGGGCTGCCCAGAAATCCAGCCTTAGGCTGAGAAAAAGGGCGCAATCATCCGACCAGACCCAAGATCTGCTTCATTGTTTTCGATAGAGGGACTGGAACAACCCGAGTAGGCACGTGCTGACTCATCCACTTCACCGCCCGCGCCAGCTTTGGCTCTTAACTAGGACTAGCGCCGAAATTTTGAAATGGATTTCGAATTTTTGCGGAAGAGACCGACGCCTACTGTGTATTCCTCCCCACGCCCGTCGCCGTCTTTCTCGTCTTTCTCCCCCTCTTTCGGATTCAGTTCAACTCCCTGGGTGGGTCGAATATTCAAAATGGCCAAGGATAGGACCGAGAAGAAGGACAAGCGCGAAAAGAAGGAGAAGCGCGCGGAGAAGGACGGTGTCTCCAAGAGCAGCAAGAAGGACAAGAAGGAGAAGAAGGACAAGGTCGCTCTCGCCGACGCCGTCGAGAAGGAACTTACCACCAAGGTTTTGGAAGGCATTGACCAGGCCGTTTCCGCCGAGGCTCCTGCTAATGGCGTTGAGACCGAGCTCATGGAAATTGACGCCCGCCCCGTTGGCGCAATTGTTCCTTTTGCCAGCCCTCTGGTCGAAGACAAGGCTGCCAAGAAGGCCTTGAAGAGCGTCAAGAAGGGTAAGATATCCACGTGCTTTGAATTTGTTTTCCAGTGTTGGGCCCGGCCTCTCTTGGTCTCGATGACATGAGATTCACTGGGCCTTGGTTTCTGGCTCGGAAGTCTTGCTGTGCTTCGTCGCATCGGCTGCGCCGCCGTTCCTTGATCGCTCGCCATATGCTGACTTCGTGATCTACAATAGCTGCTGTGAACAAGTGTTTGAAGCGTGGTGTGAAGGAAGTCGTCAAGGCTCTCCGCAAGTCGCCCATTCCCGCCGCCAATGCCACCATCGGTGTCCCCAACGGTGTTGTCATCCTCGCTGCGGATATCTCGCCCATGGACGTTATCTCACATATCCCCGTCCTGTGCGAGGACCACGGTATCCCATACATCTTCGTCACATCCCGAGCCGAGCTCGGCAACTCCGCCGCCACGAAACGCCCCACCAGTGTCGTGATGGTCGTGCCCAAGTCGGCATCGAAGGGCAAGAAGAAGGATAGCGAGGACGACGGAGAGGACTTCACCGAGGTGTTCGAGGAATTGGCCAAGCTCGCCCAGAAGGAGGCCAAGAAGGTGAACCTGTGAAGTTTCAGCTGGACTTCTGAATCCACCCTTCCTTCGTTCTGTTATGTCTTAATTATATTTCAATGTCTTGTCGCTTTGCTGCTATGGCTGTACAGTTCCACTTTGTTGCCTGACAAGGCATGCATGTCTTCGGGGTCTGGCCTTTGGGACGTGTTCATTGGGTTGACTTTTATGATGTGTCCGTTGCAAATCTGGCGTTCTCAAATGGTGTATGAAAAAGGCAGGAAGTATCCAATAAAATCCAAAAATCTTGACCAGAGCGTTCGTAAGCAAATCCATGTTGTGCTCAGGAACATAGGTTGTCTCCTCTTCGTCCTGGAGAGAAAGGATGCGAATAGAAAGGAATGGAGTCACAGTCCATCACCATCAATTCCGACAGACAATTCAATGTCCTTGGGGGTCGCTCTTTCCTTCTTCATTGACAAACAACACGGGAAGGAACGAAGGCCCAAGTGGGCTTAGCGTGCAGCAGCTCCAGTTGCTGCCTCTCCAGAACCCAACCACACCACTTGCTATAGTAGTAGTTACCGAGTACGGAGTACCATGAGGCACTTAGTACCATGTCGTGGTTAACACGATCCCCCATTCAGCATCCTTACCGATCGTTGATCTCTGTCTTCGTTCTCTGGAAGGCTTTCCTACTTCTCCTTGCTCTCCTCACGCCTGGTCCCGGGTATGACACCTCGACGACCTTGGCTCAATGGCACAGGAACACCAGTGATATCCAGGGACTGATCCCAACCATCTTGAGACAAATATCTACCAAGTTGACTAGGTGGGATGCCATCTATTTCACCGAGGCGGCAAGGCGCGGCCATCTTTTCGAGCAAGAGTGGGCGTTCAGTTATGCCTTCTCAAAGTTCATCAGTCTCCTGGCCGCTGGTAAGAGTCGTTCGTCAAGTTCCGTCCTTTCCCAGCTAAGATTTCGGCCAGGATCCGAACACACAGGCACCTTTTCGTATGAGTTCAAGGAAAGTGCACTCGGCGTTGCCGTAGCCTACGTGGCGCATGCCACCTCTGCAGTGATCCTCCATCGTCTAGTGTGTACCTTCCTTCCGGGGATGCAAGGACGCAGGCTGGCTTTCATCGCAGCCTGCTTGCACATTCTCTCTCCTGGTGGCCTCTTTCTGTCGGCTCCAAACGCCGAAAGCCCTTACTCTCTCCTGAGCTTCACGGGCGCGCTCCTATTTGCTCGGAGCTTCAGTGTTTCGGGCATCTCAACAAGCAGTCAAGATGGTCTATTAGTGCTTGCAGGTATCACGTATGGTATATCCGCAGCTGTTCGTGGAAATGGTCTTCTTAATGGTGTTGTTTTCCTCGAAGAAGCAATTCGTGTCTTTTATGCGTTCACGCGGGACTTCAGCTTCCCCAAATTACGGCGACTCGCCGCGGTCGGTTTCGCCGGTATCTGCACGGGACTCGGTTTTGTACTGCCGCAGTATATTGCTTACCAGCACTTCTGCGATAACCACAATCCTACCGGCGAAGTCTCGTCGAGGGAATGGTGTCGTCGAGCCATTCCGAGCATCTACAGCTTCGTGCAGGATCATTACTGGTATGTGCCTCGCTCCGTGTTCGGTGGATTTCTACTGATGCGCGTAGGGACAATGGATTTCTTCGATATTGGACTCTGCCCAATCTACCATTATTTGCATTGGCCAGTCCAATGCTAGCCATTCTAGTGTACTCTTTTTTTTGGACACTGAATGTGGAGTCATGCGATACGACAAAGCGAGCTTTCCCGACAGGGCAACTGACAGATCGTCTGTTGCGTAGTCTAGCGACCCCTCAGATTATCCTTACGGTTATGGTGTTTTTCTGCAATCATGTTCAGATTATCACTCGATTGTCGTCTGGTTTCCCAGTCTGGTACGTCTGGATAGCAGCTCTTATCGTGGACAGCCATACTGCTTCTTCGTCCGCAAAAGGGCATCTGAAGAGAAGTGGTTACGGACGGATAATTGTGCAGTATATGGTGATATATGCTGCTGTACAGGGCGTACTCTTTGCATCTTTCCTACCGCCAGCCTAAGGAATCGCCCTAATCAGCGAAGCCAACCTTGTTGAAGATACCAACCTGACCCCTTAGTGTGCATTGGCCTTCGAGGCACGACATGGTCATATGCTACGATATAAAGAAGACGTCATATGAGTCGGTCAGTCTCAGATTGTTTATACCATCTAGTTAGATACACTAATACAAGACAGAAGGACACAGTCCTCCCCAGAATAAGCCTTTTCTACCAGGCCCAAAACATTACACAAAGATAATGGAAACAAAAGCCCGCTTTGCTTTTCGTGACATCATCCATCATAGCCCCATTTAAGCCCTCTGATCGGACTGCAAATGCTGGTACCAGTGCTGGTTATCCACGCCCTTCTGTCTACCAGCAGGGGTACCATCCGGACCGCTCTCGGCGGCTTTACGCTGGAAGCGAGCCTGTGCGTACCGACCAGGGTCATTCTCACTACCAATATCAGTAGTGTAGCTAGCGTTTGGCGCATCATCCGGGATATCTCCTTCCTTCAAGTTGGCCCCCTTGGGCTTAGTGTTGCCCAAGTGGCTAGTCACATCCTCAGTGTACGACGGTGCCGCTCCAGCATTGTACTGGCTGTTGTATCCGCTGCCACTGGCCGGTGCGGATTGCTGCTGATAGCCAGCTCCACCGGACGACTGCTGTTGACGACCCTGGCCCTGGCCCTGCTGAGACAGCTTCTGAGAAGCAGGGTACTGGTCCTGGTTGATGCCGAGGTCCTGCTTAGCAGAGGTAGGACCGCCGACGTAGCCGCTCTTCAGCTCGTGAGCGCCGGGGTAACCGCCCTGACCGCTCAGAGCCTCGGGGTACTTCTCCTGGGTGTCGGCGTTGGAGTCGAGCTTGGTGGCGGCGCTAGTGTCGGTGGTGCGGACGGTGGATTGACCACCTGAGACGCCCATGGGCTGGGCTCCGCGGTTCTGAGAGAAGGCACCGCCCTTGGTGGCTGATTCGGCGGCCAGGGAGTCGTTGGTGACGGGGCCGGAGGGCTCCTGGATGGGGTTGTTTCTGCGCTCCGGGTCGGAGGTGACCTGTTCCGTGTTATTAGGCGATATTCTATTGCAGATGGAAAATCATGTACCTTGGTGCTTCTCTGGCCGGAAGGGATAGGCTGTCCTTGGAGATCCATGGTGATTTGAGACGTGATATGTGTTATTGAGCGTAAAGTTGTGTAGTTGTTCAAACAACGAACTGCCAATTCTTCTTGAATCGATCAGATAGATAGATGAATTCTGCTATGTCCATCCAACAACCGCGCCACCAAGCAGACTATATAACCTCTTGCACTAGATGGCGTCAACCAACCCGATACACAACTTGCATCGCATGATGTCATACTGACATTACGACGAGTCCACCGATCCAGACCCCCAACGAAATAACTGGCAACAGGTACGTCAACGAAACAGCATCTGCTTCCACTTGTGGCGTCAAGCATTGCCCTCGCAGCCTGGAATTGCCGTCTCCGAATCGGGTTCCCAGATTCATCTCTTCGGCGTCGCGGCGAGATCCCGGTGGTTGGGTCCATCCGTCCACATGCCTGATTGCCTTTTCGGGTACTCTGTACTCCGTAACACTAGAGTGATCTGGTATGAGACATGCAGAGTACTACCTTTGGAGGGGTTCTTATTGCGTAGATGAGGTTGATGCGCTGATGGGAGGGTGTGTTGGCTCTTCTGCTGGGGGTCGGTCTGGATTCATGACGTCATGGGTCACATGTAATCTATCTATCCTCTGTCTGGGTGTTTGGTATGGCATCGTGGGGGATTGGATTCATGAGAAGACTACAGTTATTTGGCACTTTGTGATTATGTTTGTCAATATGTTGTTGTGGGCTAAAGGATTTTGGTTTCACGGCGGGAAGCCGATTGGACGTGGGTGGTGTAGTATATTTTGACAGTGGAATACGGATAGTGGCAGCTGAAAGAGGACATCCAAATCACGATAACTGGAATGGATATTGACTACTACTATGTAATAAGGACGACATGATTAATGCAGGCTTAAGTTATAAATTCTGTTTCAATGTCGACACAGTGTATATATAGTGCACAAGTGAAACCCATGGTAGTCTACAGAATTTACTAAGTTATTGAGAAGGAGAGGATGATGATTGTATATCCGTTTTGTTCATTAATGCTCATTCATAATAATACACATAGCATAGGGCCGTAGTCAATACTCCCTTCCAAATTACCGGTAAAGAGCATCCCGGGGCAGACCGTCAAGGTTATCCTTGCCCTGGCGTCCAACGCCACTCATGGGTTGCGTGTTCTTGTGATATTCATTGCCATCGATCCGGACACTGCTGCTGGCAGTCGCGGGTTCTCGCAGGGCACTGTTGTTCTCTCCGGAAACGGGTCCTTCGCGACCGCCAGAACCTACGTTGACGGTTCTCTGGTCGGCGGAGTTCCAGTCACTCGCCACAGGAGGCTGATCAGGCAAGGGCAGGTTGGCCTTGGTCTTGTCGATCTGGGCCTGCTTGCCAGAGTTGTTTTCGTCGACGATGGACTGGGTTCGAGGTTAGCGTGGGGCAGAGAAGTAGGTTCGAAATGGGTGAAGTACCTTCATGGCGGAGATGTTGGAGTTCTTAGGGGTGTTGCCGGCACCGGCGTGAGAGGCATGGGACTCAGCCTTGCGGAGGTCCTGGGTGGTGGTGTGGAAGGTCTGTTCGGACATTTTGGATGGTGTTGAGATGGGAGGTGGACGAAGGGATGAAGTGGTAGTAGTGTGAATTGTAAAAAGTTGTAGTTCGAATGCGGTACACTGCTTGTGATGAGAGACTTTGTGTTGATTGATTGATAGATCTGTCTCAAGGGATCATGCTGCTTTTAATATGGACTTGAGTCGACGAGAGCCGATTGTGGATGGCTGGTGACGTCGTAGCGGTTAACGTCATACAAGCCGGCCTCACCTTGGTTCGCCTTCCAGCCAGCCCAGCCATGAGATAGTCATTGAGCCTTTCAGCATGGGGCTACTGTGTCCACTTCATAATCATGGAGACTCTATGAGCAAATAAGACAACCTTGTTTACGGGTGCACCTCATTGGCTGATGAATATCATCAGTTGACAGCGACCTGGCGCCCCCTGGTGTTGGCTAGCAACCACGACAGTTCTCCGCATAGCGGATTCTGGTTCCTGGATAATGCTTTCTTCTTTCTTCTTCCTCTAGTTTCTTGACCCATTACAATTACATCTTCTCCCAATTGCTGCACCGGTGAAGAGACGGCGGATCCTGCGATCCGAGCCCAAGTGTAAGGGATCATCATGCTGATGATGCCATCCCAGATCTGATACTAAGCATAGAACAACTCAGGAACATCATTATGCAGTTCCTGGCGGGTCAGTGCTCGCCGACTTGGATATGCACCCCATCGGGCATCGCTCGCGATCATGTCAATGACGTACCCTTTTGTATCGAGGGATCCTGAGCGCAATTGATGTACAAGACAGCAGGAGAAAATTCACCAAGGAGCACAGCGTCCCGAGTATGATGCAAGCACATATCGCTCAGAGTCATCAAAGCATGTCTACATGTCATGGCGGTACCTTGCCGATCTCAGCCTGCTGCGACACAGTCTCGTGGACTTCGATACTACCAATTTATGGTCTTGATTTTCGAGATACTTGCAGGTTGCTAGCTGGTATAGGACTTTAGACGAGCCTAACCAGGAAACTAGATATTTCCATAGCAGTGGACTCCATCGCAACTGCTTGGGTATACTTCACAGTAGTGGTATAAGGCGTCGCAAGGACGTTGTTCTTTCTTCTTTCTGTTGACCTGACAACGCAATCCGAGACTGTCGTCAACTGATACAGGAGAAGGATGTTGCCTGTGCGCGTAGTTCGATGTACCACTCAAGTCCAGTGCGATTGCACCGGTCTAAATGCCTAGATGTAGCGAGATAGCATCGTCAGCAGCACCAAGCACGCCATTGGCCAAGAATACAACTCGAAGTGACGCTTGTTCGCCGGAAGGGGAAGGAGCGACTCAGGGACAGTCGGCGTCTCGATCGGGCGCAGTGTCTCAGACCGCCTTCCCAGGGTGGACGGCAGAAATTGACCATCTCCCCGCTGATGCAGAAATGACTTTCTCGATTTTCTGGCAATCAGACGGAATAAAATTTATTCAGACGTTGTTTCGTGTTTCTGTACCTTAGACGCGTTGCGCATTTTGTAAGATGCCGAGAGATCCATTGATTGGGCTGGTTGGAAAGGTCTGGGTTCTTTTTCCCTTGTACGAAATGCCGCTGATCGAATTGAGGGGCATGTAGCCATCCAGCGGAAAATCGACAACATTAAATAGTTTGACAGATGCTTCTTCTAAAGTCGGTAAGCTTTTTGGATTTGCATTCTACCGTTATCCCGGAGCGCATACTTATATCATGTCGTTGTCCAGGAAATTTCCCGTACGTTGAATCTGACTACCGTTATTGTTATCGACAATGATATCGCTTTACGGACTTTACAAAGAACACATTCTCAGAGCTTCTCTGACTTGCAAATTGCAGCTTCACTACTATCGATCCTCAGCGTGCCATTGGATACCTCCAGATAGAGTGCGCCTGCCAGCGATTCAACGTTTCTGATAAATGCAAACCGAACTATGGAGGATGCGTGGAGGGACGACGCTCTGTTCCGATCGAACTTCTGGATGTTGCAGGTCTTGTACCGGGTGCACACCAAGGACGCGGCTTGGGTAACAAGTTCTTGGATGACCTGCGTCATGCCGATGCATTGATCCACGTTGTGGACGTTAGTGGGACTACCGATGCAGAAGGTTGGATATATCGATGTAAAGCAACTTTCGGAAAGTCTTTGCTGATGACGCTCTATAAATCCAGGAAAGGCTACGCGAGGATATGACCCTTCACAAGATATTGAGTGGCTGAGGTCGGAGATTGTGCGCTGGGTGCTGGGAAACCTTATGCAAAGATGGTATGCCTGCGTTTATGAGTCTACATAATTACAGGCTGATACTTTATAGGGGCTCTATCAAGAGAAGACACGTCGCAGTCAGTAAGTTTTGTCAATCTACGGCCAATAATTTCCTGCGGATGTTGACACGGAACCAGAGGCCACGGCGGTGGAGACTTTGCAAGCCCAGTTTTCTGGTTACGGAGGTACAAGTGCGATTGTTGCTCGATGCTTGGACCGGATGGCACTGAAGGAGCCTCTCGAGGAATGGTCTGACGAAACCGTGGAGAAAGTTGTTGAAGGATTCATTGCGGAGAAATTCCCCACGGTCTTCGCCTTGAACAAGATCGATCACCCGGACGCGGACAAGGTTGGTTATGTTCCCAATCATATCTGGAATGGTTACTGATATGGTGGAACCAGAACATTAGCAAGATCGCCAAGATGCAAGATCCTCAATCTATCGTACTCTGCTCTGCAATCTCAGAAGTGTTCCTCCGGAGACTAGCCAAGCAGGGTTACATCAAATATGTTGAGGGAAGTGAGTTCTTAGATACGAGGGAGGATCTGATAGAAATGGGTGAGCCTGATGGAGGCGGCCTCAAGGAAATGGACGAGAAGCTGAAATCGTATGACGGTAACCTCCACCCTTTCAGCAGGACTGGGCTCACATGGACTTAGGCGCGTTGAAAACTTGAAAGACATGGTCCTGTATCGTTTCGGTTCTACGGGAGTTGTTCAGTGCCTCTCACGTGCTGCAGAAATATTGGGACTTGTGCCGGTTTTCCCAGTCCGCAACATCCACACCTTCTCATCCGGCGCTGGAACAGCTGCTTTCCGTGATTGTGTCCTTGTTGGCAAGTAAGTATCTCTTGTATATACCTGTTCAAGTGGGCCTTCTAACACCGAACAGGAACACCACTGTTGGCGATGTTGCTCGCAAGGTGATGGGCGACGTACCCATCTCCTACATTGAGGGAGTTGGTGGCATCCGTGTCTCAGAAGACGAAATAGTGGAAGTAGGAAAGCATGATGTAGGAGCTTCTACCAGATTTTCATCCGCATTGCCAAGGCTAACTAAACCTTTCTATATAGGTGCTCTCGTTCAAACCTGGCCGATAGATCCTGCTATTCAATTTATGTACAGTCAACGTGATAATGAAACAATGCTTGAGATTATATGACTCGGAGCCGAGCATCTTTTGTGAGCGTATAAACCATTCCTAAGGTTCAGACAAGGGGGGGTGGTCCTCCGCTTAGTGGCCCTTCTATCAGAGCAATATTGGTTAGCCAGTTCTGTCCGAGAGACCATCGCTCGCGAATTTCTTGAAAAGTTGGCAGATCAAGGAGAGACTGGTGTCGTTGTGTCCTGATTGAATGAAATCAACTCACCTGGCCTCTCTCATCATTCATTCCAATGATCGGTTCTGGTGCCTTTGGATGCTCTTGCTTTGCCTTTCTTCCATGCTTCGTGCCCCCCCGCTCCGTTGCTCCCTGAGGTTTCGAGCTATTGGCAATCCCCTCGCTCTCCTCCCTGTCCTTCATTACTGAAGCCGACGCATCCGTCGTTGGGTCCGTGGTGTCCCGCTTCTGTGTTCGGTCCACTGCGTGATCCTCTGACCCAGTACCCTTCCAGTCTTTGGTCACGCCGCTGTTAAACCGAGCCTGCACGCTTTTCGGTGTATGGATCGCAGCCGGTTGCCAGATGGAACGTAGCGGAAGCAGACAAGGTGTCGGGGGCCGAGGCACGAGCAGACTCTGAAGTCTTGAGGCCGAAGACGGAATGCGAGGGCTGGCAGGCATACTGATGCTATACTGTCCGAAGTAGCTGTGGGTTTCGAAGGGTTCTTTTATTCTCAGATCACTATCGCGCTTGTTGTAGAATGACTATACGTCTGAACAGAATCAAGTCTCCCACGTCTTTCAATTAATAACGAGCTGAGCTTGATCAAATCGCCTGGAGAACCGGCCCGAGCACCTTTGTATGACGTCTACATGCCGCAATGAAACCATGCAGCTGCTTCAGGCTAGTAGGGCTTAGGGCACCCAGCTCCACCTTTCTTATCGATAACAACAACACCAAACACCTGACCTGCCCATCGCATGTCATGCAGCATAGCAACGTTGTCCAGATACCCATGCAAGAGTATCGCACCTTAATTTAACCCCAGCTAAAATGAAGCACAACTACCTTCCAATTGAGACATTACCCCCCTGGACCAAGCTCAACGGAGTCACCGTCAAGGGCATCGCTTTCCGCAAGCTGCGCGCAGACGATGGCACCGACAAGGGATCTGCAATTGTTGCAACAGAGGTACGATCCAGCGAAGAGCCTAAAAGCGATGTAGTCGAGCCGGAGCTCCTTCTCCGGGTTCCGTCCGATCTAGTCCTTTCCCAGGGCTTTGTCGAAAATTACGCCAAATCCGATAGACAGCTCCGTGAGGTATTAGAAGCCGTTGGAGACTTTGGAAGAGTAGGTCCTTATTTCAACTTCCATGGGTCTTGATAATGTGAATGCTATATTTTGGTAGCGGTGGCGGGATGGGATAGTGGGCTCTGGGACCCGGTGCTGATATGTACAGACAGCTCGAGGCGCTATCTTGATCTTCCTACTCGTGCAACTTACGCACTCTAGCCCTGATTATGCGCACGAGCGCCATCAGATAGGACTGTCGAGTCCGTGGACCGAGTATATGAAGTACATGCCGTCTGCCATAATACTGCCGACCTTCTACACGGAAGAGGAGTTGGAGCTACTGCGGGGGTCTTCATTGAGGCTGGCTGTGCATGCCAAGATCGCCTCTCTTGAGAAGGAGTTTGAGCACCTGCGCGAAAGCACGGAGGGCTTGTCTTGGTGTGGGAAGTATTGGTGGGATGAAGATACGGGGAAGTTGACGTTCGAGGATTGGAAATATGTCGATGCATTGTACCGGTCACGGATGGTGGATCTACCGCGGAATGGACATGCGATGGTCCCGTGCATTGATATGGCAAATCATGCTTCTGGAGAAACAGTCAAGGCGTTTTATGATGAAGATGCGGGTGGGAATGCTGTATTGCAGCTGCGTCCTGCGAGAAATTTGCGGGTTGATGACGAAGTCACTATCTCGTGAGTGCCGACTGCATCCTAATTGCCTGATGATGATTCATGCTAACAATGATGGATCAAAGGTATGGCGACGAGAAACCCGCCTCCGAGATGATCTTTTCCTATGGCTTCCTCGACAAGCAGACAACCGATGCAAAACAGATTTTCCTCGACCTGGATATCCCAGACGACGATCCCTTAAAAATCGCCAAGAAAGCATTCTGCAAAGATGCACCCGGGGTCAAACTATCTACGTCCTCCACCGACTCGAACACAAACGCTGCTACAACCTGGGACAGTCCCATCATCTGGTGGGCCTGTGTCAACGAGGAAGACGGGCTGGACTTCAGCGTACTTCAGACGAACGACGGGGGCCGCGAACTCAAAGCCACCTGGAACGGAGAGGATGTGAAGAGCCCGGATTGTCTCAAAGACCTCCTAGCAGCAGATCCCCGCTGGGACGTCTACCAGCTTCGTGCGGTGGTGCTCATTCTCGAGCGACTTGAGACACAGTTCTTCGTCCTGCGACAGACCGATCTGATGATTTCCGAGATCCGCGACAATGAGGACATGCGAGCCGTGTTCAGACCGGAGGTGTTTGAGACGGTCCTCAAGTTGCGAGAGTTGGAGTCTAAGCTGATGGAACGGGGGATCGAGGACCTTGTCAAACAGGTACGTGCTATTATTCTAGCCCCTGCGTCTCGACCCCGTAGTCTCATCAAAATCCACATACTAACTACTACCACCCATGACACAGAGAGAAACTCTCATGACAAGCCCCGCTGTCAGCACCTATCTCACCCAACAATCAGATGATATTGAGGAGGATTTCTCCTGACTGGATGTAACGTGACTTGACTTTCCACACACAGACCCCTTCCTCCCAAGAACCCGATAAACTCTCACCTTATATAACCATATCATCATTACTTAACAAATGACTCACTTGCCTCCGGCAGGAACCTATAAGACCCCATCACGCGACGATCCTTCCGCATCCTCCCCGTATTGAAAGTAATTCCAATACACATACCTATTCATACCCGGAAAGTAACCGTGCCGAAACGTGGAGGAGCAACTTTACTACATAGTAGTACGTACTAGTAGCAAGATCTGAGTTAAGTTTGGAGTCTTACCCACCGCGGGGTAATGGATCCTTCAATCAGATGGGGCAAACCCCATGGCGAAAGTTGAGAAGATTGACTACTAGTGCGACGGTCCCGGAAAGTTGGGCGTCGGTTATAGTTACTAGTAGTCATTGGCATTGGCATTGGCGGGGGTGGGATTTGCGCCAAACTATTTACTGATTTTGAGCCAAGATGGGCTTTAGATTGGGAGGCTTGGGGTGATGACGTTGCGGGCTAGCATTTGCGAGGCGCAAAGTTTGGGCCGATGTCGCACACGGGGAGAAGGGGTGAGTGGTTTGTGTCTGTGTTTCATGGATTAATTGATCGGAGATGAATTGATCGCTTCGGGGACACAAGAATGCATGGCATAAGCTGTGCATAGATTGTCGAGTCTCTAGATCATCCGGGAGGTGTGTGATGTGCTACTGCTATCACTCTATCTGCCGTGGGGCAGCCCTGATGCACGCTACAGCTTCGGTCCGTCATGATCGACTGCTGCCCTGGCCGGGATGGATAGCCTGGCACAGAGAGGACGAGGGTCTGGCCAGCCAGCCACCCCTCTGACCCAGTCCCTGATCCTGGGCTGGAGGGGCAATGCAAAGCGCCGGACAATCATCGACTGGCAGCAAAACACCGAAGGCCAAAGACAGCTTAGTCAAGAATCAGCGGCAAGATAATAATCATGACAGGGGTTGGCCCTTGTTCATTGCATCCAAGTAACTCCATGTCACTGAAACAGCTGTGGTTGGTGAACCAACATTGGGCGGCTCCAGGGATTTCCGCCTCCACCTCTGCGATTTCTCGGTCAAGTCTCGGCCAAGAACCAATATTCACCGAGCAACGGTCAACAAATTGAAACCCCTTCGGAGTACCGAGGACATGATATATTAAGCATGATAACCGATAGTAGTCGATAGTACTGTCGGACTTTGCCGCCCTGCAGGGGCAAAGAAACAGGAAAGCAATAAAAGAGAAGAGGACGAGGAGGTTCACTCCAGCTGCACTCCTCTTATACTAGATCTTCCGGTGTCTCCACTGGAATCAGCAGGATCGATACCGATACGGCCTCATGCCATCCAGTCAATGGGAATACGAGGATAATAATCAAGTCAGCACCAGAATATGCTCTCAGCCTCTCCGCGATCTTCTAGCCGCGAACACCGGGGGAAAAGTGGCAACGCCGCATCAGGCAGCTCACTATTTCCAGACCCAAGGATTAAGCCCTGACTCAAACGGGTATGGTTCGGCAAACACTCGGGTTCCCCACCCGGATTGACTCGTTGGGCTCGAATTGGACGCCTGGCTTTATCACCGCTAGAGAGAGATAATGAGACAGCAGGGCTGCTTCCGCGCGTCACCTTGAGCCATCGCAGCCAGCGCTGCTTTCCAGAAGGGAGCTCTGACTTTTCACCCTCGTAGACGAATATCCAGAGAATGTGTGCTAATTGCCCCCCCTGTCAGTAGTCTCGCCCCTGACCAAAGGTCCTGGTTCAACTTGGGTTCCGAATTGCGGGGAGCTGCCCTCCAACCATGGGACGATGTATGGAATGGTGTAATATCAAAGTCTGGACAATTGGCAAGACCGATCTCCATTGCCTCAGCTGTCGGACTGCGAGCCCGGTGGAATCCGGAAAGCTTTGCTGGCTCGGATTGCTGTGATCTTCAACAGCCGGACCGCACTTGCATCCTGCTAGTCTCGGTTTTGTATGGTTCATCTACATGCTCCGTACTAGTCGTCGCGCCTGCTCCATCGCCTCCAAGAGAATCCGTGCTTGGAGGGGGTGGGCTTGCAACCATGGGCCTTGGCAAAGATCATGGCGATATGATTAGATATGGCGATAGCCTGGACAACATTGATACGACGACCAGCATATCTGGCCGCATATTGCTCGTTCGCCAATCACTTGCCCTGTTGGCACGCCGGGGGAGAAATTAATGTAGGATCCTCCGGTGAACAGAGGTCTTATTGCACCGCTGCCATTTATCATACATTAGTGGCCGCGGCCTACGCAGGAGGTCTGCCGGGGACTTTCCTTGGACGGAAGTCGTGCCTGCCGCTGGCAGGGCCGAGTCTGTGACACGGGAGCAGGGGGGAAGGAGCAGCCTGTCAGTGTCTCTTTCTCTGATAAGGTGACCGCGAGGGGATGCCGAGGGAGGTGCGCCGTACGGAGTCGATTGCTGGGCCTTGCTTGTTCTCCGATAGGATACTCCGTGCCAGGCCAGCCAAGTACTACTGCTAGTAGTGGCAGTAGTAGCAGTCGTGGTAGTATCTAGTAGGTAAGCAGTAATTATTTACCCGCAGGAGATGCTATTGCTCTCACGTTCCCCTTCTCAGCTCACCTCCCCAGGAAGGATGATGGGTTGGGCGGGCATCAGGTGTCTGTCCTTAACTGCCGAGGAACGGCGTGTTAACATCTGAATAACCTCAGCGGCTCCAGGCTGACCGTACGGGTAATACGGGGGGGGGCGAGGCAGCAACTCCATGAACCTTCAATTCCAGTCAGTGATTTCAAGTCCACCGGCGGTCGGGTGAGCGAATGAGCGAGCCGACAATCGGGATTGGCGGACATCCCAGCGCATGACCCACATGGGCAGCCCCACCTGCCCCCCTTTTGAGCCGGTACGTCCTCAGCCCGCACCGCGGAACATTCTTACCATGGCCTGTTACCTGCGCCGTACATCGAAAAGTTGCTTCTGCTCTCGCCTGCCCCGTCGCTCTTCTCTCTCCATCTTCACTTGCTACCAGCGTTCCCGACTTACCACCGCCACTCCCTTCCCACTTACCCTCACCTTCAACTTTCAACATCCCGCCAGTGTCCGCTGTCTTTCCTAGACTTCGACACACACTCACTGTCGGAAAAGTTCGCCTAGTCCCGGACCCGTCTTACACTGCACCTAAGACGTTCGCGTCGTCTACTGTCCAAGTTCCCCGGGTGTAATCGAACAGCACTCGCAAGCCCGGCGCCAACCCGACCTGTTTGAAAGGCAGATGCGCCACAGCATCCAGCCAACATGCCTGGAATTCTCCCGATGAAAGTGATCAAGGTCGGGAACGGCTCACAGAGTCGTATCGCTCAGGCCTGTGATCGATGCAGAAGCAAGAAGATTCGCTGCGACGGCATTCGCCCCTGCTGTACTCAATGCGCCAATGTCGGTTTCGAATGCAAAACTAGCGACAAGCTGAGTCGACGTGCCTTCCCCCGTGGATACACCGAATCGTTGGAGGAACGCGTGCGTGCTCTGGAGTCCGAAGTCAGGGACTTGAAGAACCTGCTGGATGAAAAAGACGAGAAGATCGATGTCCTTTCTCGGATCCACTCCTTCTCGCCCTCACGTCAGAGGCCAAGTGTTGCAGCAACATCACCATCGGCGTCTGCAAAATCCAACGCACCCGATGCAGACGAGGGCATGATTCAGGTTCAGCACTCAGTACAGCCTAACGACTCCAGCTCGACTGAGAGTGCAGGGTTGTCGAATACTCGCGGTTTTGCTGGTATGTCGCACCATCCTTGCGTGCTTTTAAATGGAAGCCCGTGCAAGGCGCCCAGGCACGAAGAACAAGATTTTCCGGGAAGAACCATGGCTAACCTTTTTAGACGCTTTTACAAACAAGCTTGTAGAGCAAAATCGATTGCCATCCAGTGTCTCGATCAAAACCTTAACGACTCCCTCTCCTATCTCTCATTCGCGCGTCGACCAGGCCATCCGAACAGCGCCTCGACTTGTATCCGATCAGCTCATCAACATCTTCTTCCAGGAATGGGCCCCTCTCTACCCGGTGGTTCACCGGCCCACCATCCTCAAAGCTTATGAGCAGTATCTTTCGGGCACGGAGTCTTCGCAGGGAAGCAAGCATGACTTGGCACAATTGAATTTGATTTTTGGCATCGCCGCTCTTGCGTCTATGGTATGTCGTGAGCCTAGAATGGCAGAGAAGACTGGAAACTAATTGTTTTGCGATAGTCGAGAACCAACCAGGACCCTACCTTTTTCGAAGACAATTGGTCATCCATTCTCGAATCAATCTCAAGCGATATTTCTCTTTCGACGATGCAATGTTATGTGCTCGCCCAAATGTACTGCATGACCAAAGGCGATTACACCAGTCTTCTACGCTATCGGGGCCTTGCCGTGAGTCTTAGTCAACAGTTGAGACTGCACCAGAGCCAGAAACGCTTCTCTTCGAATGCTCTTGTGGCAGAAACCCGTAAGAAAGTATTCTGGTGCCAATACGCTCTGGATCGGTGAGTCAGCCTTGTGCATCTCTTGTGTCGCGCATCTATTCATTCTAACACTTTGATAGATTCACTGCCGCTTTGACGGGATTGCCTGTCCTACTACGTGAAGAGGATGTCAAGGCTGAGTACCCCGAGGATATTGATGATGAGAATGTCACGGAAACCGGCTTTTTGCCCACCCTTCCCGGCGAATCGACCCGCATCTCAAGTGCAATCGCGCTGTTTGCGGCATCACGCGTGCTGAACAAGGTTCTGGAAGATATCTATCCTTCTGATGGAGGATACGATATACCCTTGTCGAAGCTGCACGCGGTTGCAGAGCAATTGGATGAGTGGGTGAAGGGCTTGCCTGCTCACCTCCGCCTCGAGTTCTCTCAAGACAAGCCCAGTACCAATGTTACCAGCAGCCGGTCGCCGCTTTTGGTAAGTAGCAAGCCGGTATCGGGCTCTCCTGTGCATTCACTGACTTCTGCAGTCTCTCGTCTATTATTACACCCGTTCATTGATCCATCGCCCCGCGGTCTGTTTCGGCGAAGAACACGTTCGATCACCTTCTATCCTTGCCCTGTCCGATTCAGCCAAACATATTATTCAGATCCTTGAATTGCTCGACGAGAGACGCCTCTGCCTCTCTGTGACTATCAATCGGAAGGAGCTCGTTTTTGCGACAGGACTTGGTCTTCTATGGCAAAACATCGGTCTGAAGCGTGACAGTAAGCTTGTCAAGGAGAGCCAAAAATTGCTCACCACCGTCATTGATCAGCTGGAATCCGAGGAGTCGTCATCTGCCGCCGAGTTCAGCGCTTTGGCTAGTGTTCTGGTTTCCCTGAATAACAGCAAGCACGGGTCGTCTGGTCGGCCTCAGGACATGTCGCCACCTTTGCAGAAACCACTGAAGTCTCCTAAGAGGCAACTTCAGTCCTGGAAATCGCGTTTGACCGGGGCGTCGGGCTCAGCCCATCAGGAAACACCCGACTCCCCATCTCGGCGGGCCACTATCTGCGGGGTGAGTCCTAACGCCGCCCAACGTCATGCCAGGTCCTCTAGCTGGGCCAGTCTCCCCCCGGACAACTTCCACGCGCCAAACATGCCTGCGAACAAGTCCTCTTATCATTCATCTTCCGGGACGTACGATAGTAGCCACATGCTTTCTAGCTCCGCGCCTTCGGATCCCCCGGGCGGACCCATCACGGTGTCCGACTGGGAGTTCGTCCTGAGTGACATGGACCGAGGCTACTCGAACATTTTCACGGGGATCTATGGAGGAAGGGAATGCGGCGAAGACAGCGGCCCCTTTGCTTCCCTCACAGCCGAATTTGTCCAGAAGGGGGACCCGTTGGCGGGACCGTTACCGGCGCCCCAGACGGAGCTGCAAGGATTGTCACCCGAGGCGTGGTCAGCGAGTAGCAATAGCGATGTGCCGCCCAACCAGGACCTCCCCGCACAAAGTGTCCTCAGCTACTCCGACGAAGGCAGTGCAGAGGACGGGGTGCGATTTAACGACATCCGCCTCTCCCCGGAAGAACAGGCCAGTTTTTTGGGCTCCTTCCGAAGTGTCATGATTCCAGCTGTGGAAGACGACGCTGATGAGTTTGCACTGATCAATGGATGGGATCGACGGTTGGCTGTTTGAAGCAGTATGCTTCGAAGGCGGCATCTTTAATGAACGCGACGAATAATGGTGTGGAGGAGTTTATCTATGATTGGGTTTGGGATCGGAGCGAGAGGATATTTGATTTTGGCTCCATAGTTTCATTTGTGATACCTCGTCTGTACAGGGAGTCTTGGTTTTGTTTCGGTTCCTGCAGAGGGCTGCTGTTATAGGTCTAGTCTATGTGCCACTATAATATCACGTACATCTTATGTTTGAATGAGTGTTGTCTGCCATTAGTCATGTTCTTATGGATCTAGCTCTTGCAGTACATCAAGTGGAACAGCCGAGAGCTAGTGCAACGCATAACCTTTGTCATCTTCTGCTTATCTAGAGTAGAGCTCCGGGCCAGACCAACCAGCCTGGGGTCACGCAAGCCGACCTGCTTGCGAGCCAGCCCGAGCAGAGCAGCAACGAGAGCCAATGTCCTGGGGGCATTCCCAAGGTGGAATGCAGATTGGTCCAGCCGGGAACCCGATCGGCATCAACCTTGCTAGCAGAGTGCCTTGACACCCCCGGAAAGTTGTAAATTCTGTCGGGGGAAGCAGCCCTTTACCTATAGTAACTAGCTGCATAGGTCCAGCGCGCATGTCACGCTGGCGTCCTTGACTTAGAGCTTCACATGCTTAGTTGGCGGGGCTTGCAGACCAGCCAGCCGGTTCGAAGAAAAAGGGAGGGAGAAAATTCTGCAAGGGTGAGTTCAACCGAAGAATCCGGCCAGATTCTTTCATACGAGAAAAAGGATTGATGGAGGGATGTGCTCCGTTTCCATCTGGAGTCCGGACTCCGTAAGTAGAGGGGAGTGCCTGGGCTACTGACTGAAGTAGATTAGTAGTTGTGAGCTTACCCGCCCTCCCCGCTGGCGGAGCAGCGTCCTCCGGACCCAGCGGGCAGAAACAGTCAGGGGGTGACTAATGGGGGTTGGCTCATGCTGGTGAAGAAGAACGTTCGGGAAATTGCTGTGTTGGGACTTGGGAGGTCCGCGGGGCTGGTTTGAGACGGTTACTGACTGAAGGTATCTGTCCTGCTGTCTGTTTGGAGGGGTGGTCGAGAGGCTTATAGTCATTGGTGTTGAGGTGCAGCTTGGATGGCCAACTCAGAGCGATCTGCATGCTCGACATGACAGGTAGGATGCCAATGTAGAGGCTGACTGGGGGATGTACTGCCCGCACTGTCGGCAAGGCATGGCCTACTGTAGGTGCTATGTGCTTCGTACCATGTAGCTGCAATGGTCATGGAATGGTGGGATGGGAACGGAGGATTACACAGGAGCTAGATACTGGTGGCGTCTCGGGTGATACTCTGAGGGATTTTGACCGACGGAAGATAATACTACTATTAGATAGCTAGTGGCGGGAGTACGAGCAATTGCCCTTGTGAGTACCTGGTTGGATATCAGGATATCTGGACATGTTCGGAAGGGTTGCATTACTACTGAAGGGGCGCGAGCGACTCCGGAGGGGCCGCCCTGCCTGAGGCAGCGGGGGAGGGGCATCGGACTGCATACATCATCGCCAGAGCTCTGGCTCTCCCTCGTCTCTCCCACCCCACGGCCCGCGTATCTCCCGCCACGGGGGGTCGGACATGACTCAAACCATGGCAATCGAATAGCAATAGCCGATTTAGCAGACTCAATCGAGCCAGGTCGCAAGAAGCAGCAACGACAAGCAGCAGCAGAGTTGCCGTTGGCAGCGAGTCTCACCCCCTCCGAGCAGCCGGTGAAAGGACGCCCCACCACAGACATCATTGCCCCCCCACCTTCTGCTCTCTTCCCTCCATCCCACTCCGCCCGCCTGGCTCGCTTTTCCTCCCCGTTCCCAATCTCTCATCCTTCTTTCTCTCTTCTTCTCCCTTTTTTTTTTCCCCTTCTTCTCTCAATCATCTCCCTCTTTCATCTCGCGGTGATCTTCCCGTCTGACATTGTTTGTTGGATCATCCCGCTCATACCTCCCCAAAAGCAATACGGGTTTGATTTACGAAGCATTTAAATAGTATGCCGCTCCCCTCATTTCCCCAACAATTTGGGTGCTATTCAACAATTCTCTAACCCGGCTTCCTCCTCTCCAGATACCGCAATCATGGGTTACACCGACTTGGATCAATTGGCCATCAACACCATCCGTGTTCTCGCGGTATGTCCCTCTTTGCTTGCTTCCTCCATCGCGCTCCCATCCGGTCACGGTGTGATGGAGAGCTTCTTGGCGGCTCCGGCACCGGAGGGTCAAAATCTTGTATCACAAGGTCTCCGCGGAGCATTGCCTCCCGTGCTCAGAAGTGGATAGCCCTTTGCTCCATAGCACTACTCTAGCAGCTCCTCGGAGATCAGACCGTCGACCAGCCACCGATGGCGGAATGACACCCTCTTCGTCAGGGGGGGGGGGGGGGGTGCCCTTTGGCAGCGTTAGACTAATTGTCCTCCAGGTTGATGCCACCTTCAAGGCCAACTCCGGTCACCCCGGTGCCCCCATGGGCATGGCCCCCGTGTCTCACGTCCTCTTCAACAAGTTCATGAACTTCAACCCCCAAAATCCCGAGTGGGCCAACCGTGACCGCTTTGTCCTCTCGTAAGCTTTGACCTTGGGTTTTCATTTGGCTAGGAATTGACTGACACGAACTCTAGCAACGGCCACGGCTGCATGCTCCAATATGCTCTCCTTCACCTTTTCGGCTACAAGGTCACCCTCGATGACCTGAAGAGCTTCAGAGTATGTGCCCATTCAATTCCTAGCAGGGCCATTGTAGATATCCCCTAACCATCGTGCTCGTGTAGCAACTCGACAGCATCACCCCCGGTCACCCCGAGGCCCACGACACCCCCGGTGTCGAGGTCACCACCGGCCCCCTGGGTCAGGGTTTCGCCAACGCTGTCGGTCTGGCCATCGCTGAGCGCCACTCCGCTGCTGTCTTCAACAAGCCTGGTTTCGACCTCTTCAACAACTTCACATACTGCTTCTTCGGTGATGGCTGCGCCATGGAGGGTATTGCCAGCGAGGCCGCCTCGATGGCTGGTCACCTGAAGCTCGGCAACCTGATTGCCATCTACGATGACAACGGAATCTCCATTGGTAAGCCCTGTTTATTACCCTGTCTTCATTATTGCAATAGTTGTATTAATTAAGATCTGTCATGCAGACGGTGACACCAAGTGCGCCTTCACTGAGGATGTTATGAAGCGTTTCGAGTCCTACGGCTGGCACACTGAGTACGTCAAGGACGGTGACCACGACCTTGAGGGCATTGAGGCCGCTATCAAGAAGTGCCAGGCTGTCACTGACAAGCCTTCCGTCATCCGCCTGACTACTACTATTGGTTTCGGTTCCAAGCTCCAGGGTACCGGTGGTGTCCACGGTAACCCCCTGAAGGCCGATGACTGCGAGAACGTCAAGCAGCAGTTCGGCTTCGACCCCAAGCAGACCTTTGCCGTCCCCCAGCAGGTCTACGACCTCTACCACAAGCACTCCTCCGACGGTGCTGCTAAGGAGCAGGAGTGGAACCAGCTCCTCCAGAAGTACGCTTCTGAGTACCCCAAGGAGCACGCCGAGCTCACCCGCCGTCTCTCCGGCAAGCTTGCCGAGGGCTGGGAGAAGAGCCTGCCTACCTACAAGCCCAGCGACGCTGCCGTTGCTACCCGTAAGCTCTCCGAGGCTGTTCTGGAGAAGATCCACGATGTCGTCCCCGAGCTTCTGTCCGGCTCTGCCGATCTGACTGGCTCCAACAACACCCGCTGGAAGAACGCTGTTGACTTCCAGCCCCCTGAGTACGGCATTGGTGAGTGGTCCGGCCGCTACCTCCGCTACGGTGTCCGTGAGCACGCCATGGCCGCCGTCATGAACGGTCTTGCTGCCTACGGCACTGTCATCCCCGCTGGTGGTACCTTCCTGAACTTCGTTTCCTACGCCGCCGGTGCTGTCCGTCTGTCGGCCCTGTCTCGTGTCCGCACCATCTACGTTGCTACCCACGACTCCATCGGTCTGGGTGAGGACGGTCCTACTCACCAGCCCATTGAGACCCTGGCTCACTTCCGTGCTCTGCCCAACTGCATGGTCTGGCGCCCTGCTGACGGCAACGAGACCAGCGCTGCCTACTACTCTGCTCTGACCTCCAAGCACACCCCCAGCATCCTGGCCCTCACCCGTCAGAACCTGCCCCAGCTCGAGGCCTCCACCATCGAGAAGGCCCTCAAGGGTGCCTACGTCGCCGTCGACACCGCCAACGCTGCCGTCACCCTCATCTCCACCGGTTCCGAGGTCGGCATCTGTGTCGAGGCTGCCACCTACCTCAAGGAGAAGCACGGCGTCGCTGCCCGCGTCGTCTCCGTCCCTTGCTTCGAGGTCTTCGATGCTCAGGACAAGGCCTACCAGCTGCAGGTCCTCCCCGACGGCATTCCCGTCCTGTCCGTCGAGGCTCTCAGCACCATGGGCTGGGAGCGCTACGCTCACGAGCAGTTCGGTCTCAACCGCTTCGGTGCCTCTGGCCCCTACAAGGATGTCTACAAGGTAAGATTTGATGCCAATCTCGCCACTCGTTCAATGGTCCCACATACTAATTCACTTTCCTGCAGAAATTCGAGTTCACTCCTGAGGGCATCAGCAAGCGCGCCATTGCCACCATCGACTTCTACAAGGGATTCCCCGTGCGCTCCCCCATCAACCGTGCTTTCCAGCAGATTCTGTAGACGGTTTGTGTTAGCGTCGTGATGGCTTGCACTGTTTCATGTTTATGAGTACCTGGGACGATGTTGATCCCTGCGGGCGATGATACCCCTGGGAGAAGTCCTAATTTAACGATTTTCTGAAGATAAAATACACGAGATTTGTTCCCTTATAGTTTGTATATTGCTCTTGGTAGATTTAGGGATGAATTAGATTGAATGGAAGAATACCGCCAACTTAATGTCTATGTGGGCTTGGCCAAGCTGCATTGCCAGCCACATCAACTACCAAATGCGTCTACGGCTTACGGTCTTTAAATCTGATCTCCGCTTTGTATGACGTTGTATCATGTAATATTATGGAACTACTGAGTTTTAGATCCGGATGGCCTCCCTCAGATATTCTGTGAAGCATCGGTGGGATATGATCAGGTGTAAGCAGCAGAAATTTTTTTGTTATATTCATCATCGTCAGATCATCATCGATTATCAGCCGCCTAGGGCCTCGAAACGGAGGAGGCCACACCCAAAACAGAGAACGACAAAACTTGATTAGTCTAAGCGTCCAGAGCCTTGCGGGCAAAGTTGGGCAGAACGAAGCTGGCGCGGTGGATGTCCTGGTTGTAGTAGCGGCAGAGGCGCTCCTCCTCCTCACGGGACCACTTGCGGACGGGCTCCTTGACGTTACGAGTCGCATCCTTGCAGCAGACCATGAAGCCGATCTGGCCGGAGGGGTAGGTGGGGATGGTGGTGTAGGCATATTCGGCGACGGGGAAGACCTCCTTGCAGGACTTCTTGAGGTCGGTGATCAGAGAAAGGTGGAGCCATTGGTTCTCAGCTATACGCGTAAACACGAGCCCAAACCGATCCCGGGATAGGAATCGGGTGGTTTGGGACGTAATCCAGTTAGCTTCGTACTCCACGGGAAGATCACACAGAAACGGAGAGAGGGATTTGTCAGAGATGAAGAGTAGGAACGGAGAAGGGGGGGTAGCATGGGAAAGGGCATGAAGGGACAAAGTAAAGGCGACGAACAACCTTGTGTGGTGATGACACCTCCCTCGCGCAGCGCATCGCGCAAGAGCTCGAAGTAAGGCTTCTGGAAGAGGCTCTCAGCGGGACCCTCGGGGTCAGAGCTGTCGGTGATGATGACGTCGAACTCGTTCTTGCGCTCCTCAAGGAACTTGAAACCATCGCCAACGTGGACCTTAACGTTGGGGTGCTGGAAGCCGATGCTCATGCCGGGAAGGTACTTCTTGGAGACACGGATGACAGCCTGGAATCATGAGCCATACATTCTCACACGGCACGGGAGTACGGGGATTTTCTCTTGTTTACCTCGTCAATGTCGCACAGGATGGCCTCCTCGACGGTCTCATGCTTGACAACCTCACGGAGGACACCACCATCACCACCACCGATGACAAGGACCTTCTTGGGGTTGGGGTGAGAGTTCATGGCCAGGTGGGTGATCATCTCCTGGTAGCTATCGCCATGGCAGTCAGCACAAGTGCCTGTTGGGTTTTACAGGGTGACACAAGGATATGCCACGAAGGATTGAACATACGAGAACTCATCGCGCTCAGTGCACTGGATGACGTTGTCGAGGACGAGGACGGTGCCGTAGTCGCTGCTCTCGAAGACGAGAACGTCCTGGTACTTGGACTTCTCGTGGTGCAGGATCTGGTTAACCTTGAGGTTCATGGCCTGGCCGGGCCACATGCCAGACTGCTCGGAGAACCAGCCATCTGAAGAGAACGAGAATTAGCCACGAGGGGTAGCTCTAGCGGGGTAGCAAGTAGAAAACAAGGAATTGAGACGATCAGGCGCTGATTGAGCTGCCATGAGCGGAAATGGATCCATTGAAGGGATTGGGATGGTGAGTTTGGGGATTGAGGGTACACGAGGCGGGGTAGATGGCTAGCGATGGAGGGGTGTTCGATGGTGGGCTGAGGATGTAGTCGCGGATAAGGGAAAGATACATACCCTTGATGGTGGGGTGGGTGATCTCGCTCATGGTGATGGAGTGGAAGGGTCGGAAAAGACGGGGATGTGGGAGAGGAAGGCGTGAAGCTGTAGAGAGTCGGAAGAGAAGAGAAGAAGAGAAGAGGGAGGAGGGGGAAGAGGGAAGGAAAGAAGAGAAGAAAGACGAACGCATGCGGAGTGGGGGAGAGAAAACCAGAAACAGAAAAATTGTATGTACGGCCACTTACCGGCGGTAATTTATGGGCGGCTGCGACGGCCAGTCAGGTGGGTTTTTCTCCCTTTTGTCACCTGTTTCGGTATTTTCCTGGCCGGCCCCATGGGTTTGGCCGCCGTATGGACCGTTTCGCGCCCTGACAGCATCCACCACCACCACCGCCGCCGCCGCCTCCTCGGCCTCATTCTCTTATCGCTGTTGTTAAGGAGATCAGACACGGTTGGTCAGGCCATTGGTCATTCTGTTAGCCCCATCCAATCGCCGGTGCCGTCGAGGTTGATCGACGAGGTCTCACGGCCACGACAATTCGCATCCCCCCATCTTGTACCACGATCATTACATTCGGGCACTTGGGCAGCATCATCCAGCACCCGAGACATTTAAAGGGAACTCAATGGCCAATTGACCCTCTAAGAGGGCGTGGGATACTTTCCGGGCTCGACGGACAGAGCCTGGGCTGCCGTTGATTGGCAGAAACACTACGGGTTGAATCCAACCGGATGTGGAATCCAGCCGGCCTATACGAGTCCACCCATTACAGATGCACCCCACGCGCGGTCAAGGCAACTAAAAACATTGCAACACATTCGATTGCTTCTAGTTACTATACAGTGCAATCACACATCCAGGCTTTTCGTATTGCCCAATGCTATCCCTTCCCCTAAGGATCCCTCGGCTTGCACGTTACATTTACTCCTCAGAACCCTCGGCGAGGCGGCCGGGCTTGGAGTTGAGGTACTCGTTTCTGTGGATGCAAATGTCAGCTCCAGGAGTCCAATTACCAGGCAGCTGCGGTATATCGGGCCTGAACGTCTGTAAACAAGGATGCATACCTCTCAATGGCCCAGTTCATGATGGCGTAAGCGGCAATGAAGGGGGGAGCAACGTAGAGGACCTGGTGTCTGAAGCGGCGGAAAACGTTGAAGATGGCGGCGTGGCCGGCACCGGCGAGAGGGCGCTGACGGTTGGGGGAGAGAGAGTAGGAGGTGATGCGCTGGGGGGTAGGGCATCCTAGATGGAGACGTCCATGTCAGCAAGGCTTGTCGGAGCACAATTGCATGATTTCGCCATCGGTGCAGCACAAATTCCCCGCCAGGCCATTGTGAGGTAATAGCTCCAGCCAGCCGATATTGTTGCTATTCGAGTCGCACCCAAGGCGGCCAAAATCAAGTCGAGGTTGTAGACATACCGAGATCACCCCACCAGCCGAGAAAACTAGATAGACCGAGAGTCAGCAATCACAATGGACCACACAACTATTCATCTGCCAAATCAGAGCCATCCGGGGCAGGCCATGGCCGGTAGACGAGGCCGCACGGTAATCTCCCCCGGAAAAGCTAGGGAGCGGCTATGACGAGCGAAGGAGGCAGAAAACTCACACTCCGTTCTTAGGATCGAGATGGCCACCCATTGTGAAGAAAAGCGAGGAGAATCGGGGAGAGCAAGGGTGATGTGGGGAGCGATAGACGAGACAGAGAAGCAGAGGGAGAAAGAGAGGACGTTGGCCGTCGGACCAAAACGGACGAAAGTCGAAGTCGAAGTTCAACCACCGCCCGGCGCTAGTCCGTTTCGGGCCAGCATGCGAAAAGCCTCGACATCATCTCCAGACACAACATCTCCCTCCCGCCCCGAGTTCCCATTGCTTCCCCTCCTGCTTAAGCCCCCCTTCCGCCTGCATTCATCATCATGGCCACCAACTCGCTGTACAACATCTACCGGCTGGCCGTGCCCACCGCGATCGGCATGTCGCTCGTCGGCTCTTCCATCTACGATGTCCGTGGTGGTACCCGCGCTATCATCTTCGACCGTTTGTCCGGTGTGCAGGAGAAGGTCATGAGCGAGGGCACCCATTTTCTCATCCCTTGGCTGCAGCGGGCCATTATCTATGATGTCCGCACCAAGCCTCGCAACATCTCCACCACCACCGGTAGTAAGGACTTGCAGATGGTCAGCTTGACGCTGCGTGTGCTGCACCGTCCCGATGTCCCGAAGCTGCCGGCCATCTACCAGGTATGAGCTTAATTCCTATCCTCGGATCCTGTCTAATTGAAATTACCCGGCTAGTCCTACGGTATCGACTACGATGAGCGTGTGCTGCCCTCCATCGGAAACGAAGTCCTCAAGGCCATCGTCGCCCAGTTCGATGCCGCCGAGCTGATCACCCAGCGTGAAGCCGTCTCCAACCGCATCCGCACCGACCTCATGAAGAGAGCCGCGCAGTTCAACATCGCCCTGGAAGACGTCTCCATCACCCACATGACCTTCGGAAAGGAGTTCACGCGTGCCGTCGAGCAGAAGCAGATCGCCCAGCAGGACGCGGAGCGGGCCCGGTTCATTGTCGAGAGGGCCGAGCAGGAACGTCAGGCCAATGTCATCCGCGCCGAGGGTGAAGCCGAGAGTGCCGATATCATCAGCAAGGCCGTGGCCAAGGCGGGCAGTGGTCTGATCGAGATCCGTCGTATTGACGCCAGCAAGGAGATCGCGACAACGCTGGCCACCAACCCCAACGTCACATATCTGCCCGGCAATGATGGCAAGGAAGGCGGAAAGAGCACCAGCCTTCTGCTGGGCTTGAGGAACTAAACAGCTTCATGTGATACATGGAGCTATGTGTATTCTTTCTTTCTCTTTGCAACTGGACGGATCTCGGGCGTGCATGATCACCGTGGCGAATTAATGTCGTTTGGTCTTTTTATCTCTTATCGACTGTAGCAATAGCATACCCTCTCCCATTCAAGTCCTTGTGACAGTGCGTCCAACCGTGGTATCATTCAAGCAGCAGTCATCATCATAAACATACCCTAATTCACACAAAAGAAAGAAAAAGACATCACTCCAACCGCCGATAAACATGCACCTGATACCTCATATCCTCCAACCCCGCGCCCTCCCCAACCTCATACCTCAACCTCGCCGCATCCCTCCTCCACCACCTCGAATCCTGCGACAACACCCGCTCCCACTTCCCCTCCGCCACCGACAACAACGTATGATCCAAGAGGAACTTCATGGGATACTGTCTCTCACGCACCTCCCCCTCGGCACTCTTCCCCAACTTCAACGTCGAATAACTCCCCGGACTATCCACCACCAACAACACCGTCCCCGAGCTCAACAAATCCGTCAACCTCAGCAAAAACCCCGTCGCCTTCGCCATCGACGTCGAAAACAGTTCATTCAACGTAAACATCAACGTCACCAATGCCGTGCCTCTCCCTGTCCCCTCCCGTCGTAGCAACTCCCGAAGCTGCTTCTCCTCCGCCGTCAGAACATCCACTTTCTGGAAATCGATGTTGATCGCCCCGCCATATAACGGCGCCGGATGCGACTTCGTCCCCATCACCGCAGGGGACTGAATGGCGGTCGATAGGCGCGAGACGACACTCGACCAGTCTGCGATATCAACTGCTGTGATGTCAAGTCTGGGATGGGTGCGTTTCGCGACATCCGCTTCCTGAGTAGTCGTAGTCGCAGACGCCCCCTCCTCCTCATCACCACCATCACCACCATCCTCCAACGTCACCCTCCCCACCCCAGACACAACCCCAGACACAGACACAGCCACATCTTGATCCGACTGCTCAACAGAATGCAAATCCCTCCAAGCCCCCGCCAACGCCACAATCTCCGCTCCAGCACCACCCCCAATACACACCACATGCGTTGCCTCCTCCTCCTCCCTCTCCGCATCACCATGCTCACCCACCCCCTTAAGCGTACGCAACAACCCCCCCATCAAACCCCTAAAAACACCCACATACCCCAACGCCCTCGACGCACTCCACCGGAGCGCATACGCCCTCAACAAATCCTCACTGGCGTCTGTAAACGCCGAGTCAAAGTCCCGGTTATATAAATGGGCTTTGATGGTTTGGATGAGGTTTTTGGTGTCGAGGTGCGGTTCCGCATTGTTGGCAGCATCGGATTGATTATTGTTGGTGGTGGTGGTGATGGTGGGGGTAGTGCCTTGGTGGAGATAGTTCTGCCCGTTGGGGAGTAAAGCGGCTTTGAAGACGTTGAGGAGGAGTTGTTGGAGGGTGAGTGGGATGGTGGTGGAGAGGTTGATGAGTTCCCTGCTTTCGGAGTGGTGGGTGCTGCTGGTATTGGTGGTGGAAGCTCCGCGGGGAGCGGACTGGGGTTGCTTTTTCTTGGGATCTTTCTTGGGGTCCTTGGTGGACTTTTTGGATCGGGGGGGCATTTTGATTTGGGGGTTGGGTTGATTTAGTTTACGTGGGTGATGGGTGGTGATAAGGAACCTAGTAAGATTGGGCGGTTGGATGTTTGGGTTTTATTTTTTTCTGGGGATGGGTGAGGATGTGGGGCACCCAGATATATATCCAGGTTACATCGGATTCAGGATCGAGATCGCAGGGGCAACTCATAACTACGATTTGCCGATTACTGTGGTGTGGAACAAGCACGTAGACTATACAAGGATAATGTGTGACGCGCCATCAAAGACGCAGAGTGTAGATTGTTAATCTGAGCAACTCATAGCTGGCACGTAGTCCCTGCACGCTCAAGTGGCGGAGAGGCCTGCACTGCATGGTAAATGACATGCGCCTCCCAAGGAAGTCGAAAGAAGACCCCAACGTAGTCGCCAACAAGGATAATGAACCCATCAAGTTCCGTAAAGAAGAATGACAAAAAGGTAGATGCCATAATGAATGCAAGAAGAAAGAAAGGGTGAAAAGAAGCGAAGCCAGAAGATAGAGGCAATCGAAGAAAATAAAAAAAAGAAAGGCCCTGAAACGTTGGATAGCGAACGAAGAAGACATTGTTCACAAATAGCAACCGGCCATGAACGAGAGACAAGAATAAACAAAATAGAGCTTTCGTACTCTTACGCTTAATCACATGCCGATGAAAAGAGATTCGTCAGTCACCTCAACAGTAGAAAGGTAGACCGGTCCGAAAAAGAAAAAAGGAGGCAAAAAGTCGAGAAAAGTAAAAAAAAAATGGGGGGAAGAGAAGTAAAAGGCAAAAAGATCTTGCAAAGACCATATCGAAGAGAATCATGAATATGTACAAGCGGAGGCCATTAGCAGCATGGCTCATGAGGGCCGCTGGTCCCGAACACCAGGCTCATGATAGGATTTGTCCTTATCTTTGGCCCTCCAAAAGTGCATCAGACGACTAATGCGAAGGCCCTTCTTCTTGGCTCGCTCAGGCTCGTCTTCCGGCGGCTTCTCTTCATAGCTGAGCTTGCTCCGTTCGGCGTGGGGTCCCACCATCAGCTTCGAGAGACTCGCTAGACTGGATCGCTTGGAGCTGTTGGCCTGGCTGGTACGACGACGGACAGCCGCGGAAAATGATGCCGAGCGATCGGTGGACAACCGAGGACGGCTGAAGAAGGTGCCGGAGATCCGGCCTAATGTGTTCGTCGTCGTTGACGCACTGCTGGTCAGGGAGGGTACATCCTCAACCGACCCCTGAGGAAGATCCACCGACGGATTGTAGGAGGGGTTTGAGAAATTGCGGTCATTGGTGGACGACGTCGTGATCGAGCGAGGAACATCGGACGAGGACAAGGTGAAGTCGGGAGATGGGAAAGAAGAATTTGGGAGGGAGCTATTGCCTTGCAGAGACAACGGAGGGATATTTGAGGTCAGTTCCAACGAGGTGACACCTCGGTGGTCAGCAGGCATGAACCCAGGCGAATAATCAGGACTCGAAGGCCTGGGTCGCCACTCCTCTGGTTTGACGACCTCTGCCGCGCTCTGCAATGGCGCAGAGAAAGGGTTGGTCGCATGGTGAAACTGAGCCAGCGAGGTCTGCTGTTCAGCAGAGTTGCGCGCCTCCCGATCCACGCAGGTAGTGGACTCGGGAGCATCGTTCGATTCGTCTTTCTGTATGCCGAGACCAGCGTGAGGCAACCCGCCTTCGCTGGTTTCACGAGCAAGCGACTGGTGTGTGAGTGTCTCGGAGCTATCTTTGCTATCTTCCGATTGACTATCTGCATCAGTCGTGCTGGACATGGTCACCTGTGTTTGTGGGCGCTCAACAGGTTCTGGCTGGGACTCGCCCGTGGCGGCCAGGAAGGCATCCTCCTCCTCTTCGTACAGAACATCCGGGTTCTCCAGGGTTGAGCTCGTGGCAAACCGGTTATTCCCAAGGCCGCTACGATCGAATGGAGGCATCTCAGGGGCGCTCTCTGCACGGCGATGATAGCGCATTTCTGGGCCAATGAATTCACCTCGTCGTCCACCACTATACATCCGCTTGGTCGCGGCCGAGAAGCCGCTCTCTGCAAGACGACCGGAGCGCATCTCAGGGGTATTGAAAGGACCCAGAGCTGCATCCAGATCAATCACTGGGCTAAGGACATCATTTTGAGCAGTCTGTTCGTAGAAGCTCCTTGGCTTCCAGGAGGTTTCCAGGCTAGGTGGCGTGTCCTCTGCGGGAAGACGACTGGACTCCGGGGTACCCGGATTAGTCGGTGTTCTCAAAACGACAATATTGTCATCATCAAAGTCAACGTCCAATCCCGAGCCAAGGTCTGAATTTGTCCTCGTCAAAACAGGAGGAATCGCAGCTTTTGTTTCTGCCCTATCCTTCTTTGAATGCCGTTTACCTTTGCCCCTTATCAAGAGTGCGCCCGCCCAAGACCGTACCTTCTTCTGTCGCTTCTTGGCTTTCGACCTCTTCTTGCTTGATGGAGATTCCAACGGGTCAGTGGCCTCGCTCACCGAGGTCCCCGAGCTGTTTTCCGAGCCGCTGGATGAGGAAGATGACCGTCGAGATGAACTTGCGAAGTGGTCGAGAATCCCCGCAGACAAGCTTTTGCGATTCCGGGAATGTCCTGCCGCAGACAATGGCCGTTTCGTGGGCGAGTCGCCATCCGCTTTGGCGGTCCTGCTCGGATCCAGCATGAATGACGCATCCGCGGTCCGAGGTCTAGGCCTCGACTGCTCGGCCTTGGGGGGCACGTTGTCGACGGGAGAAAAACAGGTATAGCCGCTATTTCTAGCGGAAGCTTCAGGCTGTGATGCGGCCGCAACTCCAGTTTCACTCTTTAAAGTTTCGCTAGATTGACGTCCAGGCGCGGTGCCATTGCTTGGAGTTTCCGGTTGGGCTTGCTCTGAATGATCTTCCTCGATTACGATCCGGGGCGACACTGGAGGAGATTGCCGAGTCAAGATGGCTGCTGATTGAGAGACGGGCCTAGGGGGCTCCTCAGAAGCACGGTGCTCACGCATAGTGTCTGCCGGGAAACACGGAGCGCTGCCAATGGAAGGTTTCAGGTCCAAAGCATTCGAGATGGCCGTAAGATCCACGCTGGAGATGGCGGCAGAGCGTCGGTGGGCATGACGGCGTCCACCTGCACCAAAGCCAGGCCCCGGCGCGGGAAGTTTGGTCGGTGCTGGCGTTGGGTTTTCATCATTGCTTTGGATTGCCTCCATAGTTCCCGGGGGTATGATCGGACGTTCTCCACCAACCAGCTCACTACATCGTCGGCGGTGCCCGGCCGGTCTGTTGGGGGAGAGGGTCGGCATCGACGGTTGCGCTGAATGCTGAGCGCCCGGGTTGAAGGAAAAAGCCGGAAGGGGTAGGGCGGTCCTGGTACGGGTCTCCGAAGACGGAGGCGCCGCATCGCCGGGGTCCCGGGCTGGAAAGACAAAAGGTGGATTGGGAAGCGGAGCAGACATTCTCAGGTTGCGGCGGCTGTGACCGCTAGGAGACCGATCAGCCGCGGATAGGTAGGGAGAGAATGCCGGAGTAGGTTGAGGCTGTGGAGGTAAAGATATCGAAGCCATAGCGGGTTGCTGAAGGATACCAACCTTGATTCAACCACGACCAGCTTGACCCCGTGGTGGATGGTGGGCACAGTTGATGTGACCTAGACGACGCACGGGGACCTCCAGACCTATGTGACTTCCCTACGATGATTGGAAAGCCCGGGGTTGTCTGGAGGCCTTCAGTTCTGCAATGATACCATTGAAATCCCGAATCCAAGTCCCACACGTCGTACCGAGAGCGACTATGTCCCGAGATCCGATGAACACGAGCCGGAAGAATAAAAGTCGGAAGATAAGGTTGCAACAACGGGCTGGCACCAAGGCAGAAGAACAATCCACGACGGCTTTTTGGAATAACGCAGTGGTCGAGCAACGCTTGAGAAATTCAGTCGAACAGAGCGAACGTGTCGAAATGGAGGGGGTGGGTTGAAGAGTCGTGCAGATGACGAAGGAGACTACTATTGTAAGGAGCGGACGGCCACGGGAACGGGCCACGGAGAGGATGGAGCGGAAGAGTCGGGTGAAGAGGGGAAGTGAAGTGAGAGAGTGTCAGTGAACAGGGCCGAAGTGAATAAGAGGTATTAGTGAAGAGAGGGGAGGGGAGGAGGAGGAAGAGGGAGGAGGAGACGGAGGGAAGAGAGAGGAAGAGAGGAAAGAGAGAGAGAGGATCAACCTGGAAAAAGGAAAATGAAGTCGAAGGAAGGAGAGGAAAGGCTGAAGTGCAGCAAAAGGCTTGGTGGTGGAGAGGAGGAGACGGCGACGTATGGAGGGCGGCAGGGGATGATTGGCTGGGCAGTCGGAGGGGCCGCGCCCGTACCGTTCAGGTTGGTTCGGTACCAATCCGTACGGCGTATTACCAGGGCTGTCGGATCGCCGGTGATCCAGTCAGCGTGCGGAGGGATGGCCAACGAACCATGCGCGCCGGTCCAGTACGGAGGCGTATCAGGCCGGCCTGCGCACTAGCCCGCTTTCGAGCCACACTACTAATTAAAGATGATAGTAGCTGCTCCATCGGAGCAGGAAATCCATTAATCCCAAGACTAGGCTAGTCTGGCCAGCGCCTTCATGGGGAAATTGCATGCTTTCAGTTAGTCAGGCTTGCGGAGTTCGCGGATGAATGCCTGCCTACGTAGCACCCTGCCCTCGTCGAGACGTACGTAGTAGTAGTAATAATAATAATAATGGTCGCAATACTCCGAATCTGCAGGCTTCCTGATTTTCTCGGCTTCGGTACAGAATCCGGAAGCCTCCCCAGGTACGGAGTACCACCTGGGAGGTCGAGGTAATCTCCTGCACATTAATTATGATTTTGATTATCAAACGTCATAATGTCGTTGCAACCATCCGATGAATACGGAGCCTATCCCTGGTCTGGTTGAGACACAAGCCAGACATGAGGAAGTCGGCAACCTGGACGAGAGCAGCCGGCGCCAGGGCTCCACTGCCACCTGTTCATGCCGCCCGCTACAATCAGGGTTCTTGCAGAGCGGCAATTTGGCACAATCACGACGATATTAACGATCCTGCTCCATCGCAGGAGCGATGGCCCGTGAATGGCCTGGTAGTGCAGCCGGGCATATTAACTGGTGGTCAGCGTGACTTGAAAGGCCCATGGCGGGCCACCATTATTGGGTGTGTTCCGGAGAAAACCCCCAGGCACCAGTAGACTAAAATGGCCGTACCTGAACGGGCGGCCAATCCGCGGCGCGAACAGGGGCATCGAAATCTCGCTTGTCTCGGTGGGGCAGAACGACCGCCACTCACTAGACGCTTTGGGCTAACTGCATTGGAGCTAGTTTAATTAGCGCCAGCGACTCCTTGCCCGTCGCGCCGAAAAGGCCGCTTACATCTCAGTGATCCAGTGATTTCTCGTAGCCAGCAGGCGATCCCTGCAATGGTTGACACGTCCCGGAGACGCTCCAGGAGGGGAACCGCGAGCGGGCAACTTGGAAAGTGAAACAGCCCGCATGGGAGTCAGAGACAACCAAGAATAGATCTCCCCTCATTCTTGGTTGGGAGTTGGTGTTGTTCTTCCGTCCCCCTGGTGATCTTCCTGCTTATCATGATCGCACCATTGTCCTCGGTTGTTGCAACCTGCTGGCTTACGAGTACGAGGGACGGACCAGCTACGGTGTCAGTTAGGCCAATGCGGGAGAGACATATCTACATAGTACATGCTACTCCGTAATATGTTAGTATTAGCAAGCAAGTACTCCGTACTCCGTATTTACTTCCTTCGTACTCCGTACATCACCCCTGATAGTGATAGGCACACCTCGATGCTCGCCAATAATTGTGTCAGGATCCCTCTAGCCACTGGAGTCTGGCGGCACCCGTCATGCTTATCATTGGTTGCCGAGCCACACTGTTTGTTATCCATGTGTGCCAGGCTCCCAACTGCCAGGTCTAGGTCCCGTCCAGTTTCAATACTCCGTAGTATTATAGTAATCATATTATTACGTTCGATACTAGGTTTGATGCCAGATGCTCCCACTTGCATTTCAGCCACGGCGGCTGATCACAAAGTTGACCTTCTATTTCAGGAACGGCCCAGTGCAGACGGAAGAGTTCCCGGCTGGAGGGGTCATAGAGGAAGTCCCAAGTCGGCCCTTCCATCGGATTCCTCGCATTCCATCCTTCTGCCTCTTCAGCTCCCCTCCTCTGCCCGCCGCTACGATGATAGTTCCAGGTTTCAGCTTCGCCAGGTCGCGATAGTTCGTTAGCCTCCCTCGCAGTCTGATCGATTCCTTCCTCTGGCAGACCGATCGCCAATAGGATTGTTGGCTGACGACAACTGAGTCATGACTTGCTCACCATCGGGGCTCCTCGATGCTCCTCGATGCCTCTATCAAGACATTATCCGGGCTACCTGTGGCGTTGCCTGAGGTGACTGTTTCCTATCGCGGCCTGGGATGATCTGCAGCTAAGCACTCCGTCCACAGCAGCGACCTTTCCTATCGATTGGCTGAAGGGAAAGGTCTGATAGTCCCGAATCGTCGACGTACATGCGGCCTTACCGGGAACCAAGCATGGCTGTCTGACGGACAGGGCTCCTGGCCCCTTCAGACCCGATGGACCGTCACCAGACAGGGACCGAGCCCTCCTCAGTACTACGGAATGTCCTGCATCTGACCAACCGTGGGCCGCGGTCGGGCTTATCGAGATAGATTGATAGATAGAGGTGCCTCCTCATTCTTATCATCCTCCTCATTCCCCTCCCTCAAACAAGGAAAAATCCCGAAGTATAGCCCGGGAACGTTACAAGACACCCTCTGAATCACAAGTGAAACAACTTGAATGGTATCCGAATTACTATACCTACCTTACCGACAGCTCTCCCGCTGGGTTACGATACAATAAATAAGGGATAGAACCTTTCCCCAATAGCCATATCCAATGCAAGGGTTGATGTCTTTCAATTGACCCTCCGAGATTGACCCTCTCAGCGCGCCCCAGATCTGTCTTCCGAAAACCTTCCCCAGGCTCAGCACCCGTTACCCCCCCGGGTGAAGTCTCCAGTTAATGGGAAATAGTGCCTTCACTCAGCCGCCCCGACCCATGGTTCGCGGCGGGAATCTTCTCATGTTCCAGAAAATCCGCCTGAAGCCCTGGACTTAGCCACATTGGAAATCGATCGGTCCACTTTGCCATTTCAGCCGTGGATTAGAAAACTTTGTGCTCTTTTCCGTTGAATGTGATGTCAGTGCTTCCGGGGCGTTGCACCGCATATGCCATCCTTTCTCCACGGCGCGGAGTAGACTTCCATCCGAATTCCCAAACTGGGGCCGTAATCGGCAGCCGGCTTTTTCGATCCCCGAAACGCAGCCGATGAATCCGCATCAGGCATGTGGCTCAGCTCCGGAGCACTCACTATTGCTCACTCGATCCAACGCCACCCATCGAGACCAGTCTGAAAATGCCCATTCCGGCGCCGCCAGGAGACTGAGAAAATTGGTCGCCGGCCATAGCTACCTACGGAAGTCCCTATGTCACGCCTGATTGAGATGCTGGTTTTACACATCATCCGGACAAGCCGGATCGCTCCTCCAATTTCTCGTCAAAAGCCGGATTCGGTAACTTAAGGTCCAACCAAATAGCAGAAGCAGCAAAGGTGCCACTGGTTGTTATGTCATTTCCATGTCTCAATTCCTCCGCGGAAATTGGACTCGACTGGCATTGCGTAGAGGCCACCATTTTTGACCGTTCGAATACGATAGAGCAAATAAGCTTTCATCTAGCTCTCAATCTTCGTAGAGGACATGCTTATTCGGACAGATTACTGTCAGTACTTACCTACCATCTATGAGCTCGACAGTGAATTTCAGATGCGTCAGGCTTGTGGAGTTCGACAATTAGGTCTGTAAGGAAGCCGTCTTGACAAGATGCAACGATAACCGGTGGCGGCACCATGTGTGGATCGTCTGCGATCATATATCAAACAAGGGCCATGCATTGCAGTGTGCGACGCTGCATTACAAACGTGCCTGTCGATTGGCTCTCAAATCGTCCAGATACCTTGCATCGTACATGTCCCGTTAGTTCATATATATTTCCCTTGAAACCACTCTATGTACAATAAGAAAGAAGCTCCGAGGTAGCACAAAATCACACAGATCCACCGCTTTGATATTCCGGCCCGCTTCAACGCAGAGAAAAGACAAGTGCAAGCGGGTATAGACAAGGCAATTTCCCAACAAAGCCCCTACGAATTCACACCGAATGTCGCTCCACCCTACGCTTCAACGGCGCCCGGGGAAATAGCAAGAATGACAACCAGGGCAGTGACGATCAGAGCAGCAGCGACGATGGCAGTCAATGCAACACTCCCCCGGCTAGCCGGGAATTTCCCCCTGATGATCCAGTACTGACTTTCAAAGTAGCGATGGAATCCAACGAGTAAAATCAAGATAGCAACCCCGATGAATGTGGTTCCCAACGGCTTACCGATACTCCGAAGGCGTGACGAAGCGGATGCTATCCGGATAGCTGTGGGATCATATACGGGAGATGGCAAGCCTAGCGCTGTGAAGTCTGCACTGTTCGCATTGGATCCAGCACTGTTCAAACGGAACAACTGGGTGACTGCAATGCCAATCGAGGCAAATGCCAGTGAAGTCCTCAGCCATGCGAGAAATGTCCGTTCTACAGCCAAACCTTGTCAATCCTGCCGTACGTGTAACCGGAATAAGCAAAAACAGGTGCCAAACGTACCTAAAGCTAAATGGTCTCGGGCAACACTGCCCTTATTCTCCAGTTCTAGGCTTCCATATCTGTCTGCGATGCGGCTATACCAGGAGCCGCGGTGTTCTTCCGAGTCAGGCTGGGAATTGTGCTGGTCGGGGTCTCGTGAGGTCTGTTGTGCCGGGTTATTGGGATGACCATTGACGGATCCCGAGTCCCTGTTCCTCAGTCCGTCGGTAGAGTGATAGTTTCGCCGAGATGTGTCGGAGTTGCTCACGATCGGGGTGGCCTCGTTGACCGACTGCGATTGGTGCTGGTCAGGCACGACGGCCGTTTGACGCTTTGCGCTGAGGGGAGACATGCGGCGTGGCTCATTGTGAGACGAATGAGGGGATGAAGATCGCTGCGTGGGAGATGAGGCGTTGGCCTGGTGGGCGTAGGGCGCGGTCAAATCGGAGGAATCCATGATGGCGTGCTCGCGGGATGGCAGGGTTCAATATGGTCTAGAAAAGATCAGGTGGATATCGGATTTCCCCAGCTCCGGAGCGGTGGGGATCGATGGTCGATCCAAACGTTGTCCTCGATCAGGGTAAATCCTCTTAGGGGAACGCGAGAGCCCGGATGCTATGAGGGCAATAGAGATGCCGTGGTCTGGGTAGAAGAAGGCGAAGATTTTCTCAGCTCCCCTCCTCTAGCATGGGCATCGAGCAGTTTGGCGAAACAACAGTCTCGTTCGCTCCTTCTGCCCAGCGACCATCACGCGCTCCAATCCAGAACTGGCCTAGCGAGCGCTAACGACATGCAGCTAGTCTCACCGGCGATTACCACATAAAGTACATCGGCGATCGCGCTAAGCCCCCCTGGGACATGGCGTCATGGCTGCTTCGACATGGGCGGTCTATTTCTGCCGGCCAATCCGAGCCCCTTAGCTCATCGCGGGCGGTGTCAGATGGCCGCGTTTCGGCCCATTCGGTTTCACGTTTCTTAAGCACCAACTCCCTGCCAGCAGTCGTGTGAATCAGTCATCTGAGCGACCAGATTCATCGACTCGCCGAATATATCGCTCATAATGGCCTCGCAGGTCTCCGTGTCCAGCCCGGCCGCCACACCGAAGATCGACCTGTCGAAAAAGCTCTCAGAACTTCGTGCCAGCAAAGGCAAGTCTCAGACGGCTTCCTCCCGCGAACCTGCACCAGTCACCCCGCCTCTCCCCAGCGCCCCGGATCTCTCTTCCCACCAATATGCGCGTCCGGTGCGTCGAATTTTATCGAAACAAGACCACGAGCTGTTTTTATCCTCCTCGACCCATACCTTAATCCTTGCGTTCATTTTCGGTCTCTCCGATTCCGTGCGGGGACGGGCAACTACGGACATCGGCAGTCCTTCCCCCATCATCACCAAGATCCAGTCTGTTGTGCACCAACTCCGGTTACTTCTCGACAAGCATCCGTCTCTTGATCAAGGTGGTTCGCGGTTCGGTAACCCGGCCTTCCGCGACCTGTTCGACGATGTCGCAGCACAGAGTGCAGTATGGCATAGGGAGATCCTCGGGTTTCAGGATCAGGATCTCATAGAGGAAGCATCGACATATCTGATCCACTCGCTCGGGTCGCGCGACCGGCTGGATTACGGCTCCGGGCATGAATTAAACTTCATGATGTGGTTGCTGTGTCTGCGTCAGGTGCACATGTTCACCGCCACGGACTTCCCTGCAATCGTTTTCTACGTATACATGAGCTACATGCATCTCATGCGCGATATCCAAGCAACCTATTACCTGGAACCTGCAGGGTCACACGGAGTCTGGGGTCTCGACGATTACCACTTCCTCCCGTTCCTTTTCGGCGCCTCGCAGCTCGTTGCGCACCCCTACATCACTCCACTGTCTATTCACAATATGGTGGTGCTGGAGGAAGAAAGTGACAAGTACATTTATTTGGATCAGGTGCGATGGGTGGATAGCGTGAAGACAGTGAAGGGGTTGCGGTGGCACAGCCCGATGCTGGATGACATATCAGGGGCCAAGAACTGGAGCAAGATTGAGGGCGGCATGAAGAAGATGTTCGCCAAGGAGGTACTGGGAAAGCTACCAATTATGCAACATTTCCTGTTCGGGAGCTTGCTACCGGCAGATCCTGGTATGAGAGAGATTACGGACGACACGGAAGAGGAACACGACCATGACCATGGCCATGACCACGACCATACCAGTCACACGGACTACTTCGGGGACTGCTGTGGAATCAAGGTCCCAAGTACTATTGCCGCAGGAGCTGAAATGCGGAAGCGTGGAGGGGGGTCGGGGCTACGCCCGATTCCATTCGATTAATGGGCATAAATTTCTGGAGTTCTCGGTTGGGACATAATGGCTGAATGGATATGAAATGCAGGGAATTGGTGTTCCCATTAAATGCAATGATAATGACGAGCAGGACTTACAACCCTTACATCCTCTACACTAACCACAAAGCGGATGCAATATATACATACTATCCGTCGCAACACGTCGGCCGGTTCTCCAACACCCACATCCTGAAACGTAACCCAACAATCAAAAATAGAACCCAAACCACAAAAATAGAACAATCTTCCTCTCTAACAATAATCCCAAGCCCAACATTCCTACCTTATTCCTCCTTTCCAATCCCCACCCCCCTAGTAACCAACATATACCTCCTGCGGAGCAAGTAAATCCAGATCACCTGACCACCCGCTTAAAGCAGCCACCGAAATCACCACCCATCATACCCATTTCATCATCCAACCAACCAACCATCTGAATGAACCTCCACCCACCCCACCCCCAAACATAGAACCACAAAGCACAACATCAGTAAACAATAATCCGGGTAATGCCACCAAGCGAATACTCCACGCCCGGTGGAGGCGGCGGCAAACTCAAACTGAAAGGCAGCGGCCGCATAGAAAAGAAGAAGAAGAAGAAGAGCGGCAACAGCAGCAGTAAGAAATCTACTCCGAGCAACAACCCTGAAGGTGAACAGCAGCTGCAGCAACAACAACAGCAAGATCAAGAAGTACGAGATCAAGAACGCCGAGAAAGGAGTGATTCGATACCGCGTGATGAATTAGCTTCTACATCCGGACCTGCTGTTAAGACTGAAGCAGAGAAGAAACATGAGGAGATGAGGAGGAAGAGGGTATGTGATCATCTTTTGTTCTTTTGGTTTTATTTATGCTTGATCGTGTGCGTTCTGTGGTTGCTGGGCGTTGCTGTTGTTGCTGCTGTTGTTGGATGTGGTCATACATTGCATCCATCACAACATATCACAACATAACACATCACATCGCATCACTATGCAATACTCTTGTTCCCTCTCCAACATACCAAACATCAGGCAAAACTAACTAACCCTCCACAGCTCCAAGAACGACTCAAACGCGAAGGCGTAAAAACTCACAAAGAGCGAGTTGAAGAACTAAACAAATATCTAAGTCGATTAAGCGAACACCACGATATGTACGTTCTGTTCTTTACTCCCTTCTACTACTTATTTTATTGTACTTGCAATGAATCAACATCCTTGCTACTCACCTCCTCCCCCGGCAGCCTTTGCGTGTGGGCTGTTTTACTAACGATGAAATGTAGGCCGAAAATTGGACCGGGCTAAAACTAAAAAAAGAAAAGGAAAGACCGTGGTACCAGTTGTGGTTGGGTATCGTATCGCTTTGTTTCAGAATCTTTTAGTGTTGAAGGGGGGGTGCAGGGGTTGTAGGTGTCAGGTTGGTTTCAACCTATGGGAGGGGGCTGTGTTGGAGCTGAGGGAGGACGACTAGTCCTTAGTCCTTGGTATCATATGACGCTTGCTACGTTCTGCACGCTCAGTGGCTAGAGGGACGGGAGAGCTCGCTGAGCTGCGAGCTACGTGGGAAGCTGGCTCAGGACTCAACTACGGCCACGCTGCAACGCTAATTCGTGGTAATCAATGGTCAATTGGTGGGTGGACAAAGATGCATATATACCTATAACCGCTTGGCTAAGTGACATGCCAATGGAAATAGCAACCATTCACAAACGGGAAAACTATCAATTCTATCCAACATGACTGGAAGATGGAAATATGTCTAGCATCGCATCAGAGCCAACAACCGCTCGCTAGGGGGTTGATGGATGACGCGATCGCCCAAATATGCAACAGATAGATACTCAAAGTAGCCGTCAAAACTCCTAAGCTGTCAACGCCAAGCACTTAAACTCAATAGTGAAGAGTAACGTCAAAACTCCCCCCAACCCAGGTGGCAAGCTGTCGGGAAAGCGGGACTGGCCATGCAGTACTTGCTCATGCCGACAATCGTCAAGGAAAACACCGTGCTAATGTATGCGTCACGACGCAGCAGAAAGAAAAAGATCACGAGAAGAGAGTGAATGCCCCGGGCGTCTTCTCATACACCCTTGATGACGTGGGTCCGCTCGCTGTTGAGCTTATCGGCATTGCGGGCGTGAGACTCCTTCTTGCAGTCCTCCAGGCCGGTGCAGGCGTGAGCTTCCAGCATGCGGTGCTTCGAGCAGTAGTGACCGCTGCAAAAGCTGCAGTCTCCGACGATGCGCTGGGCGGCTTCCTTGCACTCCTTGAAGTTGCAGCGAGGCTTGCGGGGTGCCATGATGGAAGTGGTGGCGAGAACGGGGGCGAGCGGAGTCGGAGTAGCCGCCGAGGCAGCAATGACGATAAGCGCTGGAGTGAGGGTCCCCGGAGGTTGCTCCCGGGAAGTGGTAGTGACAGTGGGAGACGCCGAAGTGGCAAGCAGAGGATTCTGTTCCGAAAAGCCTGGAAAAGCACCCGAGTCGGCGTTAGGGAAGCTGTGGAGGTGGGAGACTGGTGAGGAGAAGGAGGTGAGGAGGTGAGGAGTCCGGAGGCGTGGCAGATAAGGAGGCAGCAGATAAGGATGGCGGTCTATATATACCGAAGATCGGAGGCGATGGGAGAGCCGTAGAGGGAGGATCAAAGGGCAGAGTCGCGAGGCAAAGCGAAGAAGAGTAGGAGGAAGAAGTAGAAGACAAAGAGCGGCGGAGGAAGCGAATAAATAGGTGGCAGCGGCAAAAGCGCAGGCAAAGTCAATTTATACCGGCCGTAGTAGGCTGGAGGGGGGGAGTCATGGATGACTTGCTGAGTCAAAGAACGGCGCTGCAATGCGCTGATCAGGACGGGCGTAACGACGCTGGGCCTACTTATTCTTAGGCTACCGACGCTGGGCCAAATGAGTAATGAGCCTATCCTCCGACTGGCAAGAACGACGACGCCCGGGTGGAGGCAAATCGGGCAGGTGGGACCCAAGATGTGTCCCGGATTCTTTGGGATTCTTTCCACTTTACTAAGTCCCCCCAGTAGATAGATACTATGTCCTCCGTATCCTACTCCGATTCACCCTTCGATACTGTAGTAGTACTGACGAGCACATCTCCATTTCCCCCCCTCCTCAGTCCCTAAGATACCACCCTCAATCGAGTCTCCATCGGCTGCTTCGGGCAACGGCAAGTCGTCCTTCTGCGCTGGCCGGATGCGCACGAGGCTCCCGTCGGTACCGTCCACCCGGCAAAGTCTCGCTGCTGCTTGTCCAGAAGGCAAGTGGTCGTCGTCAAAGTTTAACATTCCACAGGACCAGGGGAAGGATTAATAAAAAATAAAAAAAAAAGAAACGAAAAAAAAAGAAAAGTAGAATAAGATTTAATAGATGAACATTCAAAATTGGAAAAAGGAATCAAAACGAAAAAGAAAAAAAAAAGAGTCATACAGTGGTTACTACCAGTTCACCCGTTCATACGTGTCCATCGAAGCTCCAACCCAACAACGCATCCCCAGCTGCCATTTACCCTTTTCAACTCCCTTCCCCCCCCCTTTCTTCTTCAGGGCGATCAATCCACTCTTCGCGAGGGCAGCCATCCCCAGTATCCACATCACCTGCTCTACTCATCCTCATGAACATTACGGAGTAAACGTTAAACATAGAGCAATGCCTCTCCACCTCCGGCGCTACTCCTAGATAGTAGATGGTTAGCTCATCGACTGACCGATCCCCGTTGCCTTCCTCCCCGTTCTCAAACCACCCGGGCCCGATGCATGGCTCCATCCATCCAGGCACCTCCACGAAGGGGACACACTAAGTCGGAGAGGGGGGGAGCAAGAAAAGAGGAGACAGAGAGGGAGAGACTAGAGAGAAGGAGAGAGGGGAGAGGGGAGAGGGGGAGAGGGACTCGCCTTCCTCGATGTCTGTGCACGCCAGTGAAGCTGCTGCATCCGAGGTCGTACTACAGTAGGACACCTCCTTATTCCCAACCTTGATGGTTCAACCGGCGCCCCAGAAGAGTGCCCTGAACCTCCACTCCAACCCACCAGACCACTAAACTTCGCGGTCATCAGCCAACACCCACCCCCATCACGTGAGGCTTCCATGCCTTGCAGCCAGCATTCTCCTTCATCTTCGCTCATCAAGATCCGGATTTCGTGATCATATTCCCATCCACATCACTAGATCAACGTGTATAATGATCTCACAACCCGGAAATTACATCCAAGAAATCAGGCCAGGACCCCCCTACCACCCCAACCAGGGGGGGAAAGACCGTTATCCATGCACGTACCCTGGTTTGCAGAGTTAGATTAGTTGATGGAGCGCATCCATCCATCCATCCAGGATATTCACCGTCCCCTCGCAGCCCCCCCCTCCAGAACCCAGATATTATGCCTCCCCCCGTAGTCAGAACTATGTGGATGGTACTACGTGACTCCTGCCGTCCCGACTGCAGCTCCGTAAGCAGGTAGCATGTACAGCTAGTTCGTCCTTCACGAATCAGTCCGCCAGTCAATTCAATTGTCCTATGACAGGCCCTGCCCTCCACTACCGGCATACTAGTACTACACCAACCTACCTATACCACTACCCGGGGTCCCCATACCCAAACACTCTACAAGTGGGCCGGTGCAGGCAAATTCCCCTACTGGCCAGGCTCGTACTATCTATCTATCTATCTATCTACCTTCTGATCAGGCTCCATACAAGGTCCCTGACTATCCTCCCCGGTCCAACCCAAAGGATAAATAAGATCGAATCTCTGTGACGTGCTTACCAGACTAGTTAGTAGTTCACGTAGCTCATCCTATCTCATACTAACAACGTATCCCCGGTCTAGAACTCACACACTAGTACCCGAACAACCCTCCCATCCCCATCCCCATCCCAACCTCCCTCACCTTGGGCACGAATCCATCCCATCCTATCCTATCCCAACCCACATAGCACCAGTTCACTCACAATACAAGAATCATCCAAAAATCTCCCAACCCTGGATATCACAACTTGTATGAAATCATCGCAGGAAACAAGGCCCTCCTCATAATTCAATGTCATTGTTTAAAACCAACAAACAAAGAAAGAAAGCAATTATTGACTCAGCGTAGGGTGTCCGTTTGGCTGGGAATCAAATCGGTCGGTCTGTGTGTACAGACGTGCACAGAGGTGCAGGTCAGGTATGTATGTATGTATGTGGTGCTTGATTGGGGCTGAGCGGGGAAAAGGACTGGGCGTGCAGGACGAAAGTATCTAGTGGGGACCTTGGGTAGAGATCTGCTGGGTTGGCCGTTGTTCTAGTCTTGTCCGTGGGTGTGTCTGTGTGTTGTGGGCTGGGCCTACGGGGTGGTTACACATCTGTCACGGCCGGTGGCTCGACACGATTTAGGTATCTACCTGGTTCATGATGTCCAGGGTCTAAGAACGACGAAAAAAAAAATTCATATCATTGGGAATGAGAGGTATTTAGTGGAAAACGAAAACGCCCTTGCCACGCGGATTACACCGGTCAACCATTGCAGTCGTGAGAGAAAGAAGAGGGGAAAGCAAAGCAAAGCAAAGCAGATCGAAACATCACAAGCACAGGCATATTCATACCCCCATCTCCTTCTCCTTTCCTGCATCTGGATCGAGGTAGTCTTCCTTCTCGGCGGCTTCGTACTCCCCCACGAGATCCATGACTACCGCTCTGGCCTCATCAAATTCGTGCAGGCCGTCCGTGAAGGGACTCTCCTTTTTGTATTGTTCCAAGAAGGCGTTGCGCTTCCGCAGACGGTCGTATTGCTGAACGATTCGTTTGAACAGGGTGGCGACGGACGTGTGGTTCGCTAGCATCAGACCGCTGACACGGTGGGTGTTCTGCATGTAGGGCGACTTCTTGGTCAGAGCAACCTGAATACTCGCAGGGCCCCACGGGATGAATGATGCCAGACGTCGCTCTCGAATACGGAGAAGGGATTTGTGAACATCCGTCGGGTCTGCCTCTCCCTGGATGATGTTGAGAATACTGATATAGCAGCTGGATTTGCTGGGGTTGATGGAAACCATGCGGTTCTTGGGCTGCAGCAGACGGCGCATGACATCCAAAACCGTGGTCTTTCGCACCGTCTTGGCCTGCTCGATGTTATCACCGGTAAATGGGGTGTACGAGGTGATCAGGAAGTGGCTGCGCGGAGTAGGGATGAGGGAGGCGATGATTCCGACGAGGTCGTTGTGCATATAGCCGGGGTATCGAAGGGTCGTCGTAGAAGCAGACATGACAGTAGACACCTAGAAACGATTAACGCCAGCGACTTGGAGGCGGACGGTTACTTACAAGCTGGTTCGTTTGTTGGAATGAAGGCTCCTGCACGTGAAGTCTGTCTGCAACAATTCTTGAGAGAGCGCCGTTATCCAACACCACCTAGAATGCAGTTTAGCTAGAGCCGTAACCAGCCCATACTGACAGCGCCTTACCACAGAGTCCGCATTCTGTGTCAACCTTCTCATCGCCAGTAAACTGTTGTATGGGTTGACCACGACGTCTGCCGACTGGGTATCCGGGAAAACAGAGTATGTCTGAATCAGTTTCTTGGGGAACCGGTCGTTCATGCGTTCCAGAATGAAACTACCCAGACCGGAGCCTGTACCTCCTGCAATTGAATGCAGGAACATAAACCCCTGTCGGAGAAAACGTCAGCCTCAAGCTTGATCTCCACCTAATCTGCATGTCACCTTTCATACCTCTAGAGAATCACTGCCATCCGCTTCTCGATCAATCATGTCGAAGATCTCCTCTTGCACGACCTCGCCCGCGGAATAGCCCGCGCCCCAGTTGTTTCCGGCGCCAATACCCTGTTGTCCAATGAAGAAGTTCTCGGGGTTATAGATGTTTCGGTACGGACCAGCCTGGATGGCATTGAGGACCTAATCGGAAAATTCTCAGCTCACCGTTCGCGCGCTCACAATGGGTTCTTCGAGATGGTCCTCCGCGGAAGGGGTCGTACCCTGGGTTCTAAGTCCAGCAGGATCGCTCGGGGAATATATCGGGTGTCATCACTCTAAAACCAACGTTCAATTAGCCTCTGTGAGTACCAGACTGAAAGGACCGGCATACCTGATAGAAGAAGACATCTTTACGATCGCCGCCTTCGGTTGCGAAATCCTCCAGGTTTCCATCTTGGCTTATGCCGTGCTCAAGGCAAAGCTGTTGCCAGAATTGTGCGCCAACTAGAGCGAAAACCAATCAGTAAAGATCCAAGTCTGCTCTAATGACATGTCCAAAGCTGATGGCTGGGGCTGGGTCTGCTGGGAATTGGTACCATTGTTACCGCACTGGCCGGCTTGGATCGTTATTATTTCCCTATTCGATATTGTTAATATCGGTTGAGGAAGATATGCGCCAGCAGGTAGATCCGATGGGAGCTGGGATGGGGCACGTACCTGGGCATCTTGTTGTTTGATCACCGCAAGTGATCGTGGGTTATAGCCCACGCGTAGCGCGTTCCGCGGGGAAAGTTCATGAGTCGATTAGCTGTGTGGGGGCCTTAGGCCGCAACTACTCCGCACTCTAGGTTACCAGGTAGAAGGTAGAACATGAGCAAGCCAGCCATTGAGTCAGTGGGCTTCCTTGGTTAAACGGTGCATCAACTACATGCCAGCGATCAAGGATCGAAATTATGCCAGGGCAAGAAATATGGTACATATCATCACCTTTGTTTGATTTTGTCAATACCCGGGCAGATGGTTGAAAGCCTCGTACAATGTGCATTCTGCGAATAACAACAGGTGAGGTCAAAATTAACTACATAATACACACTCTTTTGGAGTTGAAGATAGCTTGTGACTCGTTTTTCGTAGTTTGATAGCCTTTCCGTCATGATACTTTCCGGTATCAACCAGGATAAGACCGCGAAACCCTCCCTCGAATGCTACCTGCAAGCAATGCTCTAGAATCCAGCTTTGCAAGCCGTAGCAAGCATGCCAGCTGCAGCAATAACGCCGTCGATAATCCTGACTTGATTGCCTTGCTCCCGGCCGTAGGCTCTGACACAGCCCTCTCTCATTGCATCCTCCATGCCCACCATGCCGGCACAACCCATGCATATCGCACCAACAGGGCGGGATGATTTCTTTAGCAGCCGTTCTGTCGCCTCGACCAGTCTTTTTCTGACCTCTGCCGGAGGGGTGGTGTGTAATTCCGCAGCCGTCAGTCCAGTGGTTTCCACGCCAGCGAACCGACCCGTGGACGTAGAATCTCCCGAGTTACCGAGCATATCAGCGACGGCAGTGGTGAGTTCGGCCTCCCAGACTTTCCCGGTCGTGATAATGCCAAATGTATCTCGGGACTGGACCTTTCCAAAGCCCAGGCTGCTCGAGGTTTGGAAGGAACTGATAACACCCAGTGCCGCGAGGACCGCCGCTTCGAAAATGCCGGTCACGTACTTTTTCTTGACTTTCAGTTCCGACGGGACGGTCGATGACTCTGCATCCTCAAGGGACCTGACTTTCTCTTTCAGCATGCCGACGAGGGGATGGGCTGAGAAGCAGGCCACGATGAAGCCGTCATATACGGTCACCAGAGGATCTAAGAAGTGCATGCTGTAGAGAGCCGACTTGACTGAATCTTCGCCGGAGTCTATACTAGGCATTCCTTTAACATAGCTCCCATCGTGAACCTTGACAGACTCGGCCGCTGGAGCTGTGAAGTAGTCGAATGTAATGCGTCCATGTCCGAGGTTGTCCAGAATGGGTATCAGGGCATTAGTCATGTGCGTGGAGGTGTTCGGATTGATGACCAGAATGGTATAATCGGGTTTGGTTGGCACGTCCATGTTGGTAAGGATGTTTTTAGACCGAAGACAGGGAATGACCTTGGATGGGAGAGAAACGACGAGTTACTGTCACTGTCACTGTCACTGTCACCGTTTCCAGAAAAGACGCCGATAGCGGGGGAGTTAGTGGGAGCTAGTCGGAGCTTCCCCTCCAGCGCCCAGCACACACCACCGTGACACCCCGGCTATATAAGCGCTTTGGTTGGCTCTGGGTCGTGACTGCAATTCACCGGAGCAAAAACAATCATCTAGAACCACTTGTCATCGACAATCCAAGCAACAATGGACCGGTGCCGTGGGACGGCCGGAGTAAAAGGCGGCAACAGCGTGCGGGGAACCCGTCAGCCAGGTTGGCTTATCTATCGGAGCCCCTCCCAACCGGCTGGCTTCTTGTTCCTCTCCGCCAGGCCCGGTCTTTCTCCTGCTGACCAGACACTGCTGTCCCCTGGAACCAACCATCCCAAATACCAGTTGAGTCCTACGAAGGTATGCTTGCACTCATGATGCCCAATATGGTCATCTCAGCTCAAACGGTCCCCGCAGCGTCTTGATCGATTTCACCATGCCGCTTATCGCACAAAACCCCACGCCACGAGTCATCCTTGGCTTGATGACCTTTGGTCCCGATGAATCCAAGGGTGCTCGTATTACCTCGCTTGACAATTTCAATACGTGTCTCGATCATTTCCAGAAGCAAGGTTTTAACGAGATCGACACTGCGCGAGTCTACGTGGGAGGTGAACAAGAGGCGTTCACTGCCCAAGCCCATTGGAAGGAACGTGGGCTGACTTTGGCAACAAAATGGTATCCCCACACTCCGGGTGCACATAAGCCTAACGTTCTTCGGGAGAATCTCGAATTGTCCTTGAACCAGCTGGGGACAGACACCGTCGACATCTTCTATCTTCATGCTCCCGATAGGTCGGTCCCATTTGCGGAAACATTGGAGGCTGTCAATGAACTGCATAAGGAAGGCAAGTTCGTAGAGCTTGGCTTGAGTAACTACACGGCCTTCGAGGTCGCGGAGATAGTGACGATGTGTAACGAGCGAGGCTGGGTCCGGCCGAAGATCTACCAAGCCATGTACAATGCCATCAGTAAGTTATTCCACGTGCATGCGCCAATCCTTACCGTGACCTGGAGACTGTATCTGACTTTCTTTACAATAGCCCGCAGCATTGAAACTGAGCTCGTTCACGCTTGCAAGCGATACGGCATCGATATAGTAATTTACAACCCCCTTGCTGGTGGGCTCCTGTCCGGCAAATATAAGACCCAGGATGTGCCGGCAGAAGGCAGATACAGTGACAAGGCTCAATCTGGAGAGTTGTATCGCAAGCGTTATTTCAAGGACGCGACGTTTGACGCTCTGCGGATCATCGAGCCTGTTGTGGAGAAGCATGGATTGACACTGCCCGAGACCGCATTCCGCTGGATTCGCCATCATTCTGCTTTGAATATCAAGGATAATGGCCGTGATGGAATTATTGTAGGCGTGAGCAGCCTTGCTCAGCTGGAGAACAACCTCAAGGATATCCAGAAAGGACCCCTACCCGAGGAAGTGGTCGAGGCGTTGGACAAGGCATGGCTGGTCGCGAAACCATCAGCTCCCAACTATTGGCACCTTGACCTTAAGTATACTTACGACACTCAGGAAGCCTTGTTCAAACCCACTTCCAAGGCCTAGATACGATGGGGGACGCCCGACACATCAATCGGAGGAACGTCGGCTAAAGTCTGTATATACACCATGATAGGAATGAATTTTTTTGGCCGAAACTAATCAGTCACCTTGCGGTAAAATGTGCCCAACAGGTGTTATACGACCTGTTCTCATCTAATGGGGAATAGACAAAAACCGCAGCTAGCAGGCTAGGCCTTGTGGTCATGGAGAACGGGCATTGTGAGTTTGGCCATTCAATCGGTGGGTCTAGATCGAGATCCTCCTGCATTCCCAGCCAGGTGACCGCGCCGCACTTGTGTACAACCGCTTTCTCTTCCTTTCCCTGTTCCTCCTGCTTCTCCATTCTTTTTTACTGTCTCGGCAACTCACTCCAACCCTGAAGCAAATGATGCCTGCGGGCCCTATTAAGATCACAGATCATGAGTTTATTTGACTCACTCAGTGGCACCCAAGCAATGACTGCATTTCTCCCGACTTACATGATTGGCATTCAGACCTGGGGTGAGACCATGGGACGATATGAGAGGGTATCCGGGCGGGATGCTTGTGATGGTTCGAACCAGATCCCTCCCTCCTGCATTCACCCAGGTATTGTCCGATACTTGCAGTCTGCCGACCCCATGCTGCAAGCACCCAATAACAGGATTGCATGGATCTAGCTAGAAGCTTGGCTGGCGCTAAACCTCGGCTGCTCAGGGATGATCCTCGCATGGTGCACCGTCAAAAATGGAGTCTAGCCGTATGCTACACCCTTGCATGACACTTCACCTCCATGGGCCGTTGTCCGAGGCTAATCTGGGGTAGGCGCCTGACAGCAATTGTGCCATTTCCTGTGGTCATTGTGCCTAGAACCTCCCCTAAGTCTTAACGCCGACTCCTCCTTGCAAGTCCGCATATCCCTTCATTGTGCCACCATGGAGAGTATATTCTTGAGCGAATTGATGGCTTATCTCCGGACGTGACACGGCGGAGTGTTTTGAATTCAGGGAAAGCTTAGACTTGGCTAGTTTCGAGGAATTTGGAAAAGTCAATTGCATTGTTCTCCAATTTCTCTCTGCAGTCGACAGCTTGCGCAAAGAGGGCCAGGTGCACGCTGCAATGTTACCTTACGGTCATGCATCGATAGAAGAGTCGTCCAACACCAATAGCATGCATCGGCGATATCAACTGGCGTCTGGCTGTCGCCCCCAGGGGTCTACAGGCCCGGTTAGCCTTGAAAGTTGAGCGTTTGGTTCATTTAGAACCCGGTCAATTGTGGGTTGCATCCTCGCCGTGATCTAGATCCTCAAGCTGAATGGTGCGGCAATTACGATGACCATGTGAGTACAACGCCGTGGTGGTTGCTTCAACATATCTCCTTGCCTGTTACGCAAGTATAAGGACGGTTAAAGATCAGGGTAGATGTCTTGAAGATATAAATGTCCCCGCTATGGACGCTGACCCCAGAGTCTCAAAGAAGTCAATTGGCATTTTTATCTCTGCTAGTACAAGATGCCCCTTGTCATCGCTCGCTCGCTTGTTAATAAGGATGACCCAAGTGAGGGCTCAAGTACTTTTACAACCTCAGATATCGAGAAGAAGGCCGTGATATGTGTGACGCAGAGCTCCACGGGTACTTCCGCCGACGCGGCGCTTGGTGACCCGGTCAACAAGAAACGCTTTTGGTTTCAGCGATCCAAACCCTGCGATCCCGACGCTATTGCAACACAGCCATCAGTATATGATGATCCTGACCTTGTTGAAGAATATAAGCCACGTCCAGACTGGGAGGGAATTCACCGCTTTGATCCAGCAGCAAGATGGACATGGGCTGAAGAAAACGTACGTATACCAAGCACTACAGGCGTCAACCATGGTGGTCCTAAGTCCCTCCAGAAAATCGTCAGGAAGCTGGATATACGTATCATCGTATGGGCGTGTATCATGATAACTGCCCTGGAGCTCGATAAATCCAACATCCGTGAGTGTTATGACTGGCTGATTTTATCCCACCCGCTGACTTTAGCAGAGCAAGCTAATGCAGACAACTTTCTGACTGATATTCACCTGAGCCGTGATGGTCAGTATATTCCATGGGGCATGCACTCCCTAGCTGATGGCCCACGCCTTGTACAAATTAGATTATAATCTGGGAAACACTCTCTACAGACTATGCTTCCTTCTGAGTGAGATACCTACGCAGATCATCAGCAAAAGAATTGGTTGCGACCGCTGGATCCCCATCCAGATGATTTCGTGGTCGGTTGTTGCTAGCTGCCAATTCTGGCTCTCAAACAAAGTGTCCTTCCTGGTCTGTCGCGCTTTAATCGGATTAGTGTCGGGAGGCTTCACTCCCACTGTGAGTGGCCCGGCCCGCCTATTGTCTCTAATACAATGGTCTAATAATAGGCAGGTCATCTTATACCTCTCCTACTTCTACAAGCATCATGAGTTATCCATACGCCTTGGATACTGGTATGCAGCATCTTCTCTGGCAGACATGCTGGCAGGCTTTCTCGCATTTGGGATCCTTCATCTTGGTGGTCGTGGTGGCCAGGCCGGTTGGCGATGGCTTTTCTTGATTGAGGTGTGCTGGCACATCCATCGCTTCAAGAAAATGTTACTAACACGTGCAGGGACTACTCACCCTAGTACTCGGTCTCCTTGCAATTGTTCTCTTGCCACCTTCACCGACGCAGACAGCTCATTGGGCGCGTGGAAGGAAGGGCTGGTTTACAGAAAGGTGGGCCAGAACTCTGATGAAACTGAAAACCAAGCCACTGAGACGGAGGTAGGGAGGAAACCATAATGGTCAACCGTATCTTACGAGAAGACCCGAGTAAGGGCTCAATGCACAACCGCCAACCACTAACAGCCAAGCTCGTGTGGATGAGTCTCAAAGAATTTGATCTGTGGCCGCTATACATTGTGGGCATCCTATTCTCGGCACCCTATAGTCAGTATACCCCAGTCCTAGGCCCTGAAAGCTGCTGGCTAAGGTTGTGAGCAGCCACCGTTTCGCAATACTTCACCTTGCAGATCAAAGATTATGGGTTTAACACCTTTGATACCATCCTGCTATCTATTCCCTACAGTGTAAGCGGAATAAACAGACGAACGGCTTTAGTGCAATGGTTCTGATAGAGTGCTAGGTCCTTGGAATTGTGACAAGGATTGCCCTTACGTATGCCGGGGAAATTTTCGGTTCTCTCGCCCTGATGGGAGCTGTGGCCCAGGTTTGGTGCTTGCCATTTATCATATACATGAATGTGGTGGATTTGAACCAGACGAATAAATGGATCGTGTGGACCGTTCTCACCCTGTTTCTAAGCTTCCCTAACGGTAGGTCGATATACGCCGAGGCAGGGTTCTTTAGGTGGGGAGTGCTGATATGAACATGGCTAGCTCATCCACTCCAAGCCGGGTGGGTGTCCCGCAACTCGAACAGCGTGCGGACTCGGGCCATTGCAGCTGCGATATACAACATGGCTGTACAGCTGTCGGCCATCATCGCTTCGAATATATATCAGGATCGTAAGTGTCCCGCCTGATTAGCAGCCGGCAATGCTGTGGCCATTGGCTGACAAGGCATGAATTTGCAACGCGTAGGGGATGCACCGCGGTATGTACTCGGAAACCGAGTCCTCTTGTCTGTGGTATGCATCAACATTGCCCTCTACATGGCAATTAAGGCGTACTATATACTGCGGAACCGACAGCGGGACCGCAAATGGAATGCTATGACCGAGGATCAAAGGCTCGATTACGTCGCAACCACTAAGGACGAGGGGAATCAGCGGTTGGATTTCCGGTTCGCACATTAAGTGGGGGTGCAAACTTGACAAGGCTCTTGGAATCTGGTGTTTCGGATGGGTGTCAATCTTCCAATGTGAAATAACGCAGACTGCTACTATAAATAAATAAACAAAGCATAGGATCATTTAAGGTCGACCCGGAAAAACGCGGCGTGTTCCAATGCGGAAGGTGCCCGGGCGCCCCACGGCATCACGTGTAGGAAAGGCGCGCCTTCCCGATCCGGGCTAGAAGGGGGAGCCCGCGGGCCAGTCAGTGTATTGAAGTATGAAATGAACCCCGTACCAAAATGACCAAGCGTCTCGTCCGTCCCTGGATCCTTGACAACTAGACAACCATCTACTCCGTAACTGCAATGTAACCGCGCATGCAATCTCTCATACTCCCCTCCCTCCACTTGGCTCTCCATCAGTCCTATAGCCCGCTTGCTCTTGTCTCCCTTGCAGGCCTCTTTACTCTCTTTCAGTCCTCCTTTGTGCTTGGATCGCGGTCACGGTTCTTCGATTTCCCTCGTCTTGTCTTGTCTTCTTGACGAACTCGGCAAACGTGGCCGTAGCGGCGGAGTCTCTCCCCCGGTGCCGCCATATTATATACCAAGCTGCATGAGGGCAACTGACCTCTACTCCTCCTGATATCTAGATATCGCACCATCTCCACCAGATCGGTTCTTTCTTAATCTCAATCTCCCTCCTGTCCTTCCCGTCTGCCTGCAAAGCCGCGACCCGCCGATAAGCCCGCTTTCCCCGTGCACTTTTGATTCGCTGTCGCTAGGCCCCTTTGCTACAGGGTGCAGGAGTTCAGAAAAAGGTCTCTACTTTTTTTCTTTGCCTTTGTTTCCCAATATTATTCTCTACCTGAAGGGTGTAAACGGAAGATTGAGACAAGGTGGCTTCAAACAGTGCGCAATCGTCGGGCCCCCAAGAGATTAGGGATCCCGAGCTGGTTCTCGACTCTCCCGACTCAGATGATGAAATGTCTATGAATCGCCCATCCATGCATCGACCGGCTGACACCCGAGCAAATCAACCGTTGCTCAAAGATGAGCGCAGAGGACGGCTGTCAAACGCCAGCCTAAGCCATGGGGAGCCAGAAGACCGGCCCATGCTACACCATTCGCGGCGGCCCACAATCAGGGGGGTGAGCCCGGAGCGCAATGCGGAGCAGGAGACTCGGCGCAAGTACCTGATTGCGTCGGGATTTCTCTTGTTGAGCCTGGCTAGTTTTGTCGTACAGACTGAGACGGCGGTATACATCCAGCATGAGCTGCACTGGGATAAGCCATACTGCATGCTGTAAGTAGTGCACAAGTCGCATGGATCCCTTCCCGTCAGGCGACGCAGACTTCTGACCTGGCCTTGGATGTATAGTTACCTCACACATGGTTCTTGGACCCTGCTTTGGCCGGCACAACTTGCCATTCTCCGGTTGCAGCAACGGAAACTCTCGTGGCCGGCATTTTGGCGGCGACATGTCTATCTCCTTCGGTCTACAGCCAAGATGGTGGAAGCTCAAGATCTACACTTTACCTCCCGTGACTCTCAGCGATCTCCGGTTCGATACATGCTTAGAACGACTGCGTTCGTCACTACCGCTCTCACCATCGCTGGTGGCTCCTGGTACGTTGCAGTCAACATGACAACAGCCAGTGACTTGACTGCGATCTACAACTGCTCTGCCTTCTTCGCCTACGCATTTTCCATCCCTCTACTCAAAGATAAGCTCCGATTCGATAAGGTGTTTGCCGTCGTGGTAGCGATCGTGGGAGTACTTGTGGTCGCGTACGGAGATAGAGACGAGGGCAAGAAGACCGCCGATGGTACGGTCGGCAAAGCGCATGATGAGGCAGAGAACAGACTTTTGGGGAACATCATAATCGGGATTGGCAGTGTACTCTATGGTTTATACGAGGTGCTCTATAAAAGATTCGCCTGCCCTCCGGAGGGCACCAGCGCCGGCCGCAGCATGATCTTCGCCAACACCTTTGGCAGCCTCATCGGATGCTTCACCCTTCTCGTTCTCTGGATCCCGTTACCTATCCTTCATATCACCGGTCTCGAGACGTTTCGCTGGCCCACTGGCGAAGCTGCCTGGATGCTTATGATCTCCGTCCTTGCCAATGCTAGTAAGTCCATCGCTTATTTCTTTCTAACTTGTTCAACGCGAAACCGAGGGCATATGCTAATGACTGTTCTCCAACCCAGCGTTCTCCGGCTCATTCCTAGTCCTTATCTCCCTCACCTCCCCCGTCCTCTCGTCCGTTGCCGCCCTACTTACTATTTTCCTCGTCGCTATCGCCGACTGGCTCCGGACTGGACAGCCTCCCTCCGCCGCCGCCATTTTCGGCGGCATTCTCATTATCGGCGCCTTCTTTCTCCTGAGCTGGAGCACATACCGGGAAATGAACGAAGAGCGGAAGAAAAACCTGCAAAACGACCAGACAGAGTCCGACAGTGAAGAATAGACATTGCTTATAGACTGGATATATACCCTTCCCACTTGTTTAAGTCTTTTGTTTTCTCTACTGTTTTTCAACTGATCATTGGTCGCATGGGCCGGTCCATGGTTTTTGATTACCTTCATCTTTGTATATTCTTTTTCATTGGTCTTGTTTCGGGCCCACGCAAGATTCGTGGGCATTTTTCGGAGTACTTCAGTTGGTCCTTATATACACTTATAGACATGGGAGGAACGGATTCGTTCATCAAACTAAAAGTCTTTGTTTCGGGCTGTCTTATTGGATCAAGAGATCCCTAAGAAATCCGGAGTAGCCATCACCGCTATCTATAGTAGCTAGCTACCTAAATAGTAGGCGGGCAGGAACGGAGGGGGAAGAAAGAATATAATAAAAACAAGATGCAGGATGGTTGAATAAATCTTATCCTTCCTTATATGACATAACCTCTTGATCTCCCTGAGAACAAGAGAATGGTTGTTGTATGTACGTATATCGAACAGAAAGGGTGGAGGTAAAAAGAAAGGTTGTTTGGAAGATGTGGACGGGGGGTGTTCCAATTCGCACACACGGTAAAGAATCACAATAGAGGTGGTAAGTTCGGATAGGTCGAGTGGACGGTATACAGCGTAGTACTACTATCTAGGGCCGAGTTTGGCCAGGGCGCGGGCACCCTGTTCTTGCCACTCTTGCTTGGAAACCCACATATCCTCCTTGTCGGCAATCTGGATATTTGTTAGCAAGGATGGTGCTGGTGGGATAGGGCGGGATGGAAAGGACATACCAGGTTGGCAAGGACGGCACCTCCCAGGAAGACCATGTGTCTCCGTCGTGGGGGGTCCTCGATGCGCACCTTGAATTTCTGGATCGCGGAGTTAGCTAGCGGTTCTGATTGCGGGGAGCGAGGCGGGTAGCGCGGGAGCGGGCTACGTACGTTCAATCTCTCCGGGTTTCCTTGCAGTACCCGGGTGAGCCACAGTTGCTTGATCTCCTTCTCCAACCGCGAAGGCAGACCGGGGTACATGCTGCTTCCTCCACTGAGCACAATCGCTTTGTACAGACTGGAGCGCACGTCGACATCGGCGCCCTGGATGGTGTTGAAGAGCAGCTCGGCCATACCGGGTTGGTCAACATCCACCAAGTGCGGCTGGAAGAGACACTCAGGGGCTTCGAAGCGCTCACTGCCTACACGAATGACGCGACCATCGGGGAGGGTGTAGGACTCGACCAGGACCGTTGTGTCTTCCGAGAGCTTCTTGTCCAGCTCGAGATCGTAGGACACGTAGCAGAGCTTCTCCTTGATCTGGCGCACGGTCTCGAAGTCGGCGGTACGGTTCAGGGCATAACCGCGGCGGAGCAGGAGGGCAATGAGATTACGGGTGACATCACGACCGGCGACATCAAGTCGGCGGATGTGGTGGTTCAGGACTGTAGATTCGTAGACGGGGATGATGTGGGTGACACCGTCACCGGAGTCCACGACCACACCACTACTAAGACCTGCGGGTTGCAGAAAGCGGGTGATCAGAACTGCCGTTGCGAATTGCGAGCATGAATCTGCGACTTACCCTGAGCGTATAGTGCAAGCACAGCTTGAATAGCAACGTATACGCCACCAAAGTTGTAGCCTTCCAGCATCACCTCAGCCATTTGTTCCCGGTTCTTCAGGGGGTTCATGGGAGGTTCGGTCAGGAGGATCTTGCGACCCGTGGGGTCGATCTTCATCTTCTCGTAAAAGGTGTAGTTCCATAGGTGTTGCATGTCGTCCCACTTCTTCACGATACCGTTCTCCATCTATACCAGGCCGGGTCCAACATTAACACGTCTGCCGGACATCGGGGAGGAGCGATCGGAAGGACGGAGGCAAGAGAAAGACATACAGGGTAGCTGATCTGGAGCATTGATCTGGCAGCGGCAGCCTCATCTCCGCACATAATATCCTTGACGACGATGTCGCCTGCCTGCTCCTCCGTTCGCAATATGGGCCGCCCCACTATCGAGGGGAACTGGTGCTCGGGGAAGTTCTGTATGGAGGATCAGGGAGGTGAGCAAGGGGACGGATTCCAATGGTATCGAGGGAGTGACTAACCTGCGCAGCATATCCGACCTTGAGGAAACCCGTTCCTCCGTCGAGCACTGAGGGGGGTTGGTTAGTTAGCTGGAGGGACGGGAGGCACAGGCACCGACAAGGAGAGCTTGAGGGGAAAGAGGGGGATGATGCATAAACATACCAATGGGCATGTCAGCCATGGTGATAGATGTAGATGGGGGGGAGTTGGCAGGATTAATCAATTCCGGAGGGGCAAAAACAAAGGAGCATGGAGATGACGTCCGGAGAGTGAGTACAGACAGACGGGGCAGACAGGCAGGCAGCTGGAGGCAGGCAGTCTGGCCGGAGTGGTCAAGAGCACCTCCCAGGATTCCCCCCAATCAGGGTGGGTCGGCCATCCTGCCTGAGGCGGTGAGCTGCTTGCAGGCCTTGTTGCCTTATTCTTCGCCTTGTAGCCTTGTAGCCTTGTAGCCTTGAAGCCTGAGTGCCTGAGTTCGCGCCCCGTGCGCCAGGGAGTGTCACGAACAAGGGGTATATAGAACACATCTATCAGGCAGACGCGGTATCAATTCAAATCGATCATCCCCCTATTAAGCCTCTACGTAGTCGCCTAGATTGGTCACTACCAGCACCCGTAGATATAGCCTAGATCCCTCCGCAGCTCGCCGGCATCGGGCCCGCCCGATATCAACTTCCCCGACACCTACATAACCAGAGCTACCTGCTAATCTATTGAATGTAAATTTCAACCTCCTGAGCCCCTGATACAACTTACCCTTCTAATTAAGCACACTATGACTCGAATCGGTTGGGTACGTAACGTCTCCAACACATTGCGAATATAAACAAGAGCCAACTCCAATCCCATCCAGTATGGCCTCGGCTCCATGGGCCTGGCCATGGCCACGAACCTCCAAAAACATCTCGTCCGCAAAACAGGCCCAAGTCTCATTTATTCCAACCGAACCATGGCCCGCGGCGACGCTCTCAAGGCACTAGGCGGTACACCCGAAACCAGCTTCTCGAAGCTCGTTGCGCAATGCGGGATTATCTTTACCATGGTATGGACCCTTCCTTGAGCACTGCGCTTGACCCTATAGAAGGTATGGGGGACGGATTAAAACGAGGACTAGGTCTCCAATGACGCAGTCCTTCAACAACTTGTCTCCTCGGCGGTCAATTCCGGGCACTCCCTCGAAGACAAGATCTTCGTTGACTGCTCAACCGTCCACCCTGAGACGGTGGGCGGGACTGTCGCGAAGCTGAAGGAAAAGGGGGCGGACTTTCTGGCTGCTCCTGTCTTTGGAGGGAACCCAATCGCCGTAGACGGAAAGTTGGTGTTTGCGATTGGCGGGCCGAGGAAGGCGGCGGAGGTGGTGAAGCCGTTGATCCAGGATGTGATGGGGAGGAAGGTGATTGATTGTGGTGAGGATGCGACTCGGTCTTCACTTCTGAAAATTGCAGGGTGAGTCTATGGTTCACACGCATGGAGGGTGGGAGTGGGGATGTGGAAGGTTACTTATATAGTAATATTGTATTCAGGAACATTGTCACCGTGAACATGATGGAAGCGGTGGGTGAAGCGCAGGTGTTCGCTGAGCGGACGGGACTGGGAAGTGGCCCAATGGAAGAGCTCATTGGAGAGGCCTTTGGGCCCGTGGCTGGGGGATATTCGAAACGGTGAGTACTCAGCACTCTCTCCGACCCCGGGACGGGGTGTGATTGCTGATTTCTGCAGATTGACCACTGGCGCCTACGCACCGCCGCTGAATTCTCGTCCCGGATTCGGGGTTTCCTTGGCCATCAAGGATGCAAAACATGCATTTGCCATGGCCAAGGACCATGATGTTGAATTGCCGGGTCTGCAGGTTTCCCTCGATAACATGGAGGCTGCCAGGGAATATGCGGGCGAATGCTTGGATAGCAGTTCCATGTACGGAGTGCTACGGCAGAAGGCCGGTCTGCAGTTCTGGAATGAAAAGAGTCGCCAGGGAAATTCCTGACCTACCAGTGAGGACCAGTTGCCACTCCTAGTTCAATATAGATGACTACTAGATCCATCTCGATTCTCAAGACACTACCCCAGCTCTACAACCTATAGAAGTAGGAGGGATTCTTTGCTATGATGAATGATAGAAAGAATTTATGGAAAAGACTAAAAGATAAATCTATATTTCTGATTGTAGACTTACTCACATGGAGCCGCAATCGAGTGTTAACCTCGAGAAGGGGCCCATGATTGATACGTTGCTGGCGTGAGGTGGTCACTTTCAGCATCAATCTCAGTAGGTTCCCCCATCTACTTGTACATTATGCTGAGATTCACTATCGAGATGATCCTGGTTGTGGTCTTCCCCAGCGAAGACAGAAGCACACTGGCCCTACGTGGTGTATGTTGTGACATCCACAGAGGTTTCCACGAAGCTAGGTTTGATCAGGTCATGGTTGTTACCGCATTTATTGAGAGGCACAACGGCCAACACAAACACAAGGGCAGAGGATCGTGCATGGTCACCGAAATGAAGTCTTGGGAACACATGAGTTTGTTGCATGACAACCTCACAACTCAGACGAACCCCGAAATTGCAAGTTATCTACTAGCTTAGTCCATAGACAGCACGAAAACTCCGCAGGATGGAGTTTCCAAGGAAAGGGTAACATTGTTTCCGGGACCAATCACCAGCTCGACTCTTTATTTCTGTCTCACTCATCGACCATCACCTTTGCCGATAACTACCGGGACACCAGAGTACAGCAAGGCGTGGATGACACAGAGAATAAGGCACGGTCGAACTAGGATCAGATCATCACGGCCAGCATAAAAGCCAGTGAAGTACCTTACTTATCAACGCCACAAAGGAGATGACCGGTACTTCGTCTGGATTACTGCGACGATCGAATCTTCGTGGTCTCCACCAAGGAAGGGTAGGCTTCCGCAAAAGCGGGCCCCAGCGACCAGTTACTGATATTGCGGAAATGCCTTTCAAACACAGGGTTGATCATAAGCTCATCGCCGTCGCCGGAAGACAGGAGACAATCTGTCGCCTCATAGGGCCAATTGACGGACAAGGTGCGTGTAAAGGGAATGAACCAATTCTCGAACGGGTATTCGTGATATGACATCACCAAGCGGTCTCGCATCCGCGGCCATGGCAGGTAGTCGATCCAGGCCGGATGGGCTGTGAGAAGCTGGGACGGACGAGGAGTGAGCCACTCGGGCAACCGGTCGTAATTTTCGGGGGTTGGGTAAATCTGCCACCGCATAAGGAGGAACATGAGAAGCAGCACAGCTACCTGCTCAGGAAGAGTGGAGATATCCGGGAATGTCCGCAAGATATCGGTGAACACTTTGGACAAGGGATGTGAATAAACGCTTTTCTCCGGATTGAGTAAGGATGAGACGCTGGGGTAAGAAGGCCCCACGAGACTCTGTTTCGGTACCCCCTTCGCGGCTTGATTCTGACGGTTATGAAGAAAATCCAACAGAATGGCGTCTAGAGTGCATGTCGGAGCGATGTTGCGAATCGGGGTCAGGAAGGCGGGCAGTGGCTGCTCCGCCATAGCGGTATGAACCGGCGAGGGGTATGTGGGAGATGCATTCAAAGGCGGCCTCTGTGTCTCTGAGGAACGTCGAAACCCCTCCACCTTAGGAACTTGCTGCGATGCATCAAGCAAGAAGTTGAAGCCCATCCGTTCATCCGTTCCGCCAAAGTCCAGACCGTGAGCCAGATTGTGTCGCTGATAGTCGAACGCGATGCGGAAAGAACCCGGACCGGCCGTTGTAATTTCGCGGCGTGCCGCACTGGAGGTGAATGCCGCGTGCGCGGTGGCGGAAGAAGTCTCGGTGCTCGTAGTAGACTCAGCGTACGGATGCTCGCCTGCGGCAGATCGCTGAGAATGGGCCGAGAAACGGATGCTGTCGGACAAAGGCGGCGTCGTTGTTATCGGGGGGATTCGAGCACTGGTTGAGGACGGCGTGGAAGTGAGAGGGTCTGGAAGGAAAATGTCGTTATTATGGCTCTTCCCTGTCTTCACAAGGATGGGTGAACATACTCGGCTTGTCTTGTTTCCCCAGCAGAGGCTGGATGATATCCATGATCACCTTGAGCCCTTGTCGGATCTCTCTGTTTTCCGCCTGGATGACTTCATTCTGTTTCAATGCCGCCTGAAGGTCCAAAAACGGTTTCTGCGACGAAAGATCGCGGACTCTTTGTTCCAGAGAATCGATATGTGCCTTCGTTCTCTCGCGAATGGCGCGCTGGGCCTGCCGGTCGTTGGCTCGCTTCTTCGCCAATTGGTCAGGCGTGAGGTTCGCGACGCCTCGCGCAGAGGTGCAGTTCAATTTACGTTTGCGGCCGGCACCCGTCGCCGGTGGTCCATTGTTGTCCGGTGCGGGAGTTTCTGCATCCGCGGAGGTCAATGCGGACGGAGTGGGGGAATCTTCCAATTTCACCACATCCGGACCCGCGGTCGCGACCGGGGCGGCAGTGGACGGCCCTTGAAGTATGGAGGAGGAAAAGGACGAGGTCGACGATGACGACTCAAGGGCCGGGGGAGGAGCGACATCGTTTAAAGGAGGAAGGCGGGTGGCCATGGCCTCGCTCGCGGTTTACGGGGACGAAGCGGCCATTCAACACGGAGGAGAGGTGCGGGTGAAGCGGAAGAAGCAAGGTATCTGGCTCAACTGTAGGAGGACGGCGGTGGCATCGAAAAGGAGAAGCAGGAGGATATATGAACAGAACAGGCGAGCAGGACGAGGAGAAGAGTGGACGAGTCATTGGGGGGTGGGAGGAAGCAGAGGAGGGAAAAAGATTATTGGGGAGGCGTCCTTCAGCTGGCCGAAGGAAGAGTCAGTCTGGTTGGCTCCGGTGGAGTTGCCCCAAAGTCAATAATCGGCACCACGTTTTGCCTTTTCCTGACACCAGGAGGCTTCAGAGCCAGACCATGGCCGATCCGGAGTGTCTTGGTCCTTGGGATGGGTTAAACTTCCATAGTGGCGCTGCTCTTGTTTGACCGCGCTAGCCTCAAGAGTCGAGTCTCTCTTGCCAAGGTTCTGGGTCTAGACGCCCTCCGCTGCGCGATATACCTCTCGTCTCTTTCTCTTCCCCCCTCCCCAGGACTTGTCTCGGGTGTCTGCAACACGATACGATGGCACTTCAGTCTCAATTGGTCTATCTGTGGCGCCCTCCAGATAGTCCCGAAGTCAAAGCCTCGCCCCTCCCCGAATCCACACCCTTGTCCACCGTGATGCCCAACCACGGCGCCAGATCGATGGTTGCATCTTCATCCCATGTCCAGATCTCGTTACCAAAGGATAGAAGTACAGAAAAGTAGCCGGAGGGAACATCCTCTCTCTCTTTAATGATCAAATCGTGTTAGAACGAAGCGCTGTACATTATATTACCTGGGCCCAACCCGAGGGGCCTCATATAGTACACCCGGTCGACAAACGGCTATAAGGTGAAACGGACAGGACATGGAATGCAACAAAGGAAACACGCAATCAATCTAAGTGGTTTACTCAATCATGTGTCCCATTTTCGCAATCTAATTGAAGCGCAGAAGTTAGCATCCATGTCCAGGCCGACATGACAAAAGTACCACATCAAAGCCAGAAAAAGCACCGCCGGCCCCGGAATAGGGAATGAAGCCGGCCGGCAAGGTGAGACAAGTGAAACTTACCTTTGTCCTGAGATATCCCTCCACCTCTAGACTTTTGATGCCCTGCTTTCCGCCCGACCTCCATGCCAATGGTATCATTGGCACACGCTCCTTGACTACCACCTCCCGATTTGCCCCCTCAATGGCTCGAACCTTGTCCGGGTTGTTTGTAAGGAGCCGGATACCATGGGGATTAGAATCCTCGCCTAAGCCTAGATCGACCAAGATGGCAGTAGCCAGACCGTAACTTCTGGCATCGGCAGGGTGTCGCAGAAGAAGATTGGCTTCCACCGTGTCTGAGCCAAGATCCTGCAGATTGTAGGCCTTCAGCTTCTCCCCCAAGCCTATTCCGCGACCCTCTTGCCGCAGGTAGACTATCACTCCTCCCGAGGCATTGGATGGCACAGGCACAGCGTGCTCGGATGCAATCTCGGCCAGCTCTTCCATGGGGAAGGACATCAGCCTCGCTGCCTCGTCGAGTTGTTCACCACAATCGCAGCGCGCAGACCAGGCAGTCTCTCCGGTATAGCACTCAGAGTGTATCCTCACCAGTGGCGCCTGGCTAGGCGAACTCTGTGCCAAAGTCGACTCTGCCGATACGAGGCCACCGTTTGGAGTTTCGCTACGGCCTTGCTTCCCAGCTGCGCCCTCAGCGTTTGCATCGTCATACCAACTACTCACACGACCGGGGTGTAACTTGCCCACGTAGGCGCCACGTATCATACGATCCATTTCCGTTTCCCCCGGTCGAACCTTGTCCAAACTCCGACTTCGAATAGTGTTTCCAAACACGATTGCCAAATGCTCTTTGTTGTCTAGGTCATTGTGGTAGAGGTGGAGGAACATCTCCGCACCGGTGGTGGTGGGGATCCGTGCGCGGACGATGCATTCAACTTCAGGGAGGCGAGGAAGGAGTTTCGGAGCTTTTGTATGCGTAGATTGTTGAGTCTGCTGAAACAGCTTTGCTGGGTTGAAGGTGCCCCCTGGGGTAGCTGGAGGGGTAAAGGAAGGGGAGAGGAGGGAGGCAGGCACGGCGGGGGTCACATCGCCCCGGTCGCTCTCGGTGCTGTCGGGATGGTTGACGGCATTGTCACGAAGCTCGTCCACCCTGCTGCCCAATGGCAAAGATGCTGCATGGTCTGTACCAATGGAGAGGTCTTCCACGGAATGGGAGGGTGCGGCTTGCGCCGTAAAGGACGGGGAGGCGTGGGACGGTAGGTTCGACATGGTGGGCGCGGATGGCGACGCGCAGACAGAGGAGAAGGAAAGTCAGAGCTAAGTGGACGAGCGAATGCAAAGGAACGTTGCTACCGGCCAGATTCAAAATTTAGCAAGGATGATGCGGCGATAGAGGACATGACCATATGTCGTTACTCGTTGCGAAGGAACACCCTGGTGTTGAGAGCAACGATGGGCAAGTCATCCCGCACTTATCTCGGCGTCGCATGTGTTTCGGACCCTCGGGAAGAGCGGCGGGTTCGGCGGGGGAGTCGCTGACTCACCCTCCATTTGTCAGGCCTGACATGCCTTATGTAATTCTTACTTGCCGGAAGATTCTGGCCACGATCGGATTTCAGTTGGGTCCTTTACTACGGAGTAGTACTAGAAGTCTGCCTACCATAGGTTCCAATAGGGTGCGTCGCAGTGGCCAAGAAGTAGTACTAACAATACGTGGAGAGCACATAAGTACCGGCTTCCGATATCGTTGCTCTAAGAAATATACCAATTAAAAGTATTCCAAACTCCATATTCACCCCTACCCCCCTCCCAAATCGAAAATAGTCCAGCTCAATCAATGGGTATCAATAGTGCACTGATCGTGGCGCAAATCAAGACCTCACGGTCTGCTTTCTTTCTTTCTTTTTTGATGTTTTGTGGTTTTCTTTTTGTTGCCTTGCTCCTGTCTTGCTTGCCTTTCCCCCTGGTATCTTCCACGCTATCACTGGCACTGTCTCTCCTCGAGCAATCGCACTGTGTAGATCTTTCGAGGTATAGCGTCGAGATTCAAGACTCGCTTCACTTTCCAGGTATATCAAGTACGAAGCGTCGGTCAACTTCCATTTCCTTATCATCTTCCTCACCCTCGAACTTGAGGCGGTATACGTCTTTTCTGGAACCCATTACCTCGGCGCGGTAGAATGTGGTCGTATCTGGGTACCTCGCCAACACCTGCTTCCCCAGTGAAAACGAGGGCAAGGTCGACCCTATCTGGGGAATAGGGATTAGAGATGCTGCGGTGGTCTTGTACACAGCTCCCTGTTCACCATTCTCGTTTGGCTCTGGGTCCTGGACATCATACCTTGAAAGGTACATCGGTCAATGATTCTGTGGGAATAGACTGGGGCGTAACGCCGTACCGTTTCTTCACTCCGTCCCCAGATATTCCCTTGATAATGCACTGGATGCCCTCGCCTTCAACCCCTTGTTTGTTCTTGTTGTGTTTGAAAACTACTTCCGCCCCCACCACCAGGTGTCCGCTGCGTTCGGCGAGTGTGCCCTTGGTACTTTCTGCTCCTTCTTCTATCTTAACATACACACCACTGTCGCGGATGTCACGGCCGTCACGGACCTGAGTGCTGGACACGCTGGTACTACGTTGAACGCCTCCTTTAGTGCGACTGACCTTGTCTGGCAAAGCATTACTGGAGGGCCCAGGCGAGTCCGTAGCCGAGCCATCTAAATCATTTCTCTTCTTCCGCGACTTGGAAAAAGAAGCGGCGCGGTTCTGCGGGGCCTCCGCTTCCGAGGCTTGTCGAAGCGCCGTCAGAAGACCCAAGTTCTTGATCACATCGCTAGGCTCGTCCTGTAGAATGGCTCTCTCGTCTTCGCAGAGTTTCAGCATTTGTCGATATAGACTATCCAGATGGTTGTGCTCGCTGAGGGACGGTTCTGCTTTAATGGTTAACGTTTGCGTCTTTGAGGGAGGGCAAAAACAGAAGACGAGAGCAAACAGGCAAGCAGTGGCCAGAGGTTTGGGGACAATTTAAAGTTAAGGGGCTGAAATGTGGTGGTGAAAATATGCCCAACGGCCAATATATCTCGAACCCGTGGGCGTACAGGATGATTATACGGCCGTTTAAGGCGACAGGCCCCGCCAAGGACATCGATAAGCCTGAAATGCATAGAAATCAGGGAAGAGCTGGCATGTGTCGACACTGTGCTATATTTCTTTCGGGACAGATCAAAAAGAAAGTGCCTTGACTTACTCCCACCCTCCCTTCCGATCTTCTCATTCAGAGCGGCGATTTGCTCCGCCAGTGCTTTCTGCTTTTCATTCTTCTCCTTTGCCTTGCGCAAGTCCTGGAGGATTTTGTTCCACATGTCAGTCTCCTCATTGGCCGCCAGGCCATTGTCCCTAGGGACTGGAGGACCTCTAGGCCGATTCCGGGACATTTCCTTTGGAGTCAAACTCGGATCTGCAGCAACAACAACAGCAGCAGTCGCAGCCGCCGCCACCGTCGCCTTCCTGGGTAGACAATTACTGGATTCAGCCGGGGTTGCAAAGGCCGCCGAGGTCCTAGTCTTCTGGATGTTCAGCGCTTCCCATTCGAAGGCGGAATGAAGGTCCTTCCGGGTCGAGCTTCGGGTCCCACGAGCAGCACCGTGCCTGAGGCTGTGCGGACGACCTGCAGTGGAGGGGCTCTGGGGAGAGGGATTTGCAGCAAAGGGATGGTCCGGGGTGGAAAGCCTGTTGGGCCCGGCTGACTGGGACGGAGACGCGGGAACCTGATCGGGAGCTTCAGGGACCCCGTCATTCGGAGAGCGAGTCTGGGCGGAGAGCTTCCCTTCGCGGCTGGGCGGTAAGCGCTCTGCGGCCCTCATTACGTTCTGATTGGCAGACCATATGACAGGTCACGTAACGGACGTAACGAATGCGGCAACCCCCGACCAGGAAAAGAGCACGGCCGGTCAGTACTTGGCGGATGGAGGGATGGATGGAGGAGGGGCTGTTGTTCCTTGTTCGCCGTGACATCTGGGGACAGCAGAAGCAGGAGGTCTTTTCTTTCCCCCCCCCCCAAGTTCTGGTACTTAAAATAGAACGTTGTCTTGACCGGCCAGCAGTCTCAAAAAGTCAAGACACTCCCTGAAAGGTGGTGGTTGCCATTCACTCACCTATCCATTCACTCCTTGACTTACTTCCACTTTCTCGCACACACTTTCCGTCTCCATACACAATACAGTCGCCTACTTCCTCCCCACCCTCCACCATGCAGGTCCCATTGCTCCGCCTTCAGTGTGGTAAGTTTTCTATCTATCTCTCCTCCATTGACGCCCTCTCCTAGAAAATCGATACTAATACACCCTCTTTTCGCTTTTTAGGTGTCAACAGCTATGACTGGGGTAGGACCACCCCGCATTCTGGATCATTCTGCAGGCTGCGTATGCTGAAGCTGGTCTAGGCAAGGTTGGCCATGAGTCGGCTGCCGCGAAGTATGCCGCCACTACGGCTGGCTCAGACTTCTCCATAGAGGCAGAGAAGCCCTACGCAGAGGTTCGTCTCTAAATTCCCTTGCTCTAATGGCAGCTAGAAGCTAACCCCGATGATGTATAGTTGTGGATGGGCACCCATCCTTCCCTCCCCTCCAAGGACGTCGAAACCCAGCGAACCCTCCTCGATATGGTCCAGGACAACCAGGCACTGATCTCGAAGGAAGTTAGCGAGCGATATGGCGGGAAACTGCCTTTTCTCTTCAAGGTCCTTTCGATCCAAAAGGCCCTCAGTATCCAAGCCCACCCGAATAAGAAACTGGCAGAGAAGCTCCATGCTCGGGATTCTCGAAACTATCCTGGTAGAGACTACCAATCCAGCTGGAAGTGGCTGAACTGACTGATGCAATGCAGACGACAATCACAAACCCGAAATGACGATCGCGATCACACCGTTCGAAGGACTGTGCGGCTTCCGACCGCTGACCGAAATCGTTCATTTTCTCAACGCAGTCGCACCCCTCCGCGAACTGGTGGGCACACAGGCTGCCGGTGAATTTGAGAGTACGGTCAAGGGCTCGGAAGACTCCGAAGACTCGGATGTAATGGCGAAGAACAAGGATGCTCTGCGCGCCTTGTTCACATCCCTGATGAAGTCCTCTCCGGAAAGCATTGAGGCGGCCACCCAGAAGCTTATCGCCGCAGCTCAGGACTCCCCCGATACCTTCGCTACTTCTACCAGCACGCCCGAGACGAACCCCAGCAACCCCGCCGAATTGGCTGCCCTCATCACGCGGCTTAACGGGCAATTCCCCAATGATATCGGTCTATTTGTGTTCTTTTTCCTTAACTTTGTCACCCTTGCGCCCGGTGAAGCCATGTTCTTGAAGGCTGACGACATCCATGCATACATCTCCGGGGACATTATCGAGTGTATGGCGTCGTCCGATAATGTGGTGCGGGCGGGCTTCACCCCCAAGTTCAAGGACGTGGACACGCTCACCGACATGCTGACCTACTCCTATGCACCGATCGAGGAACAAAAGTTGGAGCCGACCGACTATCCCTATGCGGTGCTTAATGCGACCGCCTACTCTAGTGGCTCGTCATCGATGCTCTACGACCCCCCGATTGAAGAGTTCAGCGTGGTGAAGACGGAGCTGAAGCGGACTGGTGCCAAGGCGACCTTCGACCCACTGGTGGGCCCCAGCATCCTCATCTGCACGGGGGGGACAGGGAAGATTACAGTCGGCCACAAGACCGAGGAGGTGCGTGAGGGGTATGTGTTCTTTGTAGGCGCCAATGCCGAGTGTATCGTTGAGAGCACAAGCAGTGCCGAGGAGGTGTTTACGACGTTCAAGGCGTTCTGTGACCTGACGAGCGAGGGGGACATGGTGAATGGGAACTAGGCTGTATATCCAGGCCATAATATATGCATTTCCTCGTATCGCTAGATGTATTTCCAAATGAGCCGAGGCGACTCCTGCCCCAGCGGGGCCGAACCGCGGTCGACGAGCTCGCGCCATGTATGTTTTGGATGCGCATTTCCAATCGGTCCACATGCCTGACCAGCCACTTTATGATGGATCAGCTACATGTCCTAGTCTAGCTAGCAGTGGATCGATTGCTGTCTCATAAAGCGGGGGTGATCTCGCTCGCGCATTCCCGCGGACTTGCCAGTCCCTCAGCAGCCCTTCCTTCTCTCCCCGTTCGTTTCCTACGATAGTAGCTCCCTTCTCGCACCATGTCGTCCTGGGACCAGCCCCTCACCCTTTGGGAGAAGGCGCAAGAATCCTGGAACAAGCTCGTGGTCTTTGCGGCCCTGCTATCCACCTCCGTCACGGCACTCTTCCGAGGCGCGAATGGCGCGAAGACGTACAAACTCCATGTGCTCAACAGTCTCGTGCGCACGATATGTACCACCCACACCCCACGCTATCTGCAGTCCGTCCACTTCGTCCCTCCCCCTTTAATGTAACAAGCCTCGAGAGCAAGTACTGACCCTGATCCCAGACTCACCCCTCCCTCCACCGATGAAGCATACCGACAGTTCATGGCCCGCCGAGGGCTCCAACCGGACACTGTCCTTCTTAATCATGGCGCCAAAGGCCACTGGATTGGAAACAAGGACGCCAAAAAAGTCCTCATCTACTACCACGGTGCGTCCACCACCACCCTAGACACCCATGGTGTAACCGCCCCTCAGCTCAATTCCCCGATCGCTAACCCCCTCATGCAGGCGGCGGCTTCTTTCTCAATGCCTACCCCCAGCACTACAACCTGATAGGACACACCCTCGACCGCCTCAGCGAATCCGGTCACGATCTTGCCGTCTTCTTCCTCAGCTACACTCTCACCCCGCACGCCGTCTACCCCACTCAACTGCGCCAAGCCGTCGAAGCCCTCCGCTACATTCTCACCGAGACAGGCCGCTCCCCAGCGAATGTCTTCCTAGGCGGGGATTCCGCCGGCGGAAACCTCTCACTTGCCGTGCTGCTGCACCTCACTCATCCGCACCCGGACATCGCCCCTCTAGAGATCTCCCAGCCATTGGCTGGCGTGTTCGGCCACGCTCCCTGGGTCAAGTACAGCACGGACGGTGCTAGTTTCCGGGAAAACAGATATAAGGACATCATCTGTCCTCCGATCGTCGACCCTTGGTCCCAGGCGTATCTGGCGGGTAAGAACGGAGAGGGAGATCCGTGGAGTGAGCCGGCCAAAGCACCTGTGGAGTGGTGGGAGGGGTCAAAGACGGAGAATGTGTTGATTGTTGTGGGGAGAGATGAGGCTTTGTTTTCGGCTGTCGGGGAGTTTGTAGAAAAGTTCAAGGTGAGTTGTCTTTCTTTGCTTTTTCCTTCTTTCCCTTGTGTTCCCCTCTCGGCCCTCATGACTGTTGGACTATCTTTTTTCGTTTTTCTTTTCTTTGTTTCTCTCTCTGCTGTCGTGTACTTTGTTCTCGTTTTTTGCTTGTTTGGATGTGCGGCTAACCCGTCTTTTCTTCCTTTTTTGCTATCATGTAGAAAGCCGTCCCCAACACGGTCTATGTCATCGGACAGGGCGAAACCCACGTTGCAGCCGTGTACGCGGTAGATGCAGTTGGTATAGATACCCAGCAAAGTCGGGCAATCATCGAATGGCTGGGTGCTCGATTGTGAAGCCGACTTTACAATTCTGCAGTATTATGGCTATTCCAGGATAGTTCCGGTGCTAAGGTGATTTATTGGCAATTAGTGGGCGTTGGCAGGGGAGGGGGGTTTCGTAAGGTCTGAATTATAGTTAGTTGCAGCTATAGTAAACTAGTGGGAGCAAATCGAGATGCAGATTACATGTCGATCTCGAACATATTATTGGTCATCCTCAATGCAAGAGGCTAGCTACCTATCCTTTCCCATCCTATGGATCATACGATACGTCAGACAAATTGTCAGCCTGTCTATTGATGAATCTAATTCAAAACCCGCCATTAAGACTGGGTAGGTAGGTAGGTAGGTAGGTAGGTAGGTGAGTGGGCATTCGCTAGACAATACCTAGATAATACATAGCTACGCCGTCGTATCAAATCATCATCGAAAACAAGATCACGCCCAGGGAGCAGGAATACAGGACAGAGAGAGAGAATACAAGATGGAGGGTTGTTGGCTCAATGTCAGAATGCGAGCGAGCAGAAAAATCACATAAGGAAACAAAAGTAACAACGGATATCCTAAATTAAGCTGACACTCTCGGGGCGTATTTCGCAGCCGCGGTGTCGAACAATTCGCTCTTTTCTTGGAGGTCGGAGAGGAGGGGGTGCGAGGGGTGGGTCTGTTCGAGGCGCCTGCAGGCAATGAAAAGGTTGTTGTTAGCTAAATCTGTATACAGTTTCGAGGAGATCTAGAATTATAGGTCTTGACAGAATCGGAGGGGGGGGGGTGGTGGAAGGGTAAGCATACTGCTCCAGTTCCTCCGTAGGCTTGCCCGCCAAAACATTCAGCACCACAGTATTGGCGATCAATTCGGCCTCATCGGGATACTTCTCCAGTGCCGCAGTCAAGGCGGCTTCGGCTTCGGGCAACCGACCCAGATGGAGTTCTGCCACAGCTTGACCGACGATGGAAAGGGGTGCGGCGGTGCTAGGAGCGGACGCCAGTTCCTCATAGACGTAGAATGCAGCTTGGTACTTCTCGCCGCCCTGAAACACGAGCAAGTTAGTTCCATCGCTCTTTCAAAAGAACGGACCGGGATGTATTCGTGGCATTGGGCAGTACGTACGACTCTCATTCCAACCCACGACTCGGCCAAGTTCACCAAAAGGGAATCCTGGGCCCAGCGCTTCGCAGCCTGCACTTCCTTCAGAGCGAGATCGGAGCGGTTCTGCTGGAGATGAATTTGGACGATCAGGGCGACACTAGAGCAGCAATTAGCCTCTCCCATTCTGTGATCAATTCCAAGGCCCTCGCTGAAGCGAAGAGGAGAAGAGAGAGCCAAACTCACGCCTCCAAGTTTCCCTGATGTTTGGTCAACAGAGCCAACGCCTCCTCACTATGTCCCTGAGCCTGCAACAATGTCCCGCCCAGAACCTGTACAGTGCCGTTATCAGGGTAGTTCTCCGCAAGGTCCTGGGTCAACTGCAATGCGGATTCCACGTCTCCAGAGGCCTGGTGGGCCAGCGCCTTCACGGCCGCCAGCTCGGGGGTCTCCTCCTGGCCTTCGACATCGGCGAGCACTTCGTCCGTCTGGCCGAGAGCAATCCTGGCGCGAAGCTGCAGAACACGAGCGGGAAGGTGGTTCTCGGGGGATAGAGCGGAGGTATCGAAGTCGATCACGGAGTCGTATTGGCCTTGGTGGAAGGCATTGTGGATGTTGATCAGCTCTAGGGAAGACGAGACAGGTTAGTGAGGCTGGGAATGGGAGGTTGCGCTCAATGGGAGTGACCTACCGCCCTCAGCGGAGAAGGGATCCATTGCGACGGTTTGGAGGGGAAATTGAGGGGGATGGAATGAATGAGGGTGGGTTGGGTTGGAGTATAAGCTGGAGGCTCATCCGCGGAGGCGGAAGTCGTCACGTTGCCTTTACCGCGGGCGGTGGGAGGCAGGTCGCCCGCGTCCGGGCAGGTTAGCCGAGGGGTGTCGAAGTATATCCTGGGGAGAAATTGCGATTATACGGAGTTACAGTATGTCTAGCGTGGCTGAAGAGAGATAAACAGTGTAATATATATGTCGTCGAATAGATTACCGAATCTGACATGGCGACTGTCTTAAGTTGCCTGCTCAGATTCCGTTTGGCTAGGGTTTATCCTAGGGTTTCCTCAGTATAGCATCGAGTGACAGTATTGAAGTTGGAGAATGCTGGAGGTTGCTTTCCGTCGAGGCTGTCGCAGCCAGCCAATCCTGAGGGTTGGATGCAGCCATTCTGATGGATAAATGCTGAGAGGATGCAGAGTCGGGTCAAGAGAAGAAGGAAGAGGCGGAAGAGGAACGAGAGAGGGATCATGGCGGAATCAAGCATCGATCCTTTCTGCTCAGCTCTTCCCGCCACATCCCAGGATGTTTCTTATCCGCCAACAGGGCTGCCAACCAAGGCAGGTGAATGAATCCTTGGTACTTGCTACGGGATCAGGCAGTGCAATGAGTCAGGTCCGGAATCAAAAACGCGTCCCAGCCGCAGATTCATATTAACACAAAAGGCAAACAATGTAAGAACAGACCTGTTCGGTCAGGATCTCCGTCGGAAACCCTCCCGACAGTGGATCAAGCCAGCATGCTGGCCATCTTCGTCTTCATCATCCCCATCCTCAACATAATGCATGCATGGATCCCCCGCCAGTGATGCCTAATGATGCAACCGCTTCCTCGGTGACTCCTCCGAATGCGACCCCGATGCAAGAACAACTGATAATATCTCAAATGCCACTTCGAACCCAATAAAAACCCCGAGACAGATGCTGAGCAGAATCAACCTAAACGAGACAGTGGAGAGAACGTAAACCGGGTCTGTAATGATAATCCCACAGCCATGCAACGCAGAATAGCAACACACACACACACAAACATCAAAATCAGAGGGTATCGCTGATAAATCAAGGTACTCCTGTACCAACACACGCACAAACTAGAACACAAACAAGAAAATAACACCATGGACCCGCCGTCGTGGCGGTTCCAGATCGTCCATGCATCGCCCTTGATAGATAAGAAAGTAAAGCCAGAGATGCGAGACCATGCTGCCCTGCGAGCCCTCCTGTGGCTACCTTCGCGACTGTGATGCGCCTCGGGCTCCAAAAAAGACATCAGGAAAGGACAACGAATGCAAACCAATGCAGTCAAAAGCTGACAGAACGCCACTCCCATACTTGCACATGAATTGAAACAAAGACCACAGTGTGATACCGGTCGGAGACAGAGGGGAAGTCAAGAAGGCGTGGAAGAGACGGGAGCTCCAGGCATCTCTGTGAAAGGAAGCTAAGGAGGCAACGACGATGTAGACGCGGCGGACACCGTCGGGGTCAACATCGGAGACGTAGGAGAATGGTTGTCCTCGGAACTCAAGGGGATCTCGCTGCCCTTGTCGGAGCAGGCGTCCCTGTCTCGCTCAGTGGATGAAGAGCGCTTGAACACAGTTTGACCGATCTGGCGAAGGATACCCATTCGTTCCGCACGGAGTTCCTCGGCATCCAATCGTTGAACCGAAACCGGGTCTTCCTTGGTAATCTTGCAGAACAAGGTCGAGAAGAGATATTGGTCGCCACCGGAATCATATAATGGCAGGTAGCGGTAGCCTTGAGAGAGACTGGTGAGTTTGGCTGTGAAGGTGGCCAACTGAACGCTGCTATTGTTGCCCGCACTGCGGCCATCGAGCGAGCTCCAGACCGTCCAGCGGACAAACACCAGGTCTGGATATTTCGTCTCCAGCGAGAGCTTAAAGCGATCGTTGAAAATGGGGCTATATCCATTGCTCTGCTCGATCTTCGTGCGTCGACGGTGTGGATAACCAATGCCTGACATGCCATTACGCGCCGAAGCGTTCATGCCCCCCTCTCCAACCACTAAGCTCTGGCCACGATCATCGGCACTGAACATCTCAATCTCCACATACGGGTTGATATTATCATCCGGTCCAATGCTGCGAGGGCGAGGCAGTTGTTGGGCAGAGATGACGTCGACCGAGAACCGAACGAGCTTTCGGTCCGTCCCCTTCTTTCTCTCTTCGCCTAGGGGATTCACGGTGCGCAGGGACTCGGGCTTGAGAACGTAACCAGTGCGATCGGTCCCCGCCGCGAACATGGCTTGGTTCATCTGCATGCCGACATCGTAGGTCTGCCAATTCAGGGCGGCCATCTGCACACCGCGCCGCCAAAACTTGAGGGGATCGAAGTTTGAAGACCGTAAACGAAAGCCAGAAGGATATACCCTTGCTAGATATTTTCGGTTGTGTCTTTCAAACACGGCCTTGCTATCGGCGTCGCGGCAGATGCTCTCGAAAGAACGTTCCGCAAACGAGTACACATGGTTATACCGCTGACTTTCGGGGGACGAGAAGCTATGCCATTTGTAACCTCGAGTGTATACTCCCAGGTCCGACAGTGGCTTCGTGATTTTGCTCTTCTGACGCCGTTTCCGTTCAGCTTTCATCGACGACAAGGCGCCATCACTGTCTTCGGTGGCACTGCTGATGCTGGTGGTTGTGAAAGACCGTCGGTCTTGCGACATGAATGTATCGACACTATCCGGGCCAGCCGTAGAAGACCCAGAAAGAGGAGGAAGGGTTGAAACGGACGGGTACTCAGGCACCACTGGGCGCATGAATGGGGAGCTCGAGCTGCGCTTACGACCGGCGCTGATCAAGGAGTTCGCAGATTCTTGGCGCATATCACCCTGGGTTTCATCGCAAGTTTTGACTTTCACGAGTATGCGACGCTTTAGCTCCTCGGGGGACGGAAGGACAAACGTGTTCGTAAGAAGCGGTTCCAACACCAGTTGGTCTTTGAAGGTTTCCTTCATGATCTTGACCATGGCCAGCTGTTGCTCGGGATTGCAATGCACTTCAAGTGAAAGGATGAGGGGGAAGTCGGTGCTGATGAATGCATATCGGTTGATGACAGTGATGCAATCGGCGAACAAGACGCTAGTAGTCATGGTCCGGCCATGAGAGACAATGGGTCGGCCATCTGCTCCGTCCCAGCAATCAATCTCCACACAGCGACAACCTTGGGATAGGGCGCTGATGTACGCCTCGGTGCTGGACGCACCAGCTACTTGACGTCCCAAAAGATACGTGTTATGTGAGCTGGAGATGAAATATTCATTCAATGGACGGTCGAAACGGGACTGAGGGGGGCGAGAGGCATAGACCCCATTCCAGGAAGAAGAGAGAAACGAGGTAAAAGCGTCAAGTCCCATCCGAGAGACTCCACCGTCTGCATGTTCCGGAAGACTCGGGGCACGTGGCCTGGACTTGCGCACGAACCGGTCAAAGATAGATATCCAGTAGCTTCGGTCCGAGTCGACATCTTCATTCTGCACATCGCGGAGAAATGCCAGGAACTCATCGGTGGTGAAGCCCTCAGAATCGACAACACTCTCCTTGAAGATCGCCTTGACATCTTTCCTCTCCTTCAAGCGAGCAACAAAGTCGCTAAATTCCGAGAAATACAGCTTGCCCTTGTTGTTATTGTCCGCTTTAGAAAACTGAGCGCGAAGCATATTTTTGGAGCAATTGATGTGCAAACTGCGACAAACGCTCTCAACAGCTCCGAAATCCAGGCTTTCCAGCTCACCCTGCTTGAGACCATTGGGAAACAATCTCGCCATCTCACGCTGCCAGTGGGCTTTCAAAACCGCTTCACTCTGGCCCGAGCCAGCAAGACCAGCCATAAGACCGATCCTGTAGCGTGAGATGTGTTCGAGCGTCGTGGTCCAAAGATCAAGATAATAGTCCGAGGGGGCAATCAGATGTAGGGTCTTTACAGACCGTCCTTTCGATCGTTCTGCGTCGGCGATGACGATGGTGAACCATCGGCTTTCACGATCCTGCGGGACCTGGTGTTCCTCGCGGTAATTGCGAGCATCAGCGCCCACTCGGATTTCCTTGATATCATCGATATAGAACCGTTTCGCCGGGTTGGAGACATCCCAGTAGACCTTGCCGGCGTCGAGGTCAAGGAAGAAGCGCACCTGCTTCTGTCGCTTTTTGGTTACCTTGGTGAGGACTGTACCCCGTTGAATAACCGAATCAACCTTGGGCGCAACCGCACCAGCGTTGCGGGAAGTAGTGACGAAGTTCTCATTCTGCAAGCTAGAAGCTTCGGAGCCACACCAGACTCCCAGGGAGTCCAAAGCGTCATTGCTGTCCTCTTCGTTACTGGACTCTAGCGCACTCTCCCAGCTGTTTTGTCCGGTTTTGCTATCGCTCCGTCTGCGCATGATAACGGGACCGGAGCTGCGGTCTCGTTTGTCGTTATGCGAGGCCGACTGTCGCCTCCGGGTGAGCTTGCTGGCAGCTCCTCGAGAAATTCTGCGCATCAATCCCGGGCCTTTGTTGGGAATCTGACTAGCCGCATCCCCCGAGCCGGAGGCACTAGCGTTCCCAGGCACTGCCATTGCTGACTCTCCAAGCTCCAGATGAGCGGGAAAATTCAGAGGGAACGATTGTATTCGACCACGGAGTGCGTCGGTGGCTGTTTGCAAAGGGGTGCCCGAAGGGCTGGAAGCATTTGAGAAGTTATATGTGGGACGCAATGAGTTCGGGGTAGTTGTGTATGGATAGGCATAGGGCGGAGCGGAAGATGGAGTAGGGGCGGAAGGGACAGATGTGATGACATTATGTAGATTTGGAGGTTTGGAGAGTGAGCCAGTAAGTTTTAAACTCGCTTGAGTGTCGCCATTTACGGTCGAAGGCGACGAAGCGGCGGCGTAAGCCATTGCGGATACCTACCAGACGTAGCACCCAGCTGCAAAACGTGAGATTGTAGACCTGCCGTGAACCGTGCCAATGCTTGAGTCACCTGGACTCTTCAGGGGACGAATGAACAGCGACGAGCAGTAACTAGGCGGCCGAGTCGACCCTGAGATGGCGGCCTATAGCGAGAATGCAATACGAGCCAAAAAGGGGAACGGGTCTGGCTGAGCGATGCAAAAGCCACTTGCTTAGCGGGATTGCTCTGTCTTTGATATCTGCATCTTGGCCTGCCTCTGATGCAATGCGGAGAGCCCTGCCGGAGAGCACTCGCGAGGGTACGGGATTCGGGTTCCTGATAACAATTGAAACAGACACTGGCTTTGTGTAACAATAGCTCCGCGGGGGGGAAGGGTCTTTGATCTCTGTCGTCAACGCAATAAATTAAGAACGGTGGATGACTTGGGCCCCCCTCAGCCTTGGCCTGTTTTCGGAACCGATTTTCGTCACGTTTCCTGATATCCTTTGATTTGCCCGCGATGTCCTATCCTGGCTCCCTATTTTACCCCTCTTGGATGCGCCGATCTTCTAGTACGCGGGGAAAGCTGTCTCTCTGCAGCAGGAATGCGAGGACGTGCGGAGCTCAACCAATTGGCCGTATTTGGTTGCAGGCGGGTTGAGGTTCTTTTCCGTGGGAGGCAGGAGGAACGAGGACCCCCCCCAGGGCGAGTAAAAAAAAAATGGTAATGCAAACCGAAATTGGTGAGAGAAATTATGCAAGTCAAAGACCGTGTGCGCCGCGCATGTGCTTAGCTGTCAGCAGAGCCCCTCCGTAGGTATCTCTCTAGCTTCGACGGAGGCCGAAAGTTGGAAATTGAGCAGGGAAATCGGCTTCGCGTCGATTGGCGTCACTCCAGAAGGAGACTAGGGAAGGCTGCGCAAGAAAGGAGAATCGGCGACGAGGATCGGAAGTGCAAATGCAGGATTGCCTGCCAACGCAGTGATGCAGGTGGTCCAAAGGGGAAGGGTGATAATTTGAGCAATCGGAGATTGGACCGACCAGAGTAATCGTGAGGGTCGCGGTTGTCTAGTGTGGTCCGATATGTAGCTTTTCCAGTTTGCTGCACGGTTACGTGGAGAGTAGTAGAGGACCTGCAGTGAAAGGCGCCAGGATGTGAGTAAGAGAGTTGATCATGCGACGGAGGAAACTGTGCCAGCGTTATCCTTCGCCTGGGAAATTGGATCTCCACTTGCGGATGTCGATGGGTGCGAGGAGTTTCTGAGGCAGAAAGGGTCAGCGGAGTGTTGGCGGGATTTTGGTTTTCGCCCTCTTATGAGTCTCCCATCCACGCGAATGCGGTGTCGTACAGACAAGGGAGAAGTTCGGAGGGAAGGATTTTGGAAGTCGATTTCGAAGAAACCGATGGATGTTTCAATTGAAAGAAAGCTGGAGTGGGTACTTACTGACGTACTCCGTACCTGTGTGTGGTACGTATCGTTGTATTGTCAACTGGGAATGGGCGCATACGCCGTCCGGACGGCGTAATCCCGGTGGTAAAATAACCAGACTGGGGACCGAAGGTTTCCACCCCACGTAAGACCCAACAACCAGCCAGAGGGCGCCGAGGTGAATCTTTTCCTTCCTCTCTGGGCAGCCGGCCGGGACCCGCAGCAGTATTTGGGAGGCCAAGTAAGACTGAAAAAAACGTGGGCCTTGATCTTCGGGTACCAATGACAACGCTCAGGTAATGATGATATAAGATCAGGATAATGATGATGGTAGTGGATGACAGTGATGATAACAGAGGCGTTTTGTTGCGTCGTTGATATGATTCTAGCCCCGTTCTTCAATGCACACATACACTCTCTCTGGGGGCTCCTGGGGCTTTTCTCTCAACCATCTAGGGAGTACCACTTGATGATAACCGCAATGCAGTCCAGGAGGGAAGACTTGTGCGTTCCTATATACTGCCGGGTAAGGGCCGGGAAAGGGATAATAATATTCATTAACCTTTAGTTCAGGTATGCTAGTGAGGTAGTCTAATCAAACTGGACCGTCATTACTGGGCACCTGCTCCAGATTAAAGTCTGTTGAGGGGTGAGCTGTCCACCGCGAAACATCACAACGGCAGCCCAAGGGATTATGGGACTAGCCGCGATCATGAGATCCTATGAGGCTCCTTTCATCTACGCTCCGTCCTTTCTTCTTTCTCTTCTGCTACGGTGATTGGTGTGCAGGGAAAAGACTGCCGGTTTTCTTTTGGGCTTCCCCCGTTGTTCTCCCCCAACGTCCGGCTTCCTGCAGCCAACTATTCAACAGGATAACAGTTTCTAGAGTAGTTGTTACCGAGTTCTGTCACGAGTATTTTGCCTTTGAATGCAATTGGTAGGATCCTCCAGAGCTGTTGACTCGCTCCACCATTTCCCAGGAGATCAGTTGGCACAGTGAACAGACCCGATCTATTGGACGATCATCCCTTGACGGTGGTATCACTGTCAATCAATCGTGCGGGTAGACACCTAGGCGGACTGATAGGTATGTTGTTATTTGTTTCACCTTTGGGGGCAAGGCAGATCGTTAGGTCGTTCGGGGTATATCCTGACAAGGCAGAAAAGGGGAAGGTGAAGAGGACACTGGGACCTAACGTCAGTTGCTATGGAGGATCCCATTGCTGTAACGGACTCTCCAGCAAGAAAGAAGGTTGGTTCCCCACGGACAATCCGTCCTGCATACACACGGGTACGCGGTTACGGAGTACGGAGTTATCCACGTACCACTAGGGTAGATACCATCACTACGCAGGAGAATCCGAAGCATGCCTGACCGTCGATCCACAAACACTATTACCGTGTCTATCGCCATTATTGATGTTACAGATCCCTCTTGAGGCACCGGCACGGCGGTCCCTCTGGGGAGATATGTGGATCTGGGATTCCCATCCGCTGGGGTCTCCCTTCGTTTCCCGTTTCTGGGTCCCGATGCCAACCTACCTTATCCCTGTCGCCCGAAGTCTCTGGGCTAGGTAGAGACTGCATGCAATGGCTCCCAGGCCACTAGTCGCATGTACGAGCGTGTTGGGAATTGGGCGATTCCGACCATCGGGGGGGTTGTCACCTGACACTCCGGACTGGGATGTGCAGACCGCCTAAAACTTAAATACTATTTTAGCTGGGCGCTGATGGTCTTGTCCCGTTTCGTCATGATTCCTTTAATTTCCCTCAGCATGCAATCATGTTGTGTTGAAGGGAAAGGGGGGTTAAAAAAAAGGGTCACGGAGGAAAGGCGGATAATGAGTTGGGCAAAATGACAGTTGGTGCCGCTTCATCCTTACTTGACATTATTGTGGAGCTTCAAAGTGGTTCGCTCGCATTTTCTAGGTTCGCAGTTGGAACAAGAATGCGAGCGAGAGGAGGGGGGGGTAATTTGTCGGTAAATTAAACACCAAGAGATTTTCGATTGAGTCATCCCAGCCCTGTCCTCACCCGAACGCGGGGGAGAAACACAGCTAGTACAGTCGTAGTAATATTACACGCGTTAGAACTCTGAGGCTGAGGCGTGGCAGTGGCAGTGAAACCATCGCCGGGGCGGTGCGGAAAGGGGAAGGGGCCGGAAAGTGGGTGATGACCAGCCAACTTCTCCCATGGTAAGAAACAAACGAAGGTAATCGGTAATCATGTAACCATCATTTCCAATGACGGATGTGAATCTCGTCATCATCATTCTTCTACGGATACGGAGGACTCCGGACAAGCACAAAGGAGATGCTTCGTTTGCATACATTTGGGCATAACTCTTCGGCACATTCAGCCCTCTATCCCAAGTTATTGGTCATTAGGGTGGTGTACCCAGGGCAATGCTTGTAGTTCGTCATGGACAAATCTCCTGGCCTGCGACACCTTGGATACCCAAGGTCGTACCAGGACGGCGGCAACAGCCTACAGGATGATGAAGAAGCGGTCAAAGAGCCTAGTTAGTAGTATTCTTCCGGAGGCAGACAGATGATGGGAATCACGACATGTCCAAACAGAATTCTCTCGGTGTGGATCTTACAAATCGTTTTCCTTTTCCATTCAATTTTTCTTTTTTCTTTTTTGCCCTTCCTCTGCCCTATGACACCATGGATCTTGGTTGCCCTTGGCTCCCACTCCGGTCGCTCGATTTTTAGACGAATGACGGAGTAGTACGGAGTAGCCACCAGTAAATCGGACTACAGGCACCATGTACCGGCGAAGCTACGAAGGTATGGGGTACCGGGATAGACTGCATGGCTCCCCTACAGGATTATCGACAGCTTAATCTCCTTGGCTGGGAGGTTGGGATGAAAATAGTACTACTACTACTACCGGTTACGCCGAAGTCGTGTCTGCTTGTCCTTGACTGAAGGCAACCGGGGGTAGTAAGCTGCGGGGCGTTCCTCAACCCCGCACAACCGCTGAGCCATTCTGCTGAGTTGGCGATGCTGCTGCCATGCCATCGTCTTATCCTCTTCATTTGCGATGTTTGTTACGTTTAGCTCCTCCTTGGCTTCACATTGAGTGGTGGTTCGTGTTGTAACCACATTTCTTCTCAATGTAACGCATGTCTCTTGTCAGCTCTACTACTTATAACACGCCGACTAACTTCAAGGGATCGTCCCCTTCGCATACGTCGCGTCATTGCATGAACAGACTCGATGATTGACATACAGGATGCATGGTCGTGGATTCCGGGGTTCTATCCTGGTTCATGGGGGATTCAGTTTGGAGCAGTCGTCCATCAGGCTGGTCAATTACCTCGGAGACAGGAACCCACTTGCGACGAGGAATCCGAGACAGCTCAGTGATGCGATCTATCTTGCAACGGCAAGCGTATCGGCCGGGCCGTCTAGCGATTGGCCTTTACTGAACTAGGAAGTTTCTCCCTCCAATGATGGCGGCTCTGAAGATGCAAATGACCATGTGCTGCGGCGTAGCGTTAACGCTCTCGATTCCTACAGGAGGAGGAGGGTGTGGGAGTCAAGCAGGCAATGAATAACGATCGTGATAA